CAGGTTTATTTATAATTATTTAGGTATCGTTTTATCTATCATAGTATGAATTCAAATACCGCCAGAAGAATGCGTACAGAAGTAATACCTATAGGTCAAGTAATAAAATCTGCCAACACATTTGTTTTAAACTTAATGATTGATTTACTATCCAATGGATGTACTATTACAATCGTCTTGATAATAAAATATTCTCTTTCATTTTATACAATATAAGTACTTAAAACCAATATGTTTAAACGGTAATCGTTCAATTGTTGTATGATTATATTAAACCATAAAACGTGCTAACATTTTCTTAGTTAATTTAGATATGGTGTTAGTAAGTTTAAAATAATTTAAAAATTATAATTTTTTTAAAATCAATTTTCATAATAATATTATAACCTGATAACCCCTGTATCTTATTTCGGAAGGAATTTTATTTTTTTCCATCTATTTACTATACGATAATAAATCTGATAAAGAATCAATTGATTATTATTTATAAGTATATAGTTTTTAAAAAATAAGTGGTATACTTCTATGTGGTAAAATTAATTTTTACTGAACTTGAAAACTCATTTTTCAAAAACTATTGATAAAAAGTAAGCTATCGATTTGATATTCAATATAATAAAGATTATCATGGTTTAAAATTTTGATTTTTTGAAGTTGTTGTAAGTGCTAAGTATATTATAAATTGTTATATAGTAAAGTAAATAATAATTAATAATTCACATAACGTACGGTATTTTTCTTCGTTATCTTGGAATCATTTAGCGGCTTCGACTATACATACTCGACAAAAGTGCTTACAATGTTGCGTATACATGCCAACATGTTTTATTATAAACACTCAACCACCTCCCTGGGTAGTATCGCCTGTGTTGGCTATGTGAGGCGATTGAATAACACAAATATAATTTTAAACCATAGGATAATGACGTATTAATGCACTTACCACCAGCGGTGTTACTTTTGTTCTAAATTAATAGTTATTCACGGTATCATTATAATATTATTCACAGTCTTAAATTATTTTTAACTAATAAAATAATTTAAATCATTTATTCAATGGATATTGTATACTCAATTCTCATTTAGTAAATTATTTATACCATAATGATAAATTATGTTGTAAGAATATTTTGGTAAGCAACCATCAGCCAAACTTAAATTCTCATCATCGTCATACAATATACTAGTATTCTTACATGTAATCATATTAGGGTTTCATATTAAGTACAGGAATGTATCTCTTTATATTATGGTATAAAATTGTAAGTTGTGTATTTTGTTAATTAAAACTTTTCTATTTTTCGTAAATGTTTTGTTATAATTATAGGTTAAACGCATTATTTCAAGTAATGTTAAAAATATGAATAATACTCATGGTACTACTACAAGTTCTCGTTATTCTTCCGAACTTAATAAAATAATTAATTACATATTTTTAGGAAATAATTTAAAATGAAGATGGCATAATACAAGACATTTTAATTAAAAATGTAGAAGACTTCATACATTTTTTACAACATTTACGTCAGCATAATTCTTTTAAAGAGAAGAATTTTCTTTTTGTTAGTTATAAGTTGTAAGACTTACTTTATACATTTATTACCAAAAATATAAAAATAAAGTAGGTCGTAAAGAAAAATGTTTCTTCTTTTTCTCCCTTGCCTTTCTCCCAGCTATTTGGGGTCGATCAGTCTTAATTTTTTTAAAGAAAAATGTTTAAATAATAATATAATAAAAATTAAATTAAAATAAAGAAATAAATGCTTAACCTGAGATATTTTTTTTATTTCGAAACTGGTCGTACTTTATATAGCAATACTCCAGTTAAGCATTTATTTATTTATTTTTTTGTATTAACTATTTGTTTATTTATTTATATATTTATATATATTTAATGTGTTTTTGTTTTCTTTGCAAACGAAATAGTTGATATTTTTATTAATTCTGAATTTCATGCAATGACTAGTAATGATAAATTATATATTATATTTAATATATATTTACCTATATTTATTCTGGATGTTATTAAAAAATTATAGTTTTTGATTTAAAGCCTATGCTATGCCAAATATAATTATTATGCTATTAACTTATTAGCACTTACCTAATTTTTATTTTGTATATTTTATATTTTTATTTTTTTTTTATTTATTTTATTTTTATTATAGTATTCATTAATATAGAATTTACAAATATAGTGGAACCTCGATAACTCGAAACTCGAATATAAAGATACATCTAGAGGCGTGTTTAAGAATTTTGAATTGGGGAGATGGGTTTAAATTATTTTTATTATTTCTATAGGAGTCAATATAAAAATGAGATATATTTTAAAATATAAATAAATAATGTATAATTTTTGTATTACAAAATGTTTGTTAAATGTATAAATTATATTACTATTAATCAGAGAACAAAATCAAGTTTATGAAGTTTTTTCTAATATATATATATATATATTAGATAAAACCACATTCTTAGGTAAAATTATTTTAAAGAAATTAAAAATGAAATAATTTTGAAGATCTCTTAGATAATCACGAGAGATGTTTTACATCTACATCAGCATCTTTAAAAAATGTTTGAAACTATAAGTTATATTTTCACGTATATCTAAGTACAGTCGATTCCGTTTAATAGAGACACCGATTAATAAAGACAACCGCTTAATCGGGACAATCCTACATTTACGAAAACAAATGTATACTAGTAATGTAAAATTACGCCGCTTATCTGGGCCGTGAATCCGGATAATTGGGACATTTCTATTAAATATAATAGTAAATATTAATAGATCAATAGTTTGACAATCGCGATTGACTCCTGTAATCAATTATTAGATTAAATTATACATTTTATCTTATCATATGTTCAAATGTGATGTGTTTTAAATGTTATTTAGTGCATTAGTCGTGTTTGTCGCGTGCAGTAACGATGTCTCGTATGCGTAAAGATTTATCGCTTGCGCAAAAATTAGAAATTCTAGACAAAATTAAATTATAGCCACCAGGCTGTAGTACTCGTCGTATGTCGGAAATGTTAGAAATATCGAAATCAACAATCGCTCGAATTTAACTACAAGACCGTTTTTGCGAGAACAAGCTCTTAACCAAGTGACAACCCGGAAAAGAAAACGAGAGGGTAAAGATGCAGTTGTAGACGAGGCACTGACTCAATGGTTTACACTGGCTACTAGTCGGGTCCTATATTAAAAGCTAAATCCGAAGATCTTGTTAGGAAACTTGGTAATGAAGAATTCAAAGCCACCGATGGCGGGTTATCTAGATGGAAATTAAGACACGACATAAAATTTAAAAGATCACATGGCGAAAAAGCTAGTGCATACTCAGAGTGTGCCGATGAATGGAAACTTACAAAATTACCACAGATTCTTGCAAAATTTTCTTTCGATGATATTTATGACGCAGATGAAACAGGATTGTACTACCTTGCAACCCCAGATGGTTCTCTGTGTTTTAAACACGAATCGATAGCTGGATCATAAAAAGCTATGGACAGAATAACTATACTGTGTTGTGTGAACGCAATTGGGACCGACAAAAAAAAGCTTTTAGTGATAGGAAAAAGTAAAAAACCTCGTTGTTTTCAAAAAATTTCTTTACAAAAATTACCAGATGAGTGTCATGCAAATAAAAACGCATGGATGACTTTGGCCATTTTTACCGAATGGTTACAACGTTGGGATAGTGAGTTGAACAAAACAAAAAAGGCTAAAAGGCAAAAAAATGCCTCGTTTTAGACTACTGTACTGCCCATCCTAATATATATATGAAAAATATCAAGCTTGAGTTCTTACCACCTAATACAACGTCACTAATTCAGCCTTTAGATATAGGTGTTATCCAAAATTTAAAGGTTAAGTATAGAGCAACACTGGTCAATTACATTTTAGAAAAGATTGAAGACAATTTATTTGAACCAAAATCAACGGCAATAGATATCAGTAAAAAAATTAATATCCTACAAGCAATTCAATTAATTTCAGACAGTTGGCGTGATATAAGTAGTAGTTCGACAATTAAAAATTGTTTTCGCAAGTGTGATTTTTTGGAGGAATGTCAAAACATCGATCAACAGTTGGAACCTAATTTCGAAGAATAAGAGTACTAAACAACGTAGAATTTGAACAACTGGATTCAAATATGCAATGCTATGAACAAAATGAATACATTGATGATGTTATTATTCAATCCATACAAGATCAATATAATTCAAATGAAGACACGGACGAGGAACCAGATCCACCAATCCGACTACAGGAGGCAAAGAAATCTATGGAAACACTGAGATTATTAAATAATCTCAATGTTTCTTTTCAAATTTTTTTCTTCAACAAGGAAATGAGGGAAGCCCGATAAGTGCTTTGGATACTTGTTCGGACTACATTCGTCAACAAAAAAAATAAGTAAAAAAACAAAGTAATATTCATAATTTTTTTAAATAAGATAAAATAATAAAAAAATAAAATATATATATATATGTAATTTTATAAATATTTAGATTATAATGCTATGTTTTTCTTTTTGTATAATTAAATAATTTCTATAATTGTATTAGTGTAATATGTATTTGTAATAATAATAAAATATAAGAAATCAGTTTTTCAATAAATGTATATGTTTTTTTTTTTATTTCGGATTATTGAGACAACCGCTTTATTGGGACAATATAACATGGAACCGATGTGTCCCGACAAAGCGGAATCGATTGTTTATCTTTAATCGTAATAATAATACAACTTATAAAAAAAAAAGTGTTTAGAAAATTACTTGGTTCGTGTATTTTCGTCATCATTTGATATAAAAATGATAGAAGCATGTAAAATCATTAAATATCTATAATAGTCAATGGGAAGTTTGAGCACCCTAACTTCCTTTCCTCTTTCTTTGAGAAAGCCTATGAGTACAACGCAATAACCACTAATTATGTTATCGTTGTAAGATATCAATAATCATGATATTACTATTTCTCTATTGCAGTATCAAGAAGTAAACAACGAAGAAATAATGGATTTAGACGAGATCCTAGGAAACTTTGGACTGGGCTCATATCAATTGACAGTTTGTGGTCTAATGGGGCTTGTACTCATGTACTCTAACATATCGCCACTCAGTTATGCAATTACTGCCAGTGATCTGAAATACAGGTATATATAAGTGGTCATATTTTTTTCTGTCTAACATTTAACAGACGTAAATTGACACTTTTTATTAATATTTATCTGAAAAATAATACGAAAAAAAAGGTTTTTTTTAGGTTTAAAAATGATTTATGCTTGAAATTATGATTATATTTTATATCATTATTTATTTTTACACTTGGCATAATCGAAATTTTACTTTAACAACTTTAAAATATATACTGTATTTAAATTAATTTATTATCTACCTGAGTGTTTCTCTTTTGATTTATGTAATCGTATTCTACTTGACAAATTGATAATATTATTTTTAAATTTTTAAGTGGTGAGAGTACATTTATATACTACTTTATAATCTTTTATAAAATGTACAAACATTTAACTGCTTTTATTTCCAAGCTGTACAAATAATGATTATGTTATGATATTTGAAAATTATACATTTACATACATATTTCAGTAGATGTTAAAGTAAATTTAATCAAAATATTAATTAATATTTAATTTATAATTAATTATTATAAATTGTAATTAATCGAACTCAACATTTTGTGCTATCAATTTATTTATTATATATACTTTAAATATATAAATTTGTAACATTTTAGGCGAATCTCATTTATGGACACATTAATAAATAAATAAGATTCAACTGAAAAAGAACATTTTGATTTCTATAAACTATTATTAAAACCGAACGAATTCATTGAATTTTAAGAGAATATTAATAGATTTGTTACAAATTAAACCAATAATAGATATTACTGACAATAATTATAATTAAAAATTATAAAATATAAATACAATTATAAAAAAAAATTAAAAAATGTATATACACATTACGGAAAGTATGATAAATATTAATAAATATATAATATGTACATAAAGTATACATAAAACATTCCAAATGGTGGTTTACGTAGGAATATACTTTTTTTTCGAATTATTTTTATTTTTATAATCGGATATTTCGTTGTGTTGCGAAAAAAATTAATTGAATTTAAATCCACAAAAAAAGAAATTTTTAATTTAAAGACAGAACGTATAATATTAACCAACTAACTTTAAGCTTTTATAATTAAAAAAAAGTACAAAGCTGTCATCATACTAAAATAATCTCAACAAAAGAAAAAAAATCAAATGTTAAATAACAGTTTTATATTTTTATAGAAAATCAGTATAAGATATTGTTAATTCATTTTTAGGAAAATAAGCTATAAATAATTAATTGGTATGTGAGATATCCAATGTCTAAAAAATCTTATATTAATTGTTTCATATATATTAAAATAAATATGATTTTCTAGATATTTAAATAAAAACTACGAATATCTAGTTCCAAACTAACCTCAATTCAAATTAATTTAAAAAAAAAAAAATCTATTTTCTATATTGAATAATTTTTAGGTATTTTTAATAATTTTTCGATATACAACCGATATATACAACCGATATAAAACCGATACCCGATATTATAATCACAAGTAAAAACTAAGTTGATTATTAATATACTCGTATTACATAAAAAAAATCAACTTTTTTGGCAAAACCATGAACTGATACTAAAATTAATCCGATACTACAAACCGATAAAACCGATACCCGATATTATAATCGCAAGTAAAAACGATTTTTAATATATTACATAAAAAAAATCAACTTTTTTGGCAAAACCATTAACCGATACTAAAATTAATCCGATACCACAATCCGATAAAACCGATACCCGATATTATAATCACAAGTAGTTTTTGCGGTATCGGTTCAAATATCGGTTTTGAAAATAAACCGATACCGATATTTCCGATACCACTAATATCGGCCGATAAGTATCGGTTCTAGGATAGGTCCTCCCCTAATAATTTTGTAGAAAATTAATTTATTTGAAATTGAAATTGTGTAAGTATTAAATTAGTTCCTCACGATTTATTCATGCAACATATTAGATGGTAGCTTATGTCTAATAATACTTTGATTAATTATTTCTTACAAGGGACACCTATTTTTGACCAATCATATTATTAGTAACGTATTTAGGATTTTGATATCCTCGAACGTATAGTATCTCCTTCATATTGAAACTCTATACTATATTTTTAATTTTCTTTTTATAATTTTTTTTCTTTTTAATAATAAAACGAATTTTAATAAAAATATGGACATGTATTATAATACTTGTAAACCATAAACAGTACACAGAAATTAAAATAAAATATAAAAAATTTAGATTAATTTCAAGGTGTATTTATCCAAATATGTTTTCATTAATTTATATTGCTACACGTTATTTTCTCATGAATTACAGTGGCTGTCACGATATTAAATTATTACTATGTATGAAGTTATTAATTAGATAGTGATACTATAACAATGCTTCCAACTTTATTAAAAAATACGAATAAAATATGATCAAAATATTATTGTAGTTAATGAATACAAACGTAACATTTTCTAAATGAATTTGTCATTAATTGTTGCAATCGGTGAATCTGAAAATAAATTCTTAATTTGTAAGGTTGCTTCTAATTATAATTATTCTGTACAGTGTTCTCTTAATTAAAATAATGTTCATGTATATTATTCAAACGCCATAAAATGTATGAATATAATTTTTAAATTTCAATAGTAAAAATTAGTAAAAGAGTGCATGTGGTTTATTGTTTATAGGATGTATTTACTATCAACTATTAAATGCAAGTTTTTTAACGACACTACGACTAATGTAAATTAAGAACGATATTATTATTTTTAGTTGAATTTTAAATTATATATAAATTGCTTTAAATAATGTGTTAAATTATATACGCGATTTTTTATTACTAAGATCAATTAAGAGCACTTTTGTTTTTTCGGAGAATTAAATTGTATCGCCTATTTCATTGTGAAAGCTGCGAGTAAAAACAGGTATTTAATTGCTTTAAAATGGAATTATTTCCTTAGTTTTTTTTTACTTGAAGTATTTAATACTGAATTCATTTTACTGAAGTAGACAAATTGAATTTATGATAAATTGAAATCAGATTTTTTCGTTATTAATAATAGATAAGCGAGTCTAAAGAGTGCATTTGATTCGTAATCAATCGAGAAGAGCTACTTATTTTCTTTTGAAATATTTCAGTTCAATAAACACTAGATTTTTTCCATTTATATCTATAATATAAAATTTTTACTATATTCTCGATACTTCGTTATTAATAATTTATTATAATAAATTATTATGATTCTATAGAATCATAAAATATGATTAAAAAAAAAAAAAAATCATAATAATAAAAATGTTAGGTTTAAGAACCATAGCATACGTTATATGGTAACTTTATATACTTAATTTAAGTACAAGGTTAGAAATAATTAATTTGCCAATCTTGTTTTTTTTAAATACCCATGTGCACATTACATGTTGAGACGAAAACAAATTGTACACTACCATTTGAGTTGTTATTATAATTTATTAAAACATTTAATATAAATGAATAATTAAATTTGTGCCATGATATTGTAAAAATAATTGATTATTCTGTCATGTAAATATGATTAATTTATTAGGCGCATTAAATAGGGATTTTCAATACATCATTGCAAATACATTTGTTATAAAAATAATTTAACACTAATTTTCTTCGAAAATGCAATTTTATAATCGAGTATTAAATCAAGGCTTTGCACCCGAATAACTTTTTCGGATTTCGGGTGTTGAATGCATTCGGGTGTTAATAACCGTTATTATTCGGGTTAATATTGGTTAATACGGGTGTTAAGTAGTCAAGGAAAAATATTATTTTTTATTGGTGGAGGGTGGTGGGGAGGCTGAGCCCTCTCTCCACTAATGAAATATTTATATTTTATGTTACCTGCCTATGTAATAAAATATAAATTTCATATACAACTGTGCAACAGTTTTTTAGACCAAACTATCATTATGTTAATTTCAAGCAATGGTGTAACTACGATTTATTTTCGGGGAAGAGGGGATTATTTTATATGTATATGAAGCTTATAAATTATAATACATATCTATTAAAATTAAAAATACTAACACTATGTCCTACTCCTAGTTAGTGCGGACATATGGCATGCGACAAAAAACAAACTATTTTGTATTCTGCGTTTGTGTTTGTGGCATAGGCGGAAACCGGTGGTGGGGCTAGAGGGGACTAAGCCCCCTGAAATATAAAGTACAAGTCTTAGCCCCCCTAGCCCTAAAAATTGTTAAGTGACTAAAAATACAATAATTATTATAACTGTAAAATTCATTTTTAATAACTGAATTAAAAAAAATATTCTGTAAAAAAAATTAAATCAAATTCGTAAGATTTTACAAACTTCTAGTCATGAATTGGAACGATTGCAATTAATATAATATTAATAATATGTAATAATGTAACCCATGTAGGTTGTTTAATTTAATTAATTAATAATTTCTGTTTAGAATACCTACTTCAAAAATGTTTATGATAAGGCACTTAATTGTTTTTTTTTTTTGTTTAAATTGTTGATTAAAACTGTCAAATTGTTAAACTTCGTAAATTGCCTTGTTGAAATAATAAGCAAATAATCCTCAACCCCCCACAAATTTCACCAAATTTCCCCTTATGGTTTGTGGTGCGTGCGCACACTAAAAACGCACTAGCTAAAACATAAGTTATGTTATATATAACATAGGTAATAATAATAAAATAATAATAATATAATAATAAAAATAATAAAATAATAATAATAAATAATACATAACATAGGTTATGTATTACGCTATCGTAATACAAAAATAATGATGATTTTTGATTGTACTAATGAATGTTACAATGAAATTATTACACCAACAAAAATTGACAATTCATGCCATAGACATGTGTACTACACGCCATACACTGAACAAATACGAATAACGCGAACAATAATTTAAGTAATCGTACGCGAGATATCAATTCTATTTCAGACTTACGGTATTGCAATAAATAACGACTCGGTGATTCGCAGAAGATCCATTACCATAGGCGGACATTTGGTTGATTTTTTGGGGGGGCTATAATAATCCAATGTAAAATAACCCACAGGGGCTTCGCTCCCACACTCCCTTCCCATAAAAAAGTAAAACTTATTACTATTAAAAACATAGATATGTTTAAATTTTATTAAAAAATACTAAATAACGTATATTTAAAAATAATTAATATTTTATTTTAATGATAAATAACTATTTGTATTAGCGAAGATACTCAAAGTATCATTGCTTTTTATCTTTTTCAATATATAGTATTGAAAGATTGCTGAACCTATCTTGAACCAACAATGTCCTCAACCAAGTTTTTATTTTTTCCATTGCACTGAAACTTCTTTCGCAAGTAGCCAAACTATGTAATTGGTATGTTAATGCTATTGTAAATAGTTTTTTATTATTTCTTATTTTACGATTTTCAAAAAAAATGAACAGATAATTATAAATAAATTATAAAAACAACGAATAAAATTTCAATGTTTCGATTTTGGGGGGATCTAAACCCCCCAAGTTCCCTTATACCCGCCTATACCTATTACCCATTCAATTATAATAATACGACGTATCTATTTGGGATAATTTTAAAAATAGTATCCCAGTTGTTTACACTCTAACATTCAACATACCATACCATTCATGCATACATGTCAATATGATATATTGCTATTGTCTTTATTTAGATAAATTTAGATTAATTAACAATTTTGTACATTATTTGTGAAATTATTCCTGTGAATAATAATTTTACTATTAAACAACTAATGACAAAATTGAAATAACCACAAAAAATACATACAAAATGATATGTCACATATAGATTGTAAAATAAAAAAAAATCATTTGGGTTATATGGGTTTTAGGTGTTTGATTTTTTAAGGGTTCTTAGGGGTGTTACGGGTTCGAGTTAATTCGGGTGCAAAGCCTTGTATTAAATATTAGGTAAATAGTTCGAAAATAATTATTTTTAAGTTAAAATATTAGAGAAATATGAACTTTTATATTTTATAGCTGAATATGCATTATTACATTTAACTAATTTATTTGGTCAGAACTATTTGTTATATTAACTCTAATTTAATTTAAAACTATCAATAATGTCATAAACTATTGAAATACTTTTTAACATATGCTCTAAATCATTTTTATGTTTAAAATAAAGTTGCTAATTTATTTGAATTTTAACTAATAATTTAACAGAAAATGTTTAAAAATATAAAATTGAACTAATCATAGATTTTAATAAATTATAGTAGACATGGACACATGATAATATATATTTTTAATCTTAAAATAGTAAAAAAAATTATTACGAGTGATTTAAATTCATTAGCTTATAAAAATGCATTTTTAATTTTTTTGAACGAGTATCAATAAATTTAGTAACAAATAATTTTCTATGTACATTTATTTTTAAATATTATTATTCACTTCTGCCTTGTAGTAAAAAATAAGAATACCGTGTAATTTAATAAAAACCCTATCGGACGAACTAACGATTTTGACAAGACGTGTTGAATTTCATAGTACCACGACATTTTATCTTCCATTAACATTGTATAACCCATTTTAACTTACTAGAAACCTATATATAACGAATTATTAAAATACTTTGAACATGAAATTTCGTATGAATAAAATATACTATCAGTGACAAATCTAATCTCAGAAAAACTTGGATTATAAAATCATTTAGCCATTTTACATTAAAAATAAACCTATGATATACTAAAAATGACGATGTGTAGTCGAGATAAACATAAAATAACCTGAAAAACAACTTTTGGTATCAAAATCAAAATTCACAAAATTCTTGTCTTGAAGGCTGGATATTATGTACCGCTTGTACTTTTGGTAAATCCAGAATTGCCTTTATTATTTTTTTCTGTTACCTATATGAGAAAAAATCAAAGTTAAATTTGTGGTAATTCTTTAAAAAAAAAAAAAATCGATCAAGCTTATTTGTTTTGTAGTGTAATATTCGCTAATAACTATGCAATTAAATTACCAGTGTACACAAATTATAAATTAAATTAAAAAATGTATTGATTTTTCTTCGGATTGTTTTAGATGTGAAATACAACAATGCGACTCAAATAATACATCGTACAACCCAGATTGGTTACGGATAGCCGTACCTTTTAAGGATCCTGATTCCTATAATGAGCCTTACAAGTGTGTCAAGTATAACTATAATTTACCACCAAGCGAGTTGGGCAAGTTGAATAATACGTGTTTACCCAAATTTTTTGATACTAACTCACATCAGAAATGCGATAAGTGGGTGTTTGACGACACAGAAAGAACCATAGTAAACGATGTGAGTCAAAAACCTAACAAAAATTGTTAAGTAACTATGATTATTCTTATTGTAAACAATAACACTAATACCGTTCAATACGAACTTATTTTATTCAGTTTAATATCATGTGTGATGATAACAAATGGAAACTTAGTATGGTGGGGACAATAAACAGCATCGGTCAATTCATTGGCATTCCTCTATCGGGATTTATTTCGGACAAGTAAGTACAAAGTAAATTACACGTCCTGTCACTCAATGATCTAAAACATAGATAAATATCATATTAAAATTAATATTTAATAATATTTTTAATAATTCACTCACATAAAATTACGAGTACAAAAATATAAAAATATTCGACTATACTATAACTATAAATGTAGTGAAGATCTATACATAGACACAGTGGCGTCGTGAACCATGATTTTCAGAAGCAGTGGCTTCTAAAATTTAGAAGTGATAGATGGTGGAATGTGACTTGATCAATTATTGGTAAATGATTAGGTATATTGGAAAGCAGCAATCAAATTTTTATGAACCTTAAAATTTAAGGTGTATAGTGAACGCTAACATTGAATCGATTGGTGTGGTGGGGTGGGTCATTAATAAATTGTTCGCTTCTATATTCTTTATAGTTGCTACGTCACTGCAAAGACACCTATATTATGTTTACAAGAATAAAAAAAGACTAATATAGATGCACTTATCGTTTCATTTTACATTAATATTGCGTTGGGATATGCAGTTAAATATTATTACTTTTCTTAATTCTAATTTGATATTGTATGACATTAATAGCTAACAGAACTAAGTATTAAGATATTTAACGACTGCAGTTGACAATAATAAATATTTATCAAATGAATTAACAAATGAGTTTAATAATTAAATGCATTTTGCTTACACATAGAAATTTAAATTTTCTAATACGATTTTATAATGTTTTAATCGTACATTTTGTATTACCTAAAATCTACATGATAAAATTGTATACAGTTTCATCTTCATCCCTGTAGTCTGTACTAATATATATTCGGGAACTAATAAAAATATTCAAATAAAGCATTTCAATGTTATCTTGGTAATTTATATCCCAGATTTGTTTCACTAAATCTAGACCTACATATATTACCTACCCCTAAATCCATATGTAAATAGACACATAAATATACACGGGTATTACAAACTAATGAGGTTCTTAATTTTAAAAACGCGTCAACAATAAATGTAATAAAAGGTATAGGTTACACATTTTATTGCAAATAGTAACGGCACTAAGTTTAAATTTTGTCAAGACATCTGGATTACGACCTTGTGTATATACATACGTACTAATATATATGTACATTAAATCGATATATTCATAAACCCATATACTAACCCTGCATTGGATAAATATGCACAAATAAAACATCAATATTATAGAACACTTGCCCTTTATCAAATGACCAAAAAAAAATTACTCGAAAATATTTTTTTTATCGAATATAACTGTTGAAAATACCGATTAGAACTTATTTGAATGCTTTTAGAACACTTCTATGTATAAATTAAAACATTTAGTTACTTTCTATACATTTTAGTAATTTATGGCCATTATTTATGATGAAGAAAACATGTCCATTAAACTAGCTTAACGTAATTTTATAATCGAAAGTTATCTTTCTGGTTGATGGTAAAAAATCATTCAAATCATCCCGAACAAAAATATTTAAATATTGAAGGATGAACAAATAAAACTTAAAGAATTGTTAAATGATTTCAAGCATTAAAAGTAAAAAATTAAGAACTTTTTAAGGTACAAACCGAACAAAATTCTAAGCAAATTAAAAATCGCAAGATGATAAGTAGCAATCACATCATAGGAACTCTGCATAAGTCTATTCAAAAATTAACTTCGCAAACAAACATTTCGTTAACAATTTCTTATTAATCCACAAAATAGTTCAAAAATTATCTTATAATAATAAATCTAATTTTTTTTAAATTTTTTTATTTATGAAACTTTGTAGATTTACAATTATCTTCAACAATTAAATATAAAGCTAACATAATATAACATAATATATAAATATAAGTGTTACAATAATTTTAAAGAGAAGGTATAGGAAAATAAGATGGAAGTAAGTGGTTGACAACTATGGTTAATAGAAGTAATAACGGGTTGATTATGGCTTTGAAATTTGGAGATTAGGCTTTTGGCTGTAGTTGTTGAGGGTGAAATGTTAGCAGTAACATTGGCATATGAATGTTTTTGTTTCTGGTTGGAACTGGAGGCGATTTTATTTATAGACGGAATGATGTGATTAAGCACCGGATGACAATAAGTTTTGAGTGGTGGAGATTTTTTGCGGTTTTCACTAAGTTTTTAAATACTGGATATCCTTTGTATGAGGCTGTGTGCGGCCCCGAACATAGGGCACACTTGGCGGGTTCTGATGGTGATTTAGTACAATCTGAAGTGTAATGGTTTTCTCCACATTTGACGCATCGTGGGGATTGGTGGCAAAAGTTACTAGTGTGATAATAAGCTTGACAATCATGGCATTGTGGAGGGAAGAGAATTTCCCGGGCTGCTCAATTTTGATTCTGGTATGAAGAAACAAATCTAATTTAAGATTATCACTGTTATTATCAGCAACTTTTAGATCAATTCGAAAAGAGGCAAACGTCTTTTAGTGGTATGATGTAGAATATTAGAGACCTAAATAACTTCGTGGCCAATATCAAATAAGCTGGCTTGTATGTCTTCCACAGCAGTGAACAGGTGAAGGTACCTGATAAATACAGCATATGGTTTCAAACTAGGTGTGTGTGGAAATTTATCTGTTTATTAGTGATAAGATAATTATAAACTAGATTATAATTATTGATGCCGTCGGTGCGGATAATCTGGTGCTTGGGGTATTTTAAAAGTTAATACCCGAAAGAATGACAAGGTCGAGTAAGGATTTCTTGAGCGTATAAAATTCGTAGTCACCACTTAAATAGAAGAAACTATTTCCCAATTTTAGCCGGAAATTATTTGCTTCAATTCCATACATTAGGTGTCTATCGTCTTTCGTCATTTTTGTCCTTTCCCAATCTGCTTGCAAATATTTCTTCAATTTAAGAATTTCTTAGACAACCAGTCACCTGTCGACACGTTTCATTTAATGTAACATCGATTTTTTTTTTGAGTGGGTAAATCTATCCCACACCGGTGATGTATATTCGGCTGTTGATAGGCATAGAGCTATTGCAGTAGTTCTTAATGTTTATGGTTGGGTTCCCCAGCAGCTCCCCATTAGTTTTCGTAACAGTCCGTTTCGTGACGGTTTGAATTCAAGCCGGTGAACCAAAGTAAAAAAAATGAAATAATTTATAAAAACACTTGATTTTAAAGTTTTGAATCGTTTATATTTATTAAATCGAGTTTATTTAGTGATATTCTTTATCAAATTGTCTATTCGTTCTATGTTAATAATCTTTTATTTATGATTTAAATTTTTTATTAAGGTATGGTCGCAAGTTTATCTTGATTACTGGATCTGTTTCATCTGCCATACTCGGCACAATCCGATCATTCACAAACGATTACTATTCGTTCCTGTTTTTTGAATTTTTTGACTCAATAGTTTCCAGTGGTGTATATGCAGCTACGTTTGTTCTAGGTAAGAAAATTAAATTCTTAATTTCTAATTATGTGTACATATACTTAGTTATGCTAAACATTCTTATAATCTAGTTGATATTTATTCAAAATTTCTAAATTATTATCCGTTATGAATGATTTTTATTTTTTGGAAATCCAATAATTAGATAATAAGATAATAATATATATTTTTTTTTCAATACTATTTATTTAATACAATGTGTCAATATTATTCCAGGTCTAGAATTAGTCAGTCCGAAATCACGAGTAACGGTAAGCACTCTGATGGGTTGCTTCTATCCAATGGGTGCGGTTTTCATGGGTCTCGCAGCATACATGATTCTCGATTGGAGGATAATTCTTAGAGTGCTCTATCTACCCGGAACACTAATTTTGGGATACATCTGGTATGTTTGATATCTTGTCGTCTTACGCTGTCTGTACGTATAACAATGTGTCTTAAACATTTTGGATTTTAATGCGATAGGTACGTGCCAGAATCGATGCGGTGGCTTCAAACACAAAACAGAATCGAAGAAATGGCTGATGTGCTATCTAAAATTGCTAAATCAAATGGTAAAACACTACCATCCAATTTAGGTCCAGTTAAAGATGCTCTGATTGTCAACGCTCAAATTAATAAAATGGTAATAATACTGCATAAGTATATTCTATATATATAGCAACGTCCAATACTGGGTTTAGTTTTATTATCATCTGAGACAAACGTAAATCATCTTATTCACATGTTTTATATTTTCGTTTGATTATATTTTAAGTATATATTATTTATATAATAGAGAATTTGTCACCGGTGACAGTAAATCGATACTGCTTTTTACATTAACCTTCCATTACCATAATGATTAAAAAAAATAATCAATGCACAATATTTAAATCATAAACTAATTTGGATGTAGTTAAAATTCATAATACGCCAAATGATGGATATTTTTGATATTTCTAGTTAAAATATAAATTAAATTATATAAAAATACAAAGAATTATCTTTTTGTTTACAATATATTTATTTTTTTATTACTTTTTTTTTTGTAAATGTTAGAAAATTGATTAAATTAATTTTTTATTGTAATTGAAAAACTACTTTTGCAAAAAATACTCATAAATATCCTTCTAGAACATGGAAAGTTTGCGACGCTCATAGCGATTATCCCGAATAAATATTATAATGTCATTCCAGCCTGAAGATACAAAACTGTCATGCAGTAAATTGATGAAGGAAATATTTAGTTCGAAGGAGATCTTCCTGCGGTTGATCAACTGTTCGTTTTGTTGGTTAGTATACTACAACATTTAACACTACTGTAACTATTATAATATGTTTTTGATTGTCTTATTTGTTGCGATTTGATAAAATACCTATTTACACGTATTTTTGTCATTTTAGGATTACGATAACGCTAGTATATTACGGTCTCTCGTTGACTTCTGTGGAGTTCAATGGCAACAAATACTTAAACTTTATGCTTGTAAACGCCGTAGAAGTACCGGCGTTTTTGACATCGTGGTACTTCATGGAACGCTTTTCCAGACGAAACACTCAAGCGTTCACGTTCATTTTCAGCGGCATCGGTTGCATTTTGGTCAATTTAATTCCTTCACGTGAGTAAATCATTCATATTTTCCTTGTAAATTATTTTACTGGATATGCGTATGATTTCAATATAAAGACACATAACATATCTATAATATTTCCATAAATTGTAGATACTAGTTCCGACGTTCCAAAACAAAACATATTGTATATATTATACAGTAGCGGCTCGTAGTTTGGACGACGAGACGATCGCGCATCTCCTAATATTATTTATGAAATGAAGGAAAATAATTCTGATTGTAATAGTATACCTATTAATAATTTATTAAATTATAAAATATTTAAAATACTAAAATGGTCATTTTCAAATAATTAAAATAATCATTTTATAAATGTTGTTGGATGCGATCGCAGCGATTATCATGTGCGTATGCCATAAGTACGCATGCATATTATCCTATCACTGCTGAATGCTGGGCGATAGGCCGCCGCCCGCCGCTTTCGAACGAAAATCGTCGTCACCTAGGTTACTTTATATAATATTGTACATATCCGAGGTGGGCACTGGCGGCCCGCGGGTCTTTTTTATGTGGCCCGTGCTATATATTCAAATTACGTCTAACTATTTTAAAGTTTATCGTCTATCAATATAATAATTGTTATCTGGTATTAAATATCGTTAAATGTCTAAATGTCTTGTATAATATGTATAGTATACATTTTATACGTATATCTTTCAACTATAACTGTATGTACCGAACTATTTAACTGTATCAGTTTCTTCGTATCATTCGTGCCGTGCTGTTGTGTGTTGAATTTATTATTTTCGTGTATAGTATATAAATGCTAATTAAAATGCATATTTTGAAAGACTTTTTTTTTTGCTTTGCATGCTATGGCCTTCTAGATTTTAATTTTCTAAAAATTGGCCGTATAGTGACTTTAAGCAGGGACGTATTTAGAATTACTTCTAGGAGGGAAGAGGGAGACTCAAATTTTTTCTTTAATTCTGGCTTAAAATTTACAAGTAAAGTGTTTCGTATTATTTTAATCAGGTGAATCTTTAATATTTGTGGTTTTTTTTTTTTTTATCTAATGTCGGATCCACTTAGAATTGGCTTTTGTGTAGTTATTTTTTAATACCTGTCCGTATTTTGAAAGTTACACTTGTGCTTTATTTGATTTTTTCACTAAATATGACCCTGACAAAAAGCCCAATTCAGTATTCATAGCCACGCGTAATTTGATTTCATTATAAATTATCCACAATAAAAAAATTTGAAATATGTAGGTATCTCACATATAATCAATTCCTTTAATACGGATTCAAGGGGGGTGATGGCCCCTTTGACCCTAAAATATGACCCCGACTTTGAGTTGCTCATTTTGGACTGCGCGAACGTGTACGGATACGTTTATTCCGCACTATCCTGCAAGCGTATGGGACGACACACTGTGTCATCCAAACATAGGTATAAATATGATAATTTTTAATTTTGATAATGATTTTTAATTTTTAATTTTTATAATGATAATTTTTTCCAAACTAACCTGAACAGTTCAACCGTGGATTCCAGTTTCCGATTGCCAATTAAGGAATTTATTCTTGTCGATTATGTGTCTCATTTAATCGCGTGCGTTTTAAACCACGATTGTTTGCCAGCATTTAGCCAATAATAAAATAACAATTTCAAAAATAAATGATATAGGAACAGATAAATACTTTTTCATATTGTCGCACTCCCTTCATCAACATCCACGAGCCACCCCTGATATATTAGATTTACAATAAAATGGCGTTTTTGATTTACAGATTTTTCGTTGTTAAAATTGTTGTCGTTTTTGGGCAGTAAGTATGCCATCACTATGGCGTTTAACACAATGTACGTGTTTACCGCTGAGATGTTCCCTACTGAACTGCGCATGTCACTGTTCGGTATAACATCTATGTTCGGACGATTGGGTTCCATGATTGCTCCACAAATGTCTTTATTGGTATTTAAACAAATATTAACTGTTCGAATGTTAGATGTCGAACGGGAAATAAAATTAAAACGCACTCATGTAAAATAAATTACATTTTTTGTAACAGGCCTCCTATTTTGGGCAGTACGTACCGATTTTATTATTCGGAATCATATCGTTTATAGCCGGAGCGTTGTCATTCTTATTCCCGGAGACAAAAGATCAAAAACTACCAGACACAGTAAAACAGGCTGAATTCGTCGGAGAGGTCTACAAGGACTCGTCAACTGGTTAATCCAATACGAGAACATGTACTGCGAAAGAACTGTGCCTTATGAAATTTGTATGAGTTTTTTCATTTTTAAAAATGAGTCATGTGTCTCAAAACGTATTATTTATTTTTTATTTTAACTGTCCAACACTAATCAATAGTATTCTATTAACTATAAGTGGAAAAAAAGTTTCTATAACCTATAAGTCCGCATGATTATTATGTACATGTGTACTTGGTTCACTATCTGACATATATATATTTATAGTTTTATTTTTTATTTATACAGTATGTAATCGTGAATAATTTCTTAAAAAAATTCCATTTCATCACCCTTTTTCAGGTGTTATTTTTTATATTACTGAAATTTCTGTGATATTTAAATATGTAATACTTACATAATTTAAAAATTTTAAAAAAAATTGTTAATTATTAATTGTATTACTATTATCTAGTATATATTCAAGTGCTAAGTATACCACCTCTGTAAACATATATTATTGTTAATTATAGCAATAACGTTAATTATTATAATATATTTTAATAGGAAAATATACTCATATAAGAATATATTAGTATAAATATATTTAAGGAATTAAAGACATCATATAATTGTATTATAATATTTTAGTCAAAGTATTAAACTATTTAATTTTTTAATGTAATTTTTATTTAAAAAAAATCATTGTTGTACGTTTCATGTATCAAAAATTTTTGTTAAAAATAAACAAAATACTTATTTTACAATATATTTTTTATTAGATAGGAAAAAATTTAATATTGTTTTATCAATAAAATTTAATTTTTAATTTTTGATCATATTATTTTACCAAAAAAATATAACACTATTTGTAGTGCATTCGATGTATTAAAATGTACTGACAACTAACGTCTCACATAATAATTGAGTGCTAAATGAAAAACGCGAAAATCACGGATTAAGTGTCCAACATACTTATATATCAGTCGGAGCTGGTTATGTCTCATAATTATCGTCATGACAGGTGATTGAAAGGCGTTGATTGTCCGTTTGTATAACAAAAATAAATATAATCCCCCTTAAAAAGTTTCTACTCGTGGTCGATCCTCATTTGCTGCTAATTCAGAAAAATATATAAATATTTATTAATAAAATTGTAAAAGTTAAAAATTCATCCCTGTAGATTGAAAACAATCTTGGTTATTATCTACTGGACACTAATAATTGTAATATATTCATAATGACTGTGTTATTTGTATTAAATACAAATCTAAGATGTTGGAGACGGTATATAAAACATGATTGCCGACTAACATTGTATATTATGGTTCCGATACGAGTAGATTAGATGATACATCAATTTGCGGCGTCACGTTGAAGCCTAAGTCCACGCGTATTAGGTGGCAATCAGTTACATTTTATCGTCTACGATGTGAGTCAGCCTGAGTAGTTTACAATCGTAAAGATGAAAAAAAAACTGAAGATATTTTGTAGACAGGGTTTGATGGTACCTAACGCAATTTAGCGGTGACGTGAATCGTGATGGGTCCGACAAAAAGCTGGTTTCACATTTTGGTGTCTCAGTACCGTAACTAGAGGTTGGTGAAATAGACGGTTATCAAAGGTGCTTCAGAGTAAGAGGTGCAATTGAATTAAATTCAAATTTGATTTTTTGTTTAAAATAAGTGCCAGAATAAAATTCACTGAGATCGCTACGGAGGATAGTTACGGCACTGCGTTGCGTGCCAAAAAGCCACAAAATTGTTCACCATTTATACCTATAAAAAATAACACATGATTAATTAATAATAAATCGAATATCGGTTACATAATACTTAACTTATTGGTAACGACTTAAGTAATTGACAACAAACACATGTTTTCGATGTTAAAAATAATGAAATTTATGTTTTATATTAGTTAATATATTTATAAGTTACTGGCGCAATGTTTTTCACAGATTAGTGGCAATTATTCAATCTTTGTCTTCACGTGGTTTATATTTTCGAGTACATGATGAAAATATTGGATCAATTCACAATGGTAACTTTTTAATGATCGTAGAATTTTTGGCGAAATTTGATCAATTCATATATCAACACATCGAAAAATACAGTAACAAGGGTATTGGATCTACTTACTTCATACTTATCTTCTACAATTTATAAGAAACGTATACAACTTATGGCTAATAAAGTAACATCTAAAATTATAAATTTAAAAAAAACAAATTTTTTTCTATAGTGATAGATTCAACTCCCGATTTATCTCCTACTGATCTGTTATCTTACACTATGTTCATCAAGGTGTCCCAATTGAACACTTTTTAATTTTTATTTCCGGGTGTAGTCATAATTCTCAACAGCTATGTGAAGTTGCTTATAATACTTTAAGACATTTCAACATCCCTATTGAAGACCGCAGGAGCCAGATGTATGATAATGCCAGCAACATGTCTGGGCAATATACAGGACTACAAGCAAAAATAAGAAATACTTAATCATCCTCTTGCAATGTATGTACCATACACTGTGCACTCGCTGAACCTAGTTGGAGTCAATGCTGTACAATGTTCTTCCGAAGCTACTAAGTTTTTTTGCAATCTTCAACATTTATATACCTTCTTTTCTACTTCAACTCATAGATGGGATATTTTAATGAGTCATTTAAGTTCTAAATCAAAGACAATAAAACAAATCAATACTACAAGATATTTTTCAAGGGATAATGCTTGTATCAGTTATAATAATCCTTGGTGTGAGACATTAAAAGCGCTATCAGAAATAGAAAAAAAAGCAACTGAAACATCAGAAACTCGAAGTGAAGCAGGTTGATTGCGTCATAAATTTGAATACTTGGAAACTCATCTTATCCCAATTTTTTGGGGATTGTTACTAAGTAGACTAAATGCTGTAAATAAAAAACTACAAAGCATCGAAATCGATGTAGTCATTGTTTTGGAGTTCTATGATTCATTAATTGACCTTATAAGTTCACAGCGTGAAGAACTTAATAATTATAAAGGAAAAGCACTAAATCGATCTACAATAAAACATTATAAAACTAGTGTATTAAGAAAAAAAAGGACGATCCAATACGACGAAAATAGAGCTAACGATACTGAACTCAATGGGAAGAAAAACTTCAGAATCAATACATTTATGGTTATTCTTGATGAACTAGGAAATTAATTATTAAAAAGACGCTAGGCGTATAAATATACCAAACTGATTTTGACCTTGAAGATTTGCAAAATGAGTTATTACATTTAAAAGAACATTTGATTATTAAATTTGGTCCAGAAACACTGTCTACTTTAAAATTGATTCAATTTATCTATGAAAATGAACTTGAAATAGTTTTAAGAATTTTTTTTAAGTACACCAGCAACTAATTGTTCGGCTGAAAGGTCATTTTCGTGCCTCAAAAGGATAAAAAATTACCAAAGATCGACAATGAGCCAACAAAGATTAAATACTTTAGCAATATTGTGTATTGAAAACCAAATTACAGCAGAGATAGAATATGAAAACATCATAAAAACCTTCACAGAGCAAAAAAGCAGATGCAAAATATTGATATAATGTTTTAATTAATTTTAATAAATAACAATTATTTGTATTAATTATCTATTTTGTAATTGTAAAAAAGAAAGTACTCATTTAATTTAATTTTAATAGATGTTTTCAAAGATTTTTTAACAAAATTTTTTAAATATTATAGGAATATGATAGCTATGTTTTTGTATTCAATGTTTATTACCTATTTCATATCTCACTATTTATATTTCCGTTATTTGACTGTTTAAGCATTGTTTATTTGTACTGGTAATAATGGTATCTGAAGTAAAATAATAGACATGAAATATTTTGTTTTTAGAAGTTTTCTATTTTAAAGATTTAATATTTAATATTTTTATTTTTTTTTGATAAAAAAACTGAATACAATTTAAAGAAAAGGGTTTAGACCAAATATTGTTGGTTCCTTAGTAGAGTGGTAGGGAGTGGGGGGCAGAGTGATTAAGCCTAGGGGCGCCAAATGCTAAATCCGCCACTGTTCGTGAATGAACAGAACATAAAGTGTGTTCGTCATTTTCGAATTGTGCATTATCAATTCGTATTTTATATCTTTTCTGGAGAAATTGAAAATTGTCTCAATATTAAGAGTACAACCAAGCATTTAAATGAAGACAACAATAAAGAAGAAAATAAACGTTAGTTCAGAAAATACGATGATAGTTATTTAGACTTTGGTTTTATTTACATCAAAATAGACAACGAATAACGTCCTAAATGTGTTATTTGTTTAAAAGTATTAGCTACCGATAGTATGATTCCAAATAAATTAAAGCGTAATTCTAAAACTAATCATGGATCATTAATTAATAAAAAACGAGATTATTTTGTTAGACAACGTGAACAATTAGAAAAACAATCAACCAGTTTTATCAAACAGACAAGTGTTCCGACCAAAGCACTTTTAGCTTCTTATAAGGTAACATTTCGTGTTGCTCAAAGTAAAAAACCTCATACAATTGCTGAAGAACTCATTTTACTATCAACAACTGATATGGTTTCTACTATGATCGGGGAATCTACTGCAAACCAACCTAAAAATATTCCCTTGTCTAATAATACAATAAATCGCCGAATTTATAATATTTCTGACAATATAAATGAACAGCTTATTAATAACTTATAAAACAAAAATGTTGTAATACAACTTGATGAAGCTATCGATAGTAATAAAGACGAACACTTGATATGTTATACTCGTTTTATGGACAAAACAAATATTATAGAAGATTTATTATTTTGCAAACCAATTTTCGGAGACACTAAGGCTAAAACCTTATTTGAGATCACTAATGATTTTATGTATTGTAATAATATTAATTGGGAAAATTGTTTGGGTGTATGTACAAATGGGGCTCGAGCTATGGCTGGTCATTATGATGGACTTCAGGATTTAATACGACAAAAAGCTCCAGAAATGATATGAACTCATTGTCTTATTCATCGAGAATCTTTAGCATCACAAAATATGTATCCATCGTTAAATACCGTACTTCAAACAGTTATAAAAGTAGTTAACTACATAAAAACAAGGCCTGTTAAAGCAAGATTCTTTAAAAAGATATGTGAAGAAATGGGAGCAGAGCATACTGCGTTACTGTTTTATCGTAATTCTTGATGGATATTAAAAGGAAACGTACTAATTTGAGTGTTCGAACTTAGACAAGAACTTTATACTTATTTGAGTGAAGAAGGTCAAAATGATTTTAACAAATTTATTGATAGTGATTTTGTAATTAAATTAGCGTATTTATGTGATATTATTGAAAAACTTAATATACTAAACACATCTTTACAAGGTAAAGAAACTCATATTCTGCAATTATATGATAAAGTGGTTGCTTTTATTAAAAATATCGACTTATGGCAAAGAAAACTGATTGAAGAAAACGGTTAAACCACGTATTTTTCACTTTAAAAAAGTTTTCTTGGAGATAATGATCTTAAATTAACAATGAGCTCATTAAAAATAATTTCTGATCATCTGATGACTCTTAAAAATCATTTCGAGAAATATTTTCCAGAAGACACCGTATAATACAATTGGATTAAAGATCCGTTTAGTGAAAAACCATTACCAAATTTCACAACTACCGAAGAAGAACAATTAATCGATATTTCTTCTGATTCTTCGTTACGAATGAAATTTTCTTCATTTTCACTTTTAAGATTTTGTAATAGCATTAAAGATGAATATCCTGAAATATCCAACAAAGCTTTCTGTGTACTACTACCATTTGCGACATCGTATTTATGCGAAGCAGGCTTATTGCAGTTGCTGTATTAAAATCAAAATATCGATCAAAATTTGATATTGAAAAAGAAATGCGTGTGGCTATCACAGTATTGCTACTTAATTTTGAAGAATTATTAAACGGAAAACAAGCACATTGTTTGCATTAAGTTTAAATATTAATACTCTTTGTTTTTTTTTTTTTTTCATAAAAATAAAAATATTTTGTAATACTTTAAATTGAAATTTAATATTTCCTGTTAACTTATATTGTCATTAAAATAAAAATGTTTGTATATTTAAATACTATAAATTTGTAATTTAATTTTTTATGGGAGGTGCAATTATTTTTTTTAATTTTTAGGGTGGCGTGAACTAAAAAAGTTTGGGAACCGCTGTTATACAGCTTATTTTAACACTTATTATAGCATAAGAATAGGTACATTCTCTAAACACGTGATTAATAAGCTGTATTTCGATTAGTTAAATCATCTGCAGCATACTTTTTCTATGATAAGTATCACATTCTTTTGAGTTGCATTTTTTAGTATTTCTGAAATGTAAACAAATGTGTTTATACTACATGTATGAAATTTGCAAATATATTTTCATTATTTCGTATCATAGTTGCTGATAAAACGTTTAATTGTACTATTTTTCCGGTTCGTTTCAAGTTCAGAAAATGAACCCAAAGTATTTTTCTACTTTTTTCCTGTTTAAATTGAAAATTTAAATCGCAAAGAATACCATGAAATAAAAGTAGAAAAGTCCTCCTTGTCCGGTGACAAGCAGTGATTTAAATAATTATGTTTAATCTTATGTATGGTATTATGATTAACAGTAAAATAATTTGAAAACATTACGTCGATTTCTTTAATCAATTTTGCTTTATAAATGATGGTAATTTTTCTATAATATAATAAATAATATACACAATTACATATATGTAAAAAATACAAGTATTCATATATGAATATAGTATACGAATAGTACCACAAATTAATGAGGAAAATTCGTTATAATACGCGTTTGATTTTTCCCTCATTGCACTTATAGTATATAATGTCTCCCCACCCATAGTTTTTACGGAAGCAACAAACTGTTACAGTTTCTATACAGGTGTTTTGTACACATTTAGTACACATCATAATGTAATTTAAGTAGTTAGTTAGTACTTAGCCACTGATGCAACGAGTGTGTAGAGCACTTGCATGCGTTATAATGTAACATTTCGTTTCAACGTTTTCGTTTTAAATGCATAAATACAATCAAAATGTTTGAATACGTCTATCTCACTGTTTGCCTCTTGTGCTTGTTCTACATATTAGCGGCGGTCTATACGCTGTTCATCCATTGAACTGTGCGTTTGATTCGCTGAACTCATGGGGTTCATTCTTGTTTCTGCAGCTACGTCATTTTCGACGCGATCGAAACATCAGGAATCATTTGATTAAAAAATTACCAAATAAATCAAATAAAGAAATTTAACTACAATATATTGTCCGTAAAACTATTGCCGTTTATGCGAATTAATTAATATATAGCAGGTTAAACATTTTTCATGAACAACGAACGAACCGCTATTTTCATATGTCTCCTTGCTCGATGTGCAGGAGGTGTTACGACACATTTTTAGCTTTTTTTTATTTAACTACTATACCTGTAATGTGCTTCTGCTACTGCTAACAACACAAGACATCAATACACACCATTCTGACACTCTTATTTAGTGTTTTTCGGTACGTAATTGTAGGGTATTGTTAGATTCCACGCATCCACCAACTGTTGAAAGCAATTTACTTCTCGAGTCTATGTTACATTACATGCCGTGCTCTATACTGTCAAATCTGTCACCAATAAGGCGCAATGGTTTCCACGAAAATCCGGTAAGCATTTCTAAATTTAACAATTAAATATTAATTTTAAACGCAAAATAACTTTCCGTATCATCAAAAACGATTGATTAAAAAATGTACTCATCCATTCATAGTTAAATAATATTGTCAATAAATATATTAATAATTATTATTTACTGATATTTCAAAATCTTTGATGATCGGTCAAAAATTGTTAGTCAAGTCTATCGAGTTTATCGAGTTTAATCAATTAAATAATTCGATTATATTCCAAGTCTCAAAACTGATTTTTCTATATTAGCATAAATTATACATTAACTATATTAGCATAAAATTAAAATAGTTTAACTCGATCTAAACGCATTCATAAACCCATAATGTTATTCATAATTTTTTGAAATACTTAGAATGTCAATGAAATAATGTTGTATTCAAATGCGTAAACACAAAATCCATCTAAAATACAACTAAGTATTCAGATAAATTGTATGATACTATAATATATTAGAATACCTTAACGTATAATACTAAGCATATTAAAAATAATTCTGTTCGTGTTCAGTAGAAAACAGATAGGAGAAAAAATGCACGAGTGCTGTTATAACGTGCAAGTACCCCGTGTAGACACTTGACTACATAGTATAAACTATATTTATACAGGTGATTTTTTTTTGATTTTTTTTCGTTAAATATCGGTTCAAAAGAGATGATTTTTTTTTTCATATTTACTCAATCAGATAGTTACAATAAACATTTTTATACACTTTTTAGATACGTAATAATTCTCATAGCAATTACAAACTTCTTTTATATATTATTTTAAAAGTATGGATATACTAAAATAGTGATAATTGTTTATATTTGAATAAATGAGTTGACAAATAATTAAACTTCATGTAAATGTATACTAATTAAAAGTATACTTAATTATTGGCCAAGTTACTTGTACATTTTCTCTTAGAGTTGAAACAAATTGTTTCAGAAGACATTTCAAGGAGGCTACCGAAAATAATTTTAAAACATTATGGCAGAATAAATTTGTTTGGTGTGATAAAAAAGAAATATAACCAGAAAGGAACCAGAGTAAGATAATATTTGTGTAATTTACTTTTTCAATTATGATACCAATGACAAGTACAATTGTTTACAGTAAGAATAAATTGCATAATAATTTATCTAATTACGTAGATGATGAGTAAAACTTTCATTGACCACAAAAAAATCAAATAAATAAATTTCTCACAATGGTTAAAATCGAAAACGACTGATTTAATTAACCATTGAAAATTTGAGGAGATATTTCAAAAGAAGACTGGATATTGAATTATTAAATTAATAAAATATATCAATAAATTATTATATACGTACAATTGTATAGACTTGTAAAATATGTTATAATAATAAAGATTTATTCAAATTATTTGTATTTTGTCTTTCTTAAGACTTTTTTAAGCTCAACATTTCTAACTATATAAAATCTATATGTAAAAATACAGACAATTATATAAATGTACTCGTGTTCTAAATATCAGCGAATAATGATAATATTTATAATAGTTAAGTTACAAAAAAAAAATTGATTATAATATTTATATACTATATTTAAAATCAAAAATGTGTATTTAAAAAATAATTAATTGGATTTTTAAGGATAAAAGTATCAAAATTGTGCCTATTCGTTATTAAAGAAGTATTAAAATATGCAACAGCACCAGCCTACAATAAATTACTCTATGATATCCTAAGAAAGATTAATTGGATATTAACTCGTAACTAGAATTACTGGTGAAAACAATCGGAATTGCTGGTTAAAGATGGCCAAAACAGGTATCCTGGTAGTGCTAACACTTGATCATAGATTTCATAGGATTCTAAAATTCTTTTAACGGTGTGAAAAATTTTTATTAATGTTATTGTAATCTAATAATATTATTTAACAAATAATTAATGCATATAATAATTATTTTATATTAATAATTATTATTAACATTCATATTATTATTGGAAATTCTTATTAATTATAATTTATCGAAAACTATGTATAATTCATAAAATATACGAGCTGTTCCCAAACTTTTATGGATCACGCATCTCCAAAACAAAAAAAAAATGTAATCACGTCTCTCATGAATAGTTAAAATAATATTTTTTTATTATTTTAATGAAAGCAAATAAATGTCAATCTAAAAATAAATATATGATGGTCTAATATACAATATAAATATTTGCCTTGCGCCTCACAGTTTGGAAGCCATTGTAACACATATTTTGACATGTATCTTAATTGCCTACACAAAGCGCCGTCTAATAGGTATTAAGATAAAAATTTTATAATTTTTTTAAAATTTACTTGTTTACAAAAAAAAAAAACTAAGAAATCTTTAAATAACAAAATTTTATAATGTTTAATACAAGCATTATTGTATGCATAAAAAATTAATAAAAGAAATTTTATTTCAATAATTTTAGTATAGCAAAATTAAAAAAAATAAGAGAATTATAATTTCATATTAAATTGTCCGTTAACAGTTGTATCATAAAACAATTCTATCAAAATTATTGACAATACTGTTTAAAATAAACCATAGTATTACATAAACATTTAATAATCAGTGCATACTTAATGTGGGGTCAACAATGGTGTTTGTGTAACCAAATCTTTTTTTTTTTTTTAATAATTAATTAATTTGACAGTATAACAAAATTAAGTGATTTAGATTTGTTTTCAGTACTTCCCTGTCACAAAAAAATTCCACATTTTCTTTAATATTAGGTAAGTATTTGGGTAGTCACTATTTATATTTTTAAATACCTTAGTTCAAAACTCTAATAACTAAAATGTATCGAAAATTATAAAATAGATACTAATTAATTTACTTTACTATAAAATAAATACATAAATACCTAATATTTCTGTTACAAAAACATAAATGTCTTATAGTATTTATACATTTATTAGTTTTTCAAATTGTAATCCTTAAATAATTTATTTTTTCAATATTGACCTTTTATAAACTCGGGTATTTTTATATTAGTAACTAGCTGACCCGACAAACGTTGTTTTGTCATATAAATTATTTCTAGAGAATATTTTGCTAGAAAAAAATAACTAATTAAATATAGGCATGTAAGAATGTGGGTAAGGATAAGGATGTAAGGAAGATATATGGCGTGCTATGAATGGTAACGAAATATAAAAATGAAAAAACATCAAACATTTATTTTTTTAATAATTTATTAAAATTGATCCATTAAAATAATATATATCGCTAATTATGACAATATAAGTAAAAAAACAATATCTATCCCTTAATGCAACAGAGTGTACAATATTTTTTGTAATCCCATCTTTCGCAAACACAAACTGGATGGCTCGAGAGCACACCACGTATAATTATCCGTGTGAAAAATATGATGTGCTCAAATCTAAGCTACAGACATTGTTTGGCTTTGAAACTTATTGATAGTCATTGCAAATGCCAATCTTATTGGAAATTTAAAGCGTTTAAATTGTATTGGCACATCTGTGGGTATAATAGTAATAATATATTTTCACCTCGGAATTTGCCATTTAAAATTATGGCTTCGATAACATTTTTCATTAATTTTTTAACAACTTATCGCGTGTCGTTGTACAACCGTGGTAGGTCAAATTATGAAGCAAAATAACCGAAGAACAAACCTTCAATTGTAAATTATGCGGTGGCATGCCTGGTAAATCCAATGAGTTTAAAAACTGTTAGATAATTTACAGCTTCAGTAGCATAGCAAACTATATCTATAGATTTGTATGACACCATGTCTCCTGGTAATAAATGTTTATCTTGAGATTCAATTCGTTGACGTCCACATTTTTTACTACTAAAATTGCCCTTTCTGCCAGCCACTCATGATTTATGTATTGTCTGTGTACATTGGAAAATATCTAGTCAATGAGAGCATCTTGCGAATAAATGATTGTGCAGAAATCGGTCGGTAATTTTATACATTCCGTTTTATCTGTAGTAACTTTCCCATCTCCAATATCTAACAATTGTTTTGAGAATCTTCTGCACGCAGCTTTTTTTGATTAAATCGCAAGTATCAAAATCGTTCGCTCTCTGTCTTTACATACATTTCAACCATGAATTGTTGACGAAGCTCATGATATCGTAGAATAATTTTGTCTTGATCTCGTTTAATCATCAACCGATATGCATAATAATTTTTCGAACTAACATTCTTATTTGTTTTGACACCTGTTGCGGGATCTTTTTTTGTTTAATATTTATGCAATAACCGTCATTTACTACCAAAATTAAAATTAATAGTTTTTAAATAGTTTTTTTTAAAGTATTTTAATAGTTTTTTAATAGTTTTTTAATAGTTTTATTTAATAATTCATTTTCAATTGTGCAGTTATCGACCGGGTCAAAAAGGGCTATTTTTAGGGTTTTTCCAGCAATAATTCTAATTTTTCTCGCCGTAAAAACCATCCTTGAACTTCAACGAACATTTGAAAAAAAGATTTGGCCAAATTGGTCCAGGCGTTGTTGAGTTATGCGCTTACCAACACATTTTGCGATTCATTTTTATATTATAGAATAATTATTAGAGGCCGAAATTAAATTATTTTGCATATTAATTTAAATTTGATGTAGTAAGACTAGGTTCAAAATCTTTACAAATTAATCGTTAAAGGTTTTTTCATATTTCAGAATACTTCAAGATAAGAAAATACTTCATATAATAAAGAATATTAGAAATATATCGATTAATTCTATATATTTTCTATATTTTATGTTGCAGTAACATACATATGATAAATTATATGTTCAATAATAATGATATTGAATATTGAAAAACACGGTAAGAGTTTTGAAAGGAAATAATGAAGTATAAATTACAGATATTCTCCCAACGGCTATGAAAAGAGATTTTCAGCATGCTCCTGTGCCTTAAATTGACAAAGTATGTTTTTTGTGTACATATAAAATAATTTTAACGGACCATAGTACAAATATGATACCAGAGCATATGGAAAAAAATAATGTTGTCAACTGTTTTTAAATTTTTGGATTAAAAATGTGTCATTTATAGTATTTAATTAAATTAATAAAATTTTACCTAAGTAAATTTTTTTTTAAGCTGGATTATTATTTAATATATACCTATTTATATCAGTTTTTTAATATTAAAACTTATATTTCAACATATAAAAACATATATATAATAATAATAAAAGCATATATATAATATTTTTTGTATATTATATTATATTATATTATGATTTTTAAAAAATATTGAAATAATATTTTCAACTTTTTAAAAGAATATTATTTCGGCCTCTAGTTATAATGTATTTGTAATTATTTATATTGGAAAAATGTATCAATAAAACTAATTTTATTTAGTTATATATTTTAAGTAACTCCATTTTCTGCACTTGAAATTATAAATTATAAAAAATTTTTTTACTTAAATAAATTCCCAATATTACAGTCATACTTACATTGAATATTTATAATATTTAATAAAGTAGTGTAATTAAATAAACAAAAATTAATAAATTCTTAATATTTGTAAATTAATAACTAAATAAATAGTTTATATATACAAGAACTAGCTGATTTACCCAACTTCACTCAGATTAGTTTTTAATTGGTTTTATTATTTAAAAGTACAATATATAATTATAAATATAACATAAATCAAAAATAGTTTAAAAAAAAAACATGTTTAACAGTTAACTGTTTTGTGTGTGAAAAACATTTTCAGATCAAATTGTGAATTTAAACCAATTTGAATCAACTTAATCACAATTTCATAAAAATTAGTTCAGCAATTTAAGATTTAGTCATACACACATACAGAAAAAATATACATACAAAGATATATAAGTAAATACATTTTATTCTTCTTCTCATCTTATCTCCAAACTATTTGGGATCGGCTCCTTTTGTCCTACACATCCATTTTCTCGATTTTCTACAACCTCTACGCAAACCAATAGTCTTCATATTATTTTCAATCTTAACTAATCATTTATTTTTTGGTCTTGCTCTCTCTCTTTTTCCTTCAATATTCAACATTAATTTTCATAACCACTCTTATGGCTTTTGTTTTCTCTCACCTCATCACTTGCCCGAACCTCTTCAATCTATTTTATCTCATCATGTCCACTATTGAAGAAACATCAAAACAACCTCTCACATATATGAACCTCACTATTTTAATTAATACTGCACTTGTTGTCAAACCCATTAAATCCAAATAAATATTCGTTCCTTATTGTCTTCTTTGACCACTTCATTCATTCATCAAGCATTCTCATTTTCACAACACTCATACTCTGTTCTCTTCTCCTACCAACCGCCCAATACTCAGTATCATATAGCATAGTTGGTCTCACTACACTCTAGTACAATTTACCTTTCAGCCTCATTGAAATTTTTTTATCACATGAAACGTCCCACGTTTCTCTCCTGTACTTTACATCTATATGGTTTTATATATATAAATAAATAAATTGTTTTACCTGGAATATTATTATATTTGTAATCTATGACTAGTTTTGAATTAAAAATGCATTATCAGGTATATACAAAGTTAATAAAATTACATCTGTATTGTCTACTTTGTATGTAACTATGAGAAATTTTTAAAAATAGTCATAAAAAATATAATAATACTTCAGGCTAAGCATTTATTTAATTATTTCCATGTATAAACTATTTATTTATATATGAATATTTATTAATTGAGTTTTATATATTATAGGATATAATCAGATGTTTGATAAGTTGATAAAAAACATTTATAATAAATATATTAGGCATATAGTAATAATACAGCATTACTCAGATATTTTATATATACAATGAAATAGAATATATATAACTAAAAGCTCTTAAAGATTTTAGTAACTTAAATTTTAAATAGAGTTGGTAAGTTGGTGAAATATTAAATTATTTTTAGTAATTCAAACTACATATAATAAAAAATTAAATCAGACATTTTTTTCATTTTTTTTTTTTTTTTTTTTTTTAATTACTTTTATACTTAAAAATGTGGAAATTACCTCACAGTTAATATAATGCTAGATTAAATTAAAATTAATAAGAAACCACATGAAAATAATAAATAAAATTAATTTATAACGTACAAATATAATTTTAAAGTTAAATGGTGCTCATAATTCCCCTTAATTATAAAAATGATCAATACCCATGAAATGACAAAACACATATCAAGAATTTTGCTTAACAGATACTAAACCTAGAAATTAGGGATAAAAGTCAATTGTGTATGGCAAATACATACAGAATTATAAATGTTACATCAAATTAAAAGACCATAATTATACATTATATAAATTGCAAATAAATTGCACTCTACAACATAAAATAATATTGCTTTCAAATATTTCATGTGTATTATATGTGTAGTTTATTATTTTAGTATCTAGGAAAAGTAAAAGATAAATAATTAATGAATGATAAGAAAATTAAAAAATGTAATTATTTTTTAAATAAAGAAAAAAATATTTATTGTATTTTTTAAACTTATATACCAGTAATTTGACAAATTATCAGTTTTTCTTAGACTAATAATAGTAAGGTTACTCTCCATCTGAACCAGAATCATCATCCAGAGATGCCTTAGCATATTTTAAAGCATCTTCATATACTTCTTTTGAAACTTCTTCATATTTTCCATCAGTATGTTTACCAACCCAACTGAGTTCTAATTCAAATTGTTTATCTTTTAATTCATCATGAACCATATAAATACTAAAAAAGAAAAGTAATAGTCAAATAATTTTATCCCAAAACAAGTTATAAAAGTTTCTTTATACATCTTAGCAGCTTCTTTAATCAATTCTTTGCAAGTCATTGTTTTTAAACTCAATTTTTCTATTTCAGTTTTGGCAGTCTGTTTAGCTTTACCAATAGCACATCCAAAGTAACCCTAAAATTAAAAAAAAACAGAGTATTATTAAAAAAAACATCTGTAATTAAGCTAGATACAAAACAAATCAATTAAAAGGTGTAAATTTAAACAATATTAAATGTAATATTAAACTAATTAATTAATTTTAATTTTAATTTTTATAACTCGAATATAATAATTATGACACCTTATTATTGCATGTTATGTGTAACTTAAAAACATAAACATACAAACGATACACCAGCTGGATCAATCATATACATTTGAGGACCATCAGTGGAATCATAAGAACCAATAATAATTGCACATCCAAATGGTCTAATAGCACTGTATAATGTATGAGCATGTATATACATGGATAATCTTTCGTTTAAATATTTCAATGAAATGGGCACATTGTACGATTGACGAAATGATCTTGCCTCTCCACGTGCAATATCTAATATGGCACTGGCATCAGCCATTAATCCTCCAACAGCCTAAATTTACAATATGTTTAATGACTAGTCTTTAAAATATAATAAAATAAATACCATTCCGATATGATTTTCAATACTGAACAGTCTCTTTCCTGTGCCGTCTTCATGAAGTTTAGAAGTAACTAATTTTTCTACCGCAAAAACAACTCCATCAGAACCACGTAGAGCTATAGCAGTCCTAAAATCAACAAAATGTCAGTTCAATACAAAATAATATATAAATCACACACCAATATTAGTGTATATACATACCCACTGTTTTCAACTGCTTTAAAAGCATATTCCACTTGAAATACTCGACCATCGGGAGAAAACTGAGATGCTGATAGATCGTACTATATAAGGAAATATCTTATGTAAATTATTCGTTACAAAATAGAAAAATTGAAAAACATTATTATACAGTAAAATGTTCGAAAAATTATCATGATTTGTAAATAATGAAAAATAAAGAAAATTTAAGATAACTGAAAAATAATAACAAATACTTACGCCTGTTCCAATAGAACTCATTTTGAATAACTTATTGCTGCTAGGGCTAATAAAATTTGATTAAATAATGTAAAATATGGTTCGGTGTGATTAAAAAAAAGTTATAAAATAAAAAATTAAGCGTTACGGAAAAATGTAAATCATAAACACAAATCTGCAAAGTAACACTGATAAAGCAAATAAATATGATTATAAAAACCTAACCTAAAAGAATGAGTGTAACCATTACCAAAGAAAATAACATATCTACCTGCCGCCAACAAAAAATCGTCAACCGTCAGCTGTTAAAGTCTGTTTTGAAAAGCTTGAAAAATGTCGTTCACTTTTTGCACAGTAAAACCATAGTTTGAATCATCAGTTAATGTAAATGTTAAATTGTTTTCGTCATTTTTATTTTCTATATGAAAAATTGGACTGAGGTGGTTTATTTTTAATATTTTTTGTTAGCGACATGTTAATAATGCCGAAACGAATCTAGTTATCTAGACCCCTTGCGGGTTTTTTTAAAACTATAATTGCTTAACGCTTAAAATAAAAATATTCGCTAGATAGTAGCACATAAATAGGCATAAAAATTTATTGAAGAAAATAATTGAAAATATTAGAGGATCATTGCAAGGGGAAGGGGAGCACTGGCTACAACTGCCCCGGGTGCCAGTTTTTTAGGGGCATCAAAATGTTGTGGTTGGAAATTTGCTCACTTGTGAATTATTGATCTTTTAAAATTATTTTAAAATTGTAATTTTTTTGATTTTAATAACAATATCATAAATTATTTTATGTATATATATTAATCTATACATATAAAATTCAAATATCATTCACTCACTGATCGCTGTATCTCAAAAAATACGCAACGTACGGACTTGAAATTTGGAATAGAGATTCTTTTTCATATTTTTACCGAGCAACAAGAAAGGATTTTCAAAAATTTTGTGTTTTAGTGGAGTAGTTAGTAATTATAATTATTCATCGCCAGTACGTATTGTGCAGCACGCCGCGGCGGCCCGCGGTTTTCAGCTACCTGCAACCTATCCTTTTTGTCCGTCGTCGTCGTGTAGATAAGAATAATTGTTCCGAAAATTTTATCGATAGAAATAATCTCAGCCTACATCAATACTAATGTTATATCATTGATTAAATATATCAATGATTATATTATATATATAGTAGAAATATAAAATCCAAATATCACTGATTCACTGATCGCTGAATCTCAAAATCTATTCAACGTACCCACCTAAAATTTGGAAGTCTTTCACCAAGTAATAAGAAAGGATTTTTCAAAAATCGCGTATTTAAGGGTCGAAACAATTTTGGACTGGATGCGTACGTTTTTCAATTTTTGGTTACCTAGGAAATATTTGATTTGTTTAATATGTTGATTTTAATAATCACCGATTAAGAGTTATGTAAATTATTAAACTGTATAACAACATAATCAAAGCTATAATTTAAAACGGAAAATTTAAAGGTGAACATGTACTATTACCACGCATCCCAATGACTCTAACAGATAAGCCATTGGAAGCGACTCACTTTTGCAATGATCTTTAAAAAATTATAAAGACAATTAAAACAAGTGTGTGGACTGAATTTTGAAAATTCATGCTTCTCACATGGATAACTGTGTGTGGCCTGCTCACGCGTCAGAAAACTTGATTTATTTGTGTACGCACCACAAAAGGAAAAGCAAAAAAATAGTGTAATCCAAGTAAACTTTAATAAATAGCATTTATTTAAAACCTTGAATTATCAGAGTTTTCTCAATAAAATGAATAAATAAAAAAATAATCCAAAATAAATTGAACATTGTTGTAAGGATATTAGTATATGCTTAAATATAATAAACGGTACAGCAAGGCGTGATAGACATGGCTATATTTAATATTTACTAATGATTAGGGAACAGATTTATATGTAATAAAAATACAGAAATATGTACATATGTATGTAAGTAAAATTTATAAAATATGTGCTAAAAACATTCAAATATGTAGGAAAAAAAATTAATTAAAAAAAAAAAAAATTATAATTATTAAATTGTCAAAATGATTTGTTGCATTGAATTATTACAATATCTCACTTATTAGATCTGAAAATATTTTTAAAATGGCTAAATGATCGTTCCACATCAACCTACATGGGTTGATTAAAGCATATTTGAAGCGCATAATATCAGAAGGCGATAATTCCAAATTTTTAGATGGGTGTCTGCCACTCATTATGTCATTGATTGATTGAAAATCAATATAGCTTAGAATTTTTTTCTTTAACAACATGAGTTTTCTTTTTTACAGAATCTCCTATTGGTCCGCTTACGAGTTTTTATTTTGCAATCGTTGATTCGACAATTTGCATACTTTCATTTAAGGACATATTTTTATTTCTAATGCGTATGTGCAACAAAACTAAAATTTATTGAGATGAAAGTTAAATTAGTTTTTAATGTTTCATTTTGCATAATATTTTGAGTTTTTCTAATAGCGATAGAAGTTACTGAATCTAAATTTGAAATAATTTCTTAAACTTTTGTACGAAGAAGACGTATGAATGATGAAATATGTTTAAAAATATTTACAAATTAGTGAAATATGTAAAAATATGTAATAATATAAGTAAAAATAAAATAAAATAAAATAAAAGTAGCATCATATTAATAGGAATGATTTAAATCATGAACATTTCTTATCGAATCTTAAATATCTACTTTTAATAAAAATATGAATTTAAATATAAATTACTTCTACTTATTAACCTACTTATTATAATATATAACAAATTAATATTTCAACCGTTGTTTCGGGTTATTTATACTTAAAAAGGCAAAGGTTCAACGGTAACACCCAAAAAGAGTTGAACACTCAAAATTTTCTCAACGGACAACGTCAGGTATTACTCATTCATTGATCATCGTTACATCTCAAAACTATATGAACTTGAAATTTGATATGGTGGTCTCTCCAATATTCAATACATGCAATAAGAAGGGATTTTAAAAAATATTGGAACCAGAAAATACGGTAGTTCAACGTATCACCAAAATTACTATTCTGATTCATTTGAACTTTCGTTTTATTTGTTTTATAACCACCAATAGTTATACCAAACTTGGCTTTAAATAGTGTAAAGTAATAATCGATTAAAACCTGTCACGACCAAGAATGTTCCGTGAGAAACCGGGTAATTAAGCTAGTTTATTAATATAGGTATATTATTAATGTATTTATAGCAATATAACTATCAGCGATCCAGTATATTTTTAATATTCCTAATATTAGTTGCCAAATTTGTTGTGATAATGTCAATAAACATAAGTTATTTATAATAGTACAGCGTATTATGTTATCGCGTGCGGCATGCGGTGGCATGCCTACTACACAAAAGTAACATTAATTTTAGAATATCTAAAAGGTTCATGAGGATCTATCTCCTATATTTTCCGTGGGTAAGCCCCTCTGAGGGGCGCCAATTTTTTTTTTTTGCGCCAGGGCGCAAAATGTCTAAATACAGCACTGATTGCAAGAGGAAGACTAATGGCACAATACATGACACAGATAATGCAGAATACGATTAAAGGAAATTACAAAGACCTGAAAGAATTGTGTTACGACAGAGCAGTATGAAGAGCTGCAATAAACAAATCTATGGATTTATAACTAAAAAAAAAAAAAAAACAGTACATAATTAGTTTTGGCATTGAAATATATTATAATATATTACTTCTATTACTGATAAAATGATCTAACTAATAATCATTAGGCTATGCCAATTTTAATTTCAGATTTGATAATGTGGTACTCGTATAAAGTAAATACCTACTATGAATCATGATGATGGTAATATTATCGTAGTTTAATAACAGATATCTATAGTTATAACACGAACATCTTATTGTATGAATAATATTAATGTACAATTAACATTTTAAATAATAACTAATTAGGCATTCGAAATATTATATTTAAAAAATAAATTTAATCAAATTTATTTACTAGACGTATAGTTTGTTTTTTATTTTATTCTAAAACATTTTATATTGATATATATTCACTTTCAAACAATGAACGAAAAGGATATCAACGATGTTCTATAAATTGGAAAGTTCGAAAAATTAGAGAATAATATTATAGTTAACTATTTTTTTTTTGTACGTAATAAACTATCAATAATGATTTATTAATTACTATTAATAGATTCTAAATTTGAGGACTTCGGTTTTGAGTGTTTGCTGTCAATGATTCTGATACAACAAAAGTCAGTGCTTCTGATGAAGAAGACAATAATGGTCAAAATGTAAAGCAAGACTATCCAAAAAAGATTGCTACAAGAAAAAAAACAATAAATTAACATTAATAGCAGAAAAATGATAGGAAAACTAAAAAGCTATGTGATAAATCTTATATCTAATAGTACAATAGGAAAAACTATACCATATAAAACTAGGGTTACCAGATTATATTTTTCTGAACCCGAGTCTTTTTGAAAGGATAAATATTATACATATATAATATAATAAATATATAATGCCATACGAAAGAAAAAAAATATATATATATATATTTTTTTAATATAATTATGTATAGAAGCAATATAATAATATCAATAATAATACATATTCTTAGTCTTCAGATCTTATGGAGTCCAGAGTTTCTTCTGTTGATTTTACTACATATTTAACTGATCCAAACATTCGTTCCAACATTATATAAATAACTTTATTCTAGAATTATATCTATAGAAACTTTTTTCTAAATTCTATGAAAAATTTTATTCTAAATTCTATAATAATTATATTTTATTCTAATTCTATAATTTACAATCTGCAATATTATTTGGGCTAATTTATAAAAAAAATAATATACTCAAAAAATGAATATACTTCTAGGAAAAATTGTTCAAGAAATATTATTTAACATTATTTAACATTATTTAACATTATAGGTTGGTAGGTACGAGTTCGAAATGTTGAAACGAACATAGTGTATAGCAGAGGCTGCCAAATATTTTTCGACCACGATCTATTCAATATATACTTCACCTTTGAAGATCGACTTTCTTGGAAAATTTTTTTATAAACCAGAATAAAAGATAAAAATTATACAGATAAAACTTATCGACAATTTGTTCATAATCACCACGATTAATTTTCGTGCACGTGGCCTAAAAATAAATTCTAACATGATCGACTCTGAAATCGTCCGCGAACGACCGTTTGGCCGTCCCTGGTCTATAGTCAATGGCGCAACTAGCGGGTAAGTTGGCAAAGTGAAACTTTGGGGCCCCTTGATAATGCAAGTGGTTGTTTTGGATTTTATGAAATTTTTAACGATACAATGGTTTTGATTATCTTATGGGAAAGGAGGAATCGGTGATTTTTAAAACATTTACATTTATGGTTAGGGGGCCCCATTTTATATTTGACTTTAGGGCCCCCAAGCGTTAAGTTGCGTCAGTATCTATAGTATGGAAAATATATTAATATATTATATAGATTTTTAATTATCTAATTTATAATTTCGTGAAACATGCAAACAATGAATAAATATATTTATTATAAATTAATTATTTATGAATTGAGCAATAGTTAATTTTAATTAACTTATAAATTTGGAAACTTCATGTGATTTGCTCTGGTCAAGGAAACCTAAAAAATATTCAATGCGTGAATTAAAAATAATTAATGCATTTTCGGTTTTACTAAATTCGAATTAAAATTAATTTTTGGTAATGACGAAAAAATACTTAAGTGATGTGTATCTGGGTAATCCTTTTTGAAATAAAAATTTTTTGAAGTGTTATAGATCCATCATTGAATTTTCTTGACTAATAAATAATAATTATTAATTTGACTAATTATTATTTCTTAATTTGACCTTACGAAAAAAATTTGTATTTCCCTGATGATGAAATTTGGCATATAAAAATGAAAACGTCTGTGCTGCGATCTGTGGATCATCATTAAATACCGTATACCTGTCAAAGATTATATTATCACATACTTAATTGCAAAATCATATTTTAATCTTTTAAAAAAATTCTGTGCATTATATAAACTATAAGGTTTATAGAGGAGAATTACTTTCTCAGTCATTCTACTATCACTATTGATCGATTATAGAATATAGTTTATTAATCTGATTATGCCATTTGTCAGTTTAAAGTCAGTTGAATGTCATTGTGGCATTGCGTGTTTAATCTATATAGCGTAATGACCATATAGGTAAAAACGTAAGATGTAATTGTTGGAGTTCAATACCAAATTTTTTGCAATCGTAATGTCGTCCAAATGAAAGTAAGTGTCTTCTAGACGGCCTTCGAGGATTCTTATATTTTTAGTTTCATTATGTAATCTAATTATTATTTGAATAGTCATCAATCTCCAGTAATGTAAACAATGTTGATTTTTCGTCTTTGGAACATTCGTTGTTAGTAGTTGCTAAACATTAATATTTATTAAACTATAGTTTTAGATGGTTTGTTAATGGTATTCTAAAGAGACAATGCTGTTAACGCTGTATTATATGGCTACCACTTGGTTTCAGTCCTATAGATTATCCAATATTAAGTCAAATTTAAAAAAAATCTTGTCCAACAATTTGACTCTAGTTGTGTATAAAGAAAAGGATTTTGTTGACTTAGAAAACGAAAGTAAGTACCGGTATTGAAATATTATTATTTCTTTTTAAAATATTATTATTTAATTATTATGATTTTAGATTTGTACTCTAAAAGAAACAGTGATATATTTCTATCTTTAAGACCTCGTGGTATTACCTCAGACAGTTGTAAAAATGCTAGATCTGCTCAGCTAGATCAAATGCTTTCATTTGTTGGCCACAAAAGATCATGTTCAATTTTACCTGAGGTAATGTAATATATTTATTTAGATTTCTTGTATGATTTTTACAATTATTTTAAAATGTATGATATACAATTATTATTAGTTTATAAAATTCTTATGTAAACAAGATTAATTATTTAAGACATTTTATAGTCAGGATTATACTTTTTGGTACCTTTACAATATGATTTAAAACTAATTGAACAATAATTTATTAAAAATAAATGTTATGTTTTAATTTTATTGTATTTTTTATTTGAACAGCAAATATTGAATGTAGATAGTTGGATTCTCATTCCAAGTAACCAAGTTACATTTCCTGCTCTCTTAAATACCCATAAATTGTTGAGTTTAAATCTTGAATCAAAACTTCATATTTTGATTGAAGCCAATTATAGAATGTTCAACTCCCATAATAACATAAAAAAGTGTTTAGTAAGTTGAATTATAATTTATGTATATATTTATTTATAAGTAATAATTTGTGCATATCAACACATTTTACTTTTTTAGATTGAAGATTTTGGAGTGCCTAAAGCATGGAATGCTGATGAGAATTTTGGAATTTTGTTGGAAACTGATCTAGATCATTTTACAAAACTCACCAATAATTTTATGGCTAATGCAGAACCATTGTATTTAGGTAACCATATGGAACTACTACGAATTCAAAGTACGAAGAAAATAATAATATTGATTACAAATAAATATTGTATTAAATTGTGTTTTTTTTTCTTTCAATCCAGCGGTAAAAGTGGAAGGTCAGCCATGTGATGTTGATTACCACGAATCAATTGCTTCTAATATTGACTTTGTTTATAATTTACAAGATAATTTTGGTAAATATTTTTCAGAAAATTAAATATACAGTAATTAAACTTTATGTATTTATCATTTAGGTAGTAAAAGCAATTTAACATCTTTTCAATGGAAAAATTATTGTGATACACTTCAAGCTGTATCTAAGGCCGCAACTAATGTATTAAAATCTGGAAAATCTATTAATTTTTGGTACAGTTTATCTATTTTTTTTTAAATATATTAGAAAATATTTATGACAATACCATTTTACATGACTTATTTGATGGTATAACAAACACTCTAATTATTAACAATGTAGTTGATATGAATTACTATGACATATAAAATAAGATATATATTATATTTTTTATTGATTTCTTGTATGTTACTTATTAGCCTAGTCAAATTAGACCAAAAATCGACAAAGTTCGGAACTAATTCCACAAAAGCAGGATTTTAGTTTTTTTTTTAGTTTATACCTCACTGATGAACATACTAAAAGTCCTGACACCTACCCCCTGTGCGTAGCTCTCCACCCCTCTTCAAAGGGTGGCGAGCCCCTTTCACTATTTTCGCTTATAACTCGTCAGCTTTTCAATTTACATTAAAAATACCTATGACCAAAATTAAAGACCATAAAATTTACAATAAGAATACATTATTTTATTTGACATACATATTTATAAAAGTGAAATTTAAAGAAAAATTGAATTATGAAATAACTATTAATTACAATCATTTTTAAAATAAATACAAAAATTAAAAATTATACATTTATTTTTATTTTTTCAGACTATAAGTTATGAAATTAAATTTAAAAAATGGTGTAATGGGGTTGTAGGTCCTGAAACAAAATTTATTAATATACTTAATATTTTCATATTTATATTATATTATGTATTGAATTATTAAAATCATACTGTACCTTATTAATTAAATTATGTGGGTCAAATTTTTTTTATTGTCGGTGTATTGGTTTCTTCTTTTTGATTTTCAATTAGATTTATTTCGTCAATATAGTCCTCTAAATTGTCCTCTTCTTCATCATCTATGATCGGTTGGTTGCTGATTTAAACATGAACCTCCTTGACAATGCTTGCATATAACTGAACATAGCAATCCTGCTTTTCGACAGCTACAATTTTGTTCACATGTTTTTGTGTAGGCACAACTAATCACATTCAAAAGAGTATCCGGTGCTGGTGGCTTTTTCGTGAAAACTGGATTTAGTTTACCATTATATTCTTTCCAGCCCCAATTCTGTGGATCTAATTTATTGCCACGCCACAACTGTATTTGTAAATAAACTCGATGTAAATGTTCTCTTGCCGCATCGATAGTAGGTGGAAGTCTAGCTAGTTGAACTTGTTTTTTGTTAGAGGCTGCGGTTTTTTGAAAAACATCATGTCTTAATTTATTCAAAGACGTAATGTGGGTTGGAGCTTTATATAATGTTAAAAGATATTTTTCTCCAGCACGTTCAATTTCTTCCTGCGATGAAGATTCATTATTAAATATTAAAATAAGCTTTTTACCATTTCTAAACTTACCACCAAGCTCACCCGATTGTATTCATTCAGTTTTGATTATCACAGCTCAAGAATGTAAAAAATTAAACCAAAGAATAATCACGCCACCCTTTGAAGAGGGGTGGAGAGCTACGAACAAGGTGTAGGTGTCAGGACTTTTGGTATGTTCATCAGTGAGGTATAAACTAAAAAAAAAACCAAAATACTGCTTTCATGGAATTAGTTCCGAACTTTTTTCTAATTTGACTGGACTATATTTCATTATTTTACTATTGTTTTGTGTGTTCATTTTAATTTAAAATAAATTATCTTCATATTTTCAGTTCAGCAGTATTGTCAAGAGATACTGTAAATGAAATAAATTTAGATGAATATGTTATTATTGAAAATGTATCTGACGAAGTTGATGGTGCTCTTGGAAAAGTTCAGCCAGAATATTTTACAGAAAATAAAATTGAAAATAACACTTTTCAAGCTCTTGACACTTCTAAAGTAAATCAATTACATTATGTTCAATTTGACAATGGTATTAATGGAAAATTTAACAATAATTATGATGATGAAAGTTCATCAAATACTAGTTCTAATGAATCAATTAGTTTTCGAAAAATAGTTCTTACGCCAATTGAAGAAAATGAAGTTAAATTATCAAATGGGTATTAAAAATAAAACTATGTTTAAAAAAATTATTTCTTTTAAAGAATCATATTTTTTTTTTTTCAGAATAAAACCCATTAAAAGTAGTCCTGATGTGTTTGGACTTTATAAAAACTCTTTAAATTCACCCATGATGAGAAGTCATCATTCATTTTCTGATTTTAGCAATGGTATAGATTCCAAACCTCGATGTCATACTCCAGTGCATCATAGCGGTGAATCAAAAACTGGAAAACCTCCAAATATTATTATATTTAGTGACAGTGCATCTAGTGCTCAGCAAATTGAACACTCATTAGAATCGGTTTTGCATAGATACAGGTAAAATTATCATCATACTACAATACTCAACATAATTAATGTAAATCAAATTTTTTTATTAAAACATGTTTGGACTGTTTATTGTTTGATATTTATTATTAGTACTCGCAATATGCAAGTAAATTAAATTATTTTCAGTATCTTAATACTAATTATAAATAGCGGTTATTTATAATCATAAATTGTGACACTATTTTATTGGTTTTTTTATCATTTAAAGACATGGTGTACTTACTAATTTTTTTTTAATTTCATAATGTTTTTGAACTTATGATTGTTTTAATATTGTACATTTGTAAGTAAATTTATTTGTAAATTGCAACTAATTAAAATATATTTACAGAAATCTGAATAACTTATCAAACTAAAATTTAAATTGAACCAATTAAGCTTGGTTTTAAATTTATTTACATAGATTTCTTCATATTTTAATAAGAAATAAGGTTTAATTATGAATGAAAACCAATTTTTTTTTTTTTTTAATTATTAGAATCGTATTCTTTTGTTGAAATATTTTTTTATTTTACTGAAAATAATTTATATTATTTGCACTATATAAAATTTATGTTTAAGTATTATTATTATTATTGTTTATAGTTATTGTATTAATTGTTATAAGGTATACGATATACACGCTGAGTTTAGAAAAAATGCTTTATTCACCATGGGCATCTCAAGCTACGATGGTTGTTGTCTATGGTACTGTACCAGATGAACTGTATCCATTACTTGAGGATTATCTTTTAACTGAAGGTGGTCGAGTGTTATGTTTATGTTCTGATTTTCTGGGTACATTGCTTCCAACTGCATTCAGTACAGCAGAAGTACGTTCTGATGATATAGTAAGCTTCACATATCGTCCATTGTCAATGCGAACGTCCCTTCTGCACCATGTACTGTGTTATCAGCCCAGCACACCCAATAATGATCACTTCCCATCCGAAAACGGGTAAAATTTATTTAAATTATTTAAAAAAAGATCTAAATTAGTTGTATAGTTATGAATAAATCTGAATTGATTATTAGTATTAAAAAAGAAGTGAGTTCAGATGTTGTGGATATTTTTGATTCCAACAACAAGCATCATTCTATTAATATTGAAGTTCTAGCTGCTGAAGACACATGGGAAACACCTAGTATTATTTTAGCCACTACTCCATCTGGCGGTAAAGTCATTTTCTCCCAGGTAAATGAACCATTAATTATAACATGAAAATAATATAATACATTTTTTAATCAAAAAATGATACTTTTACATCTTTTCATTTAAAATAAAAGGAGTACATATTAACTTTATGCTTGACAACATTAGGTACACTTGGAAATTGATCCTCATCAGAATGGAGAAGTAGTCCATACAACTATGGAAGATAGACACCTGTTAATTAAAGATTTACTGAGTACCCATTTAGGGCTTGATTGTTTATCATGTGAACAAGAACCGAAACATACTCCTGCTTATTTACTAGGAATTGAAAGTGTATGTTTAGTTTTATTTATTTTTAACGTGTTTAAATAGTTACTTAAACAATTTTAGGATAAAGTTGAATTTTTAACATCTTTAAGAGGAAAAGTATCTCATAATAGTTTATTGATATTGAAAGACTTAAAAGTTCAGTTTTGCACAAAAAATGAAATGTGTGTTGGTGCTAGTGAATACTCATTACCTGTAATTTACAATGAATTTCCAATAAACTTTAACATAGAAGAATATTTTCAAGTAAGTTGACTATTCAGCAGTATAATTTCTAGTTATTTATTTAATGTAATGAGTATGATATTAATGAATAATAATATAATATTTGTAAAATTTATTTATATTTATATTTTAATAATTATAATATTTAATAGAATAAGAATAGTATTAATATTTTCATTTATTATAAAACTATAATTGTAATTTATTTTACTTGTACAAATTATTTTACTATTCAGTTTAACCTAGTTCTCCAGTTTTTGCAAATTATTTCTATTCCTATATATTGTATTGTATTATATTATATTTTCTTTTTATCGCTTACCTGAATAAAATGTATCAATCATTAACAATTTTTTCTTTAGTTCTCACATTTATTTAAATACAAAATTCAATGTTTATAGAATCTTCACACTGAAAAATTAGGACGCTTAGTAATATTTGGAGAAGTTATGTCATCTTCTATGAAGCTTTTGAATGATCCAATATTCTGGCATGGACTCGTAGTCATTCCTAAACAACAAATAACAGGAATAGGTAAAACTATTTTACTAAAGTTTCGTTTATGTGTTAATTTTTTTTTAATATGCTATGATATGATTTAATTAATGCATGCACTATTTCTTATTTTGAAATAGGGAGAGGAGGTAACAAATGGTTAAGCCCAAATGGTTGTGCCATGTTTTCTGTACAGTTGCACATTCCTTTTGATTCAAAACTGGGCCAAAGACTTGCATTGCTACAACATGTGGTTGCATTGTCTGTTGTGTCGGCTATATGTTCATTACCTGGTGGTTATGATGTATGCACTTCTGTTATTTTTTATGGATATTTTATTGGTAAAATATTATTCCAATTTTTATAGAAACTTGATCTCGGTCTGAAATGGCCAAATGATATATATGCTGGAGGAAATGCAAAAATAGGTGGATTAGTAATCAGTAGTTCTGCAGTTGGAAATGTTGCAATTTGTTCAATTGGTATCCATACATATTAAATTATTAATTGTAATACATTTTACCACAAATTTTGTTGATTATAGGTTGTGGTGTAAATTTAAATAATAGTTTACCAACTACTTGTATAAATGATATAATCATTGAACACAACACTCATACTCATAATCATCTCAAGACATTAACTTTTGAACAATATTTTGGAGCTGTATTTACTGAACTCGAAAGACTGTTAAATCAAGTTCAAAATGGCAATGTAGACATTATATTTGATCTTTACTACAAATATTGGTTGCATAGGTAAAACTGATTTTTTTTTTTTAAATTAAAATATTATAGTTTTTAAATTATATATTATATACTTCCATTAGTAATAGTGAAGTCAATGTCCTTCGTCCAAACAAAACATCATTTAAAGCCACAGTGATAGGACTTGATGACCATGGGTTCCTTAGAGTTCGTTCAGAAGATGGAGAAATCATTGATGTCAGACCAGATGGGAACTCATTTGATATGCTATCTGGTCTCATTTCACCTAAATAGATAATATCGTCTTCATTTTTCTATAATTAATAACAAATTGTTTTTATAAAAAGATGACTGAAAAATAATTAAATAAATATTTTCGGTCCAGTAAACTCATAATAATTCCTTTAATTATATTCAACTTTTTTAGACATGATAAGTTATAAGTTTTTGAACTTAATGGATTTTTTTTTTACTCTACATGATTGTTGGTCATTAATTTATTTTAAAATCACTATGATTTTAATTAAATTTCTAGTTTAATATGACTATTTTTAAAACAATTAATAGATTAATAATTATTGGATTATTAAATTTATATTTTATTTAAATCAACTGAAATTAATTTCATAGCAAGTTAAATGTCTTTCAATTGATTTAAAAACATATTAAACTAAAATATTTTAATTTGATTAAGACTGGATCAGTAATTTACTATGTACTTAATTTATGTTTCAATCACATAAGACTAATTCTTATTTCATATTATTAATAAATTTTAAATTTAACTTGGTTGGTTTAGGGATTTATTTAAATTTAATATTATATTTATACATAATTCAAAACCAAATATTGTTACCAAATATAATTTAAATTAATTTTTTTTTTTAATTATATTTTCATATTATTCAGTAAATTATGTAAATAAAAAAAAAGTATTCTTGTTAAATGTTATGATGCTTTTTAAATGCTTATAATTAAAATATAATGTAACATTGTTATTTGCCTAATTGTTGAATTATTGCTCATAGCTTGTTTGAGATAAAATATTTTAACTGTTGTTATAGTATTTATACATTATTGTTAGTCAATATTGATATATAAATAAATAATAGGTAAATATGTTTAACCATAAATATTTCTAAATTAGTTTAAAATACCATATTTTTCCTCATTTTTATTGTTTGGTTACAACTTTGTATCAGTTTGTTGAAAATTAAATATTTTTTACAATAAGCATATAACTAATATTATTATCAAATTATTATTTTACACATACAAGATAATGTATTTTTAATAAATATTTTTACATTCCATTAATTTGATCTTCAGTTAGATTAAGAAATATTATATTAGTTTGTGTTATACTTTTAGTATAAATTATAAAACTATACTAATCAATAAATGCCTAACATAATATGTTTGTAAATTTTAGCTTACATTTGTTTTTTATTTAGTACGTCATTATGGAATATGGTATTTTGAGAACACTAAATATTAGAAACATACTATTGATAAAAATTCTTGGACATTGTAACATATAGATATTTGTCTATACAAAAAAATAAACATTTTTCAATTACGTAGTTCTCAGGTAAGTATATGTTATTGAGAAATAAAGGTAGTCAATATATCTCCATAATCATTAAGTTATCATTATTATCATGCGTGTATTATGCAATGCAGCAAGGGTTCTCAACCTTTTAATGTACATTCACCTTTCATAATATTTTATGATGTCACCCATCCTCTCAATGTAATAAGATTGAAATAAGTTTAATTTATATATATATATATATGTATTAATAGATCACCAAAAACTATTGTCATATAAATTCAAAAAACTGGAAAAAAATAGAATCATAAACAAAATAAATTAAATATTCAAAAAGTGGCAAAGGACACGAGAAAATAGGTTTTTCACTAATAATAAGAGTGAGGATTTAGTAAAAATAATAATCAACTAGTGAAAATAAAGAGTTTATTATAATTAGTTAAATTTAAACATATGATTATAAAGTTTTAAAATATTTTATGTAAGTTACCTAATTTTGATTTTTATACCATTATATAATCAACATATCAAATTCAAAAAAAAAAAAATGAAAAGGGGATCTCTGGCTACTGAAGGAAACTCGATTTAGGTTGAGACAAAAAAAAATACAAGTTCTAAAAAGAAACATAAAAATAAATGAATTAACAATTTGTTTTTATGTTTCTTTTTTTTCTTTTTTATACATATTACTTTAATGTCTTAAGGGAAAACATAAACCGAATAAGAACTGAGACGGCTAATTACATAAGATTTGTAAAACTCCTTAAAACAGCGGCTAAAAAATCAATACCTAGAGGACACAGGCATAGTTATACTCCCTACTGGACGAAAGAATGCGATACTCTACTTAATGAGTATGAAAAGGATGGGATCGAGGTCAATGCAAACCGTCTGATTGGACTGTTACGCGAAAAACAAAGGAAGAGGTGGTTAGAGGCCATGGATAAGTTAGATTTCACCCATTCCAACAGAGAAACCTGGTTCCTCCTAAGGAAATTGGGTGCCGCACAGCTTTCGTATACATCCTGTAAAGTATCACCGAACGATGTCTCAAACATCCTATTCAATACCTCAAACATAAAACCTAAAAAGCATGAAAAAACAAAGATTAAGTACGAATACAAAACAATACTCAATAGTTGTGTCGAAAAATCGGAAATAATGGAAGACTTTAACGTTGCAGAAATAGAAATGGCTCTGAGCCTCTTAAAGAATGGTAAAGCCGCTGGGGTAGATGGGGTATTACCAGAGTACATTAAACACATAGGACAAAAGGGGAAAATTTGGCTCGCCAATATTTTCTCACACGTTAAAAACACAACTACTCTACCTAAAGTGTGGCGTGAAGCAAAGGTGATTGCAATCCTGAAACCCAGCAAAACAGGAAACTATCCAAAAAACTATAGACCAATCTCCTTGTTGTCCTTTAGTATGAGCTGTTTGAAAGGGTCTTCCTGGCGAGGATACAAATGAAAATTAAAGTCACCCACCTAAGGAGCAGGCGGGCTTTAGACAAAATAAAAGTTGCTGTGAACAAGTATTGTCAATAGTGACACACGTCGAAAATAGGTTTCAGAAAAGAAAGAAATCGGGAGCAATATTCTTCGATTTGACCAGTGCATACGACACGGTTTGGAAACGTGGGTTACGCCTGAAGTCAGCAAACATTTTGAATTGCAAAATGATCCTCAAGTTTATTGAATCCATGTTAGCAGACAGGAAATTCCAAGTACAGCTAAACGGAAATGTTAGTAAATATAAATATCTCCAGATTGCTCCAGAGATGGTCTCGCTCAGGGCTCTGTCCTTTCTCCAATTTTATTCAACGCCTATACTGCCGATATAACATGCACTATATCAAGGAAATTTATTTTCGCAGACGACGTGGGTTTAGTAGCCCAAGCGAGAAAATTTGAAGAGGTGAAAAATATATTGAACGAGGACCTTGCTAAAGTACACACTTTCTTTGAATCCTGGCATCTAACTCTTAACCCGGGTAATTCAGCCTCCATTGTTTTCCATCTAAGCAATAGAGAAGCAGACAGAAAATTAAATCTGGTAATGGATGGTAATTTTATGCCAACCGAAAATGCACTAAAGTACCTAGGAATTAAGCTTAATTAGATCATTAACTTTTAAACAACATCTAGAAGGGGTTAAAGACAAGTTGAAAACACGAAATAATATCATCAGCAAACTGGCCGGAACAAGCTGGGGATGTAGGGCAAACATCCTACGAATTTCATTCTTGGCATTAGTCTACAGCATTGCAGAATACTGCGCCCCAGTATGAGCTAGGAGTACGCACACTAAAAATGTCGACATACAACTAAATCGTACAATGAGAATTATATCAGGATGTGTCTAATCAACTAAGTTAGAATGCCTACTTGTGCTCTCACTTATAGCCCCCCCCCCCAGAAGTGCGTAGGCATTCGGCAGAGCTAAAGATGAAAGAGAAAATACAAAACTCTCCAAGCCTTCCAATATACGATAACTTGCATAACGCACCAAACAAAAGACTGAAATCTAGAAATCCTATATGGACGTTAAAAAATAGTACAAACACAGAAGAGGACTTATGGAATTTACATTGAAAGTATGGAGTAGTACTAAATAACCACCTCATAAGCGATCCAACCCAATTAGTTCCAGGTTTTGAATTTTTCCGTGCAGTATGGACTGCTTTAAACTGTATAAGAAATGGACAGGGAAGGTGCAATTATTTGATGCACAAATGGGGTATGGTGAACTCTCCTCTCTGTAACTTTGACCAAATCCAAACGATTAGGTACATTGTTGAGGAATGTCCGGAAACAAAGTTCAATGGAGGAATATTAGGTCAATACAATGGCGATAAGGAAGCGCTAGATTGGATGTGCAATCTTGCCATACACATATAAGATTTAATAGATGTTAATTTGTAGCTTGTTTATTTATTTATTTTATTTTAGTTAACTATTATACTTATATCAATCCGTTATCAATTTTATTTTATTTTATATTATTCCGTTATTAATTTTTGTTATAGACCAATACCATTCCATATGCAATAAATAAATAAAAAAAAATGTCTTAAAATATTTTATGTAAATTAAATGAATTTGACTATTATTCCATTATATATAAATGGTATAAAATTAAAAAAAAAAAAATTAAAAATGGTTATCCGGCTCTCAAAGGACACTTGATTTAGGTTCAACAAAAAAAAAATCCAATTTCTGAAAAGAAACATAAAAATAAATGAATTAAAATTTAAATATTTTAAAATAAAATTAGATTGATAAATTTATATTTAAATATATTTTAGAATTATGAACGCTATTTTTTAAGAGTTTATTATTATTATTTAATTTCAAACAAATGAATTAAATATTTTAAGATATTTTATATAAATTAAATTAATTTGCTTTTTATTCCAATATATATTAAATGTATCAAATTCAAAAAAATTAAAAGACGTTACCTGGCTCCATATTAAAATTGACATAGGTCGAAACAAATAAAAATCTAAGATCTGAAAAGAAACATAAAAAATGTATTTAAGTTTAAATATTTTGAAATAAAATTAGTTTGCTTAATTTAAAATGATCTTTATTTTATAAATATGATGGCGATTGATTAAGAGTTTTTTTATTATTAGTTAATTTGAATCATATGATTTAATTTGTAAATATTAAATACTAAGTTACAATTACTAATAGTATCCAGAGAAGTAGACAATAAGTAAGCAAGACTCAGTTAATGCAGTTACTAGAGTAGGGACTATAGTGCACTTAGTGCAGTTGTCAGAAAAATGATTAAAAGGATCCGACACCGACGCACACCCGTCATATCATAATACATGGTGGGGCGAGGCGTTCTGTCGTCGAACAATAATTACTGCAGCAGCGGCTATTTTTAGAAAATAAATTAGAATTCAATCCATGGCCTATAATAATTATAAGAATTAATGATTATAATCAAGGCTCGGAATTGTATGCACTAAAAAGTACTAAAATATGTGCATACATATGTGTTAAAAAACATCAAAATATGCGGTATAATATGCAGTAGAAAATTGGAAAATAATTGCTTAAAAAATAATAGATTGGCTACTGACTAGTGTATACTGTACAATGAAGTCGCTTGCATGCAGATGTATTCAGTATATAACGAACAGAAATAATACTGTGTATAAGCTGATAACCTAATGATTAAACATAATTGTTTACCAAGGCCGTATCTGGGGGGGGGGGTTGGGGGTTCATCAATTTAAAATTCCAGTTTAATTGGTTTAAACGATTTTCTTGGCTTGCTTACACAACAATAGGTGAACAAGGAGCAATGTGCACGTTTTGTGTTTTATTTGCCAGGGATTTCGGAGGAAAGGAAAATCATCAACGATTGGGAATCTTAGTTAATAAGCCATTTAATAATTGGAAAAAAGCTATTGAAACTTTATCTCATCATAGCACAACACAATTTCATAAAAATAGTGTAATATTTGGTGAAAATTTTATTAACACGTATACCAAACTTCAACCAGATAATCGACAACAACTCGATTCCGCAAGAGCTCTACAAATTTTTAAAAATAGAAAAAAACTCGTTCCAATTATAAAAACAATTATTTTATGTGGCCGACAAGAGTTAGCACTTCGAGGGCGAAATGATTCGGGTCCTCTTGATTTAAATATTGTTGAACCTGATCATAATGATAGTAATTTTAGAGCATTGTTGCGTATGCGAATTTCATGCGGAGACAAACAATTAATTAATCATATTGAAAATCAGTCTTTAAACGCTATGTACATAAGTCCTAGTATACAAAATAATTTTATTAAGATTTGTGGGAAAATGATTCAAGATAATTTAGTTTGTAAAATTAATGCAGCGAAGTCGTTTTCGGTTCTCGTTGACGAAACTACCGACATATCACGCATAGAGCAATTGACTCTTTGTATTAGATATATAGATTCAGTAGAGACAACTGATACTATTAATTATGTTTTACGTGAAGACTTTTTACAATTTGTACCGGTTCATAGTACAACTGGTCAAAACCTAGCCTCTGTAATAATAAATTCATTACAAGCACTTGGAATTAACGATAAATATATGGTCGGTCAGGGTTATGATGGCGCTGCGTCCATGAGTGGAAATCTCAAAGGCGTCCAAACTATTATAAGGGAAAGTCATCCAGCAGCACTTTACGTGCATTGTAGTGCGCACTCTTTAAATTTAGCGCTAGCTCATTCGTGCAATGTTCAATACGTCAGAAATTGTATTGGTACAATAAAATCTATTGGAAATTTCATTAAAAGTTCGGCTATGCGGATAAATATATTAAAAACTAAAATAAAAAACATTTTACCTAATACCAAGTGGACTAAACTGACATCAATGTGTGACACTCGTTGGGTTGAAAACCACAACGGAATTCAAAGATTTGTTGAAATTTTCCAACCCATTGTTGAAACTTTGGAAGAATTACAATTAGTTCAAGACATCAATACGTCATCAAAATCAATTCAATTTTATCGAGCAATAGTTACTAGTGAATTTATATTAAGTATGATTACATCAAATACTCTGTTTTCAATGATACTTCCACTGTGTAAAAGTTTACAATCAGTTAGCTGTGACTTAGTAGAAGCTGTACAACATATCGAGACAATACTAAACGAATTAATTCATTTACGTGAAAATATTGATCATACGTTTAATGAACTTTTTGAAAAATCTGAACTTCTTTTAAAATCTATTGATGGAGAAAAAAATATTAGAATTCCCAGAATAGTAGCTCGTCAACAAAATCGTGTGAATATTGTTACTAATTGTCCGAAAACATATTTTCATATAGCTATTGCAATACCATTTTTTGATGATTTTATAAGACAATTAAAAGAACGCTTCACTAACCATAAAAAAATAATATTTTCGCTGTGCTTTTTACTTCCCAATAAATGTACTAATTCTGAATTAGAAGCAAGTGATTTCGAATTATACTCAGAGTTTTTAGATTTGGATGCACTTTCGAACGAGTTAAAACTTTGGAAAAAAAATGGTGTGATAAACCAATCTCCTGAACGATCTCCTGAAATACTTGAAGCATATTCAAATTGTAACAAAAATTTTTTCCCAAATATTTCATTTTTATTAAAAGTTTTGGCAACTTTACCAGTAACTACGGTGACACCGGAAAGAACTTTTTCGACGCTGAAAAGAATAAAAAATTACCTAAGGAATGCAACTGGAGAAGACCGATTGACTGGCCTAACATTACTCAGTGTACATAGGAATATCATTGTAGATCCAGAAGAAGTAATCAATCATTTTTCAAATGAAAAACAAAGAAATATAAAGTTTGTCGTATAAAATATAAACCATTTTTCAAACTAAATGTATAGAATTAAGTTTAATAATCTAATTAATATTAAGTCTAAACATTTTTTAATGTGAATTTCATTAATAAATACTATTTATAATTCTACAATATTATGAATTTTTAACCATATTTAATTACCTACACAATATTATAATACAATTAGAACACAAATTTTTGGCTTACAACTCCCCTCACCCCGAAATTAATTTCCAGTTACGGCCTTGTTGTTTACGAATTACTTATGGTTATACAATTTGTTTATGTCATGTTACAAAATATTAATACAATAGTAAATTTATATAAAAATAAATATGGGCCGGTGGTGGTCACTATTACGAGTTCTCGGTACCATAAAGATTATAATATTATTGTTTAGTGCATTGGAAGTCGGAGCAATACAAATAATAGCCGTTGATGAATTAATTTATTTTGTCAAACGATATAAGACTTAAAATTTTGGTTGTCATATAATTAATATTTTATTATTAAACTATACATTTTTTTAAAAAATGTTGTTAAATCCATTTATTTATTCGTATGGCATAGACAATGTAACAATATATATATAATTTATGAAAAGTAATAAGCAAGTAGCACAACAGAATATAATGACAAGTGGTATAAACAGCAGTATAAAAGTATAATGACTATAGCATAATGTCCAGGCTTTTCACCCATTCGATATCTTCAGGGGTCGCGTTAAAAATGTCCTCGAGCTTTCCTCCGAACTTTCTCTTTAGGCACTCTCGTATGATATGGTCCATGTTCTGGTTGGGGGCACCACAGTCACAACCTGGGTTAGGAGTAATGCCCTTTGTGCATAAAATATCCCACTCTTTCATGACCTGTACGTAATCGGTTTAAGATTGTCCAGATTCTCCGTGGTAAATTGAAGCCAGGTTGTTTGTTTGTAGGGTTCTTAATGAGCCAAGAGTTGCTTAATTCTGATTTTTCCCATTCATCTTTCCATCATTGTACTGCGTCATATTTGGCAGTGATAAGTTTAATAGCAGTTTCCCACGGAGGTTTACGTGACTTAAGTCGGCGTATGCATAGGTTGTTACAGAATTTAGAGTGTTCATGAATTGGATGGGAGGTATTGTTACTGAGTTTTGACCATAATTTAAGTAACGCTGTTTGCCGGCGATGTTGGAAAGAGATGATGCTACTGAGAACGGGTAGCCAGTCGAGGGGGGTAGTATTGATTGTGCCTGATATAATGCGCATGCTTTGATTGAGTTTGATATCCACCTTTTTGGCATGTGTGCTATTTAACCATAACGGAGAACAGTATTCAGACTAAAGTGAAAGTGGAAGTTCTCAGCGTTAAGAAGTCAGCGCCCCAATCTGTACCTGTCAATTTTTGAATTATATTGATGCGGGAGTCAATCTTAGATGCAACGTTGGTTAAGTGTGTTTTAAAGGTCAGTGTTCTGTCCAGAGTGACGCCCAGATATTTTGGGTGGGGTACATGCTTTAGTCTGGTTCCTCGGTAGGTAATTTCCAGGTTATAGTCTGCCATTTTATTATTGAGATGGAAAGCTGATGTTTCAGTTTTACTGGAACTTGGAGTAAGTCTCCATTGTATTAAGAACTTATCTAAAGTTTGGAGATCTGAACTGAACGTGTACGCGCAATTATCAAGAAGTTTATCCTGGTTTGCAATACATATATCGTCCGCGTATATGAATTGCTTGGAGGCAGTTTTGAGTAGATCACTAATGTATAGGTTAAATAGTAGCGGAGTCAAAACAGATCCCTGGGGTAGTCCATTGTTCAGCGTTCTCTTCTTGCTTTTTGTGTCGTTATTGAGGTGGATGACAAATTGACGATTACTTAACATATTATTTAGAAGATTTGTTAATGTCTGGCAGGGAATTATTCGTAAGAACTTGAGAAGCAGACCTTTTCTCCATACTGTGTCGTATGCACTGGATAAGTCAATAAATGTAGTGGCGGTTTTCAAGCACTTTTCGAAGCCGTCTTCTATGAAAGTAATGAGGGATAAAACTTGGTCACAACAGCTTCGATTAGGTCAAAATCCTGCTTGTTCAATAGGAACATGTTGGTTGATGATTGACATTATGCGGTTATAGATGAGCCTTTCAAGTTGTTTATAGCAAGTGCAGAGCAGAGCGATTGGCCTATAGCTTGCTGCGTCGTTAGGGAGCTTTCCAGACTTTAGAACTGCGATTATCTTCGATTTCTTAAAGATTGGTGGGAGATAGCCAGTGGATAAAATTTCATTGAAAAATCTTGTGAGCCAAGAGATTACACGTGGGCCAAAGTTCTTTATGAATTCTGGAAAAATACCATCTATCCCATATGTTTTTTCATGTTTTAAACTGTTTATAGACACTTCCACTTCCTTGGGCGAAAAATCGCGAGATTTGGATTCAGCTTTTTTTTTTAAGGTTCGTAGTTCAGCATTTACATTCTTGCTAAATGGTTTGTCCATGGGTGCCCTGGAGGTTTTTACTATTCGATTCGCTATAACATCAGGGTTTATGTTCGATGATTTACTTTTGTTCTTATGGGAATTTGGATCCAATTTTCTTAGTAGTAGCCAGGCTTTTCTACTAGAGAATTTAAAATCCAAGCTTTCTATCATGGTCAACCACCTTTCTTTGCGAGATGAAATTAGTGAATCCAATAGTTTTCTCGCTATATCACTATTTGGTGTTTTGTTAAAGAGGTTAAATAGTCTGATGGATTCTTTATCCCAGCACAGGATGTATTCTTTGCGATATCCTCTCGGAATATGTTTTTTTGCTGTTGCGATAACCAGGTTAGTGAAGCGAGAGTAGTTTTGAGGAACTGGAGGGATCCATCTTATGTCATTAACAAGTTATAGTTTGAAGTTAGTCCAATTACCTTTTCGGAAATTCCATCTAGGTTTTGGAATTGAGGGAATAATTGGTACTTGTAAACCTATGTTGAGAATAACTGGTCTATGTTGGCAACGGGGTAATGCTGGTAAGACTGTTCTGATAGTACCTAGTGGTCTGTGTTCGGAGTCTCTTGTGACAAAATATAGATCAGGATTATACCCTTTATTCCAGCGGCCAGAATGGAAGGTCCCTATTTCTTTAGCATCAAACACCAGGTAGAGGTAGTTATGAGAAGACCATTCATAGATTTTCTCGCCATTTTCATCGTTGTCAGAATAACCCCATGATTGATGGTGACTATTAAAATCACCCATGAAGACAGTTGGGAGTGCTAAAGTTGCAGGAGTGTTTGTTGGCCATCTTACATCTGGTGATTTGTAAATATTCTGTATGTTAATTCTAGCAACTTTAGTTGTAATTATTGAGATTTCGTGAGTTACAAGAGTGTTTACGAGTTGCCAGTCTATAATAGTTTCTCTTACATATGTTGCTGATCCATACTTGCGATCGTAGGTCGCATCGGCTAACAAGAACCCTGATATGTGTCCTCTAGTTCGTAATTGTTCTTCGTTTGAGGCATGTATTTCCTCAAGTAATATCACATCGATTTTATGTATAGATAGCAGTTTAATAAGGTACTCTGTTTTTGCTCTGCTTATCCCTTCAATATTTAGTTGAAGAATGCGGAGTTGAGGACCTACATTCCGAGTCCGGTAGTCCTGAAAAGGACTGTTTTCTGGAGACTTCAACCTATGAGGGTGGGAATCCATTGTATATCGTGAAGTGGGAAACCACAGGTACGATTGCCAAAAGTTGATAGAACTTTAGCCGTCTAGGACGTTGACCGGGGTGCACTACGTAGAAGCGCTCTATCTGAGCACCCCAGTAGGTATATAAAAAAAAAAAAAAATTATCATCATCACAAAATAGTGTATATACACAGAGTAATATGTTTTTCGGTGTAATATACTAAGCCATTTAGTCAGTGACAGTGACAAGTCCATATACTTTATCTATAATTCTCTAGAAACTGCAGTTATATGCAGTATTATTTATGTTGGACTTATGTCTAATGGTATTGTCTATATCTGGAGATAGTTTAGTTTTATAAATACATATTTGGAGTTATTAAATATCACATATTAAGTGGTTGACTTTAATTAAGCAGTATAACATGATATTGGTTCTAATGGTCAGTCTCTTTTAAATTCTATAAGTCTTTAAAGTCAAAAGTCTTTAAAAATGCAAAATATATAGGAGCGTTTATTTATTCTTTCATAATTTATTCTAATCCATGGGCTATTTTTACATATATATGAGTAAACATCTAATAAATTGAAATTCAGTTATTTTATACATTTCTTCTGTATTTAAAAGGCATAGAAAAATTATGAACACATAATAAACTTAATTTATACGCTTTTACAATATATGTATAAAAAAATAAATGTTGCCATGTAACATAAAATAAAATAATTTAACAAGCATAATATAACTTAATCATAACTAACAAAAATGTATATGTATTTAAATTTTACATAAAATACATATATAAATATTTATACTGAAAACCATATTATTAATAATTATTACAAATGTTAGAATAGTTTTTACGTGGTGATTAATTTGTATACTTATAAAAAAAAGAAATATTTAATTATTAAAAATATTAATAATAATAACTAAGTACTGGAAATAATGATAACACTAAATTATATATAAATAATTTTAAAAGTGAACAATCCATTACATACAGTACAAAAAAAAAAGCATTAGATAAGAAAAAATATGCATGGTTGATTAACCTATTGATTTTGTTTTCATTGGATTGTTAATGATAATGATTTTTAAATTATTAATTATTTTATGCCTTATAGAACAATTTTCCATTAATAACTTATAAAAAAATTAATTATTTTGGTAATATATATATATGTATACACACACCATATAAAAAATGTAAAGTATTGTTTTATTTTTCTAATTCTATGTACAAATTAAATTAATTAATTGATTAAACATTACAATTTAATTTTGGATTAATTCTATATTAAACTAAACATTTAATAAATAAAATAACTAGTTGTAATTGGTAAAAATATTATGACAATTATTAAATAGAAGTTAGTTTAAAATTACTAAATACAAAATCAACGATTTTTCAATTATACTAATGTAATTTTTAAAATATTTATAAAATTATTTTAAAAATCAATATTACCATCATTATTTTGTCCATTTTCTAAATGTGTTTGTACATGCACTTTAAGTTGCTCATCAGTATCAAAAGACATTACACAAAAATGACATAAGAATATAACTTTTTCCGGTTTATTTAACATATAATATATACATTCACTACATTTTGCTGCATATTTTAAATGCATTTTCATATGCTGAACATACTCATACCATGTAGTTGATTCCAACAAACATTCTTTACAAGTATATGGTGGATTTTCACTATGGTTTTCAGCTTTATGTTTGTTTAGAGTAGATTCATTTTTCATCATAAAGCAGCTGGAGCATGGTGGTTTAGATGGTAAAATATTACCTTGAGTACTATTTGGCGATCTAAAAATAAAAAAATTCAAATTTTAAATTTTATTATTTGGTAATTTATGATTATTTCTAATATAAACCCTAGTGAACCATAGCTTTATTACTGGCGAGCATGAATTATTTATTTTACTTGAACTAATTTTTTTAGACCTTAATTTACAGTAGAACTTCGATTACAAGGGATAATAGTGACAAAAAGTCAGACGGTTAAATGAAAACTACTGTTAATTGAGAATTTTTATTTAAAGAATTCTAATTTAACTTTTTTATGCATTATTATACTTTTTATAATCTATGTCATATAAATACATAGTTATGTTCTAAAATGATTAGGAGTAGACATTTGAAATAATCAGTCTTTGTTTTTGCGGTTAAAAATTAATTTTCTTACACCACTAATAAATTTTTTTGAATCATATCATGGAAGTGCGAATTTTCTTGATTGCAGAAATTCAGGAAGATATCAACAACTTCCAAAAATCTATTTATAATAAAGTCCAAGTATTTTATTAAATTAATATTATTTATTTTTGAAGTGAAACTTCTTTACTGAGGGTATGGCAAAAATATTTAGTCACGTGACCGACTGATTAGAATGAAATGACTTAAGTGCGTCGTATATCTGGTAAGCTACTAAGTATACCACCCTACCAGTAACGACTCGTGTATATGAGCACAAGTGCTCGTGTACTATCTACCCAAACTTAAAAAAAATTGAAAACATAAATCATAATAATACAACTAAATACCTGTAGTGTTATGAAAATTATTTTTCAAAATATAAAATTAAAATTATAAATTCAGAATATTATGAAAATAATATAATATTTAGATTGGGTTATTCCGAAGACCAAACGGCAGGCGGTTGTCCGCGACAGAACGGTATCATTATGTGTATTATAGTGGTGCAGTAGTGCACACTATTGCTGTGCACATTTGTACAATGTAAAAATTAAAACAAGTCGAAACACGCAACAAGCATTATAATGGAATTGATATGCACATTCGTTTTTGTGCACATAACTAATTAAATTGTTTTCAGCGAATTATTTTCGATATCGCCGCGCCGTTGCGCGTTGACATCGGCATTACGATTTATTTTTACTCTCATTTGTTTATGATACTCCGATTATCGACTGATAATGTTAGTCACTATCTTAAATTCAAAATAACAATCGTGTTTCTGTTTACTATCGACCACTAACGTTAACGTATATTATTATTCGTGTAACTAATAAACAACAATTAATTTATAAATATATAAGTACGTTATATGTACCTATACTTTGTTAAAATTAATATTTTTTTTACCCACCTACATATCTTACAAATTATTTGTGCACTAACTTATGTGAACCTCACAAGCCACCACTGCACCCTACTACTCTTTTCTTTTTAAAGCCTAACTTAATGGGTATAGGAATTAGAGACCCAGGACCCAGGGGGATCTGAGTATTTATGGCCGCAGAGTAATTTCCTCTATTCGGGAACAAATGACCCCACCACCCTCATTTTTAACTGGCCATAACTCAGTGAGATTTTAATTTAATAACCCCCGACCAACTGGGAACCATTTCAGAGGTGCGGGACTACAGGTTTCCGCTCTAGGGAACGAGACAACCCTCCCCCCTTTTTGGCTTTTTCCTTTTTTTGCTGTATTTCAGTCCAGGAAGTCACTAGGACCCACCCTGCCACTGAAAAAAACGGGGTTTTGAATTCCCCTCCCTTGCTAACCTCAATGGAAAAGAACAATTGCCATTGGTGTTAAATGGAGACTTTAATGTAAACTTTGCTTCAAAACACTCCAAACCACTTATATATTTTTTCCGAAACAAACTTAATTTAATAATAAATAATGATTCAATAACACATAACAAGATCAGAAACTACTATTGATGCGATTTTTACACTATACGTTCCTAATATACAAGCAAGAACTTACATATCTTATTTCAACTATCCTAGACCAATATTTACTTTTCCAAAAGAAATAGCTACAGACAAATCTTCTGACGAATACATGTAAATTGATGAATTATATTCTAATTCATTGTTTTTTTTATATTTTTTTAGATAAAAAATTATATAGTCTTAAGAATGTACACCACACCTATCACTGTTAAATGATTCAGATTGACAGTTTTCAATAAATGAACAAACATTCTTATAAATGTAGAGATGCTAGATATAAGACCTCCACATGGTGCACCCATAGTAATGCCAACAATATATCGAAAATAGTCTACGAGCAATAAGCTTCGATTTAAACATATCGTTAGCTGTGATGGACCCGAACTGTTATTCCAACCTATCGGTCACGTCACTAATTTTTTTCTTAAACCCTAAATAAAATAGTTTCACTTCATACTTGGAACACGCACCTTTTTATCCTACGTACAATATACTGTTTACAAACATATACCTTTTTTTTTGGTACATACAAACAAATATTTAAAACATTTTAAAACAATGAGTCATGGTTAATTACGAACACAAAAAATCTAGGTTCTACTATATTTGTATATAAACATGTCTGAGGTTTAATACTATTATAAAGGTTTTTAAAAAGTGTATTAAAAAACATTAATTTACAATAAATTTTAATAATTTATAAGTGTGAAATGATACATATAATTTTAGCTTATAATTAAGAAAAAATAATTAATGATTTTAATTAAGGAATCCTTGACAGTTTTACACTTAAGAGACCTCATGATAAAAAAAGTTTGAGAAGCACTGAATTAATTTTAAAATACTTTATTTAGGAAGGTTATAAAGATATTACTGATTACTGATTAACTTCAAGAAGCCATTAAATTAACTTATAATATAATTTCATAAAAATAAAAATTACTGGATTTAAACATTTTTATGTATTTATTACATTAAAGAATTTATTTATCATTAATATAATTAAAATACAATGAAAAAATTAACAGCAGAAATGTTATTTTGCAATAGGTAAATCTATTAAGTATTGGATGATTAATTAAATATTTCCATGTACTATATGATATTATGTTAAATATTATTTAAATTTTATTAATTTAATTTTAATTATTTGAAATTTTTTTGTTAATATAATTTTGAATTGATTACCTGGCAAAACATTTTTTACAAGTTGTACACTCAGTAAGTCGAAGTTGACTTTGAAATTGCATTGGAAGTATACCTTCTTCAATTAGACCAGCTTTGACTAGAGCATTTTTCCAAAATAATGGACCAATTAATTTAGCTTCATTTATTTGTCCAGTAGAATTTTTTTCTTGAATTATAGTTTCTAGAAGTTTTTGATACTCTTCAGTATTATAATCAGTTAATTGTTGTTTTCTTTTTTTAAGCATATTTTGAATATCTTGTCTTGAACTTTCAATTGCTTCCTGAACAGCATCTCGTTCACTTTTTTCTTCTTCAACCTAAAATAAAATAATGCATTTAATTAAACATGAATACAAATAATTTTCAGTTTGTTATCTCACTCTCTCTAAATTAACATTTTCCATTTCTCGTTGCTGTTTTTCCCATGCTTTTTTTGCAAATAAAGGGCCAAATGGTTCACTATCTTTTCTCAACTTTCGTGAACCAAGTTTTTTCTTTTTATAATATGAAACTTTAGGATTAAAATCTTCATCACTATCAGATGAACTTGAGTGGTAAGGTCTAGGATTACGAATTGACATTTTATTATGTACATCCATATAATGAATATAATAATTTTTTTCACCAACAATAGTTTTTCTACAGAGAGAACAAATTAATGTCCTGATATTATTGTGACTTTTTAAATGTGTTCGGAAATTTGCTATATGACGAAATTTACGATCACATATTCGACAATGATGAGGTTTTTCTCCTGTATGAGTTAACATGTGTTCATTGTATGAAAGTTGACTTTTACAAATTTTAAGGCATTCATTACATCTAAAGTATTTCGAAGGCCTTATTGAAGAACAAGGTAAAGGTTCACTTATACTGTTAATATTGCTGTGGTGGAATGTCTCATCATCAAGATGAGTACGTAAATGTTCATCTAGATCACATTGTGTATTATATGATACATTACACATAAAACATGAATAACATTCATCATAAATTTCTTCTGTTTCACTTTCATGCTTAGAATTTTCAATAGAATATAAATCTGTTACTTTGTTTTCAATCTAAAAAAAATTTAACAAAATATTAATAATATTAGTGAACAATTTATACTTCAAATAATTCACTAAAGGACATAGCTTCTTCAATAGAAACAATTTTGTTATTTTTAAATAACAAACTATATTTTATTTAACTAGCATTAAAAAGATAAGATGAAGTTAGTATATTACTGTATAGAATTATATCGTATTAAACTAAAAAGTGAATACATAAAAAATATTAATGTTTAGAAATTTAACCTTCAAATAAGTTTATAATTTTAAAACTTAATAATTCATAAATTATTCAATTTTGTTAAGTAATTTATTAAAATAATTAAAATGAGAGATCAATGATAGGTATTTTTAGATATACAAATAAGACCCAATATATAATACAAAATATTTACAGAAAATACAATTCAAATTTTGAATAGTATTAATACAGTACTAACTTATTAAAATAAGATATTTCTCACAGCTATTTTATACAATTATAGTCGTTTATTAACAAAATTTTACTTTTTTTTAGCATTAATAAAATTATACATGTACCAGAATTTAAAAATTACAAACTATAAAAATATAGGTAATTAAAAATCATTTAAAAATCTAGAAAAATGTATATAATATAATTTCATATCTTTAAAAAAATAAATAAAACAACCAACAGAAATAAAAACAAACTGTTAGCCACTTTTAATAGATTATTAATTAAAGCATAGGCAGATGTATTATTAAATATTTATGCGGACTAAACAATAAAATTCTACCCAAGAAATAAATAACTTAATTTCAAAAATAATTAGGACCTATAGAATTACTGTTATATAGTATTTTTGTTTACGTTAAATTTATCTCAATTGGTAGCACACAACGTATATTACCAAATCATGGTTTTCCAGCTTGGATGATAGATACTGTAAACCAAGTGCATCATAATCTATAGAATTTTCTTTAGAGGTATCATCTTGAATTGCGTCAATTGGTTCTGTTTTTATAAAGTTTACTTCTGTTTTGAATCCCATATTATCCATATTGTTTTAAACTAGAAATATTAAGCCATACACAAATAATTAATCACTGTAAATTAACAAATTAACGCAAAAACTACGTTGGTTTTAAATAGAACTTGTTTTGTTTAACATTCTACTATTAATTATAAATCACAAAATAAAACCAACGAAAATAACCAAAAGATGTTGCAAGTATATTTCAAATGTGAATGCATGCAAGTGATAATTATCATGTTTCACGATATATATATTCAACCGTTTGCTATCTATTGCCAACGCTTACCAGTCAATTTAATTATTGTAATACTAGCAGTATCAAAATCCTAAGGCACCTATAAAATTGAGAGTACTACAAATTTAACGACGAAAAGTTTAAATACTCACATAATATTCACAGACACCGGGGACCCGTGCTTACTTGAATTTTGGATGTCGGGTGTAGATTACGAAAAATATATAGGTTTTAATATTGTGCAATCTCTTTGGTCAGCCAGGGAAGATATTTAAAATTTAAACTATTTGGCGGTATGTGTACGATGTCAAATCGATGCTCAAAATTATCATCATTGAATGGTTGTTCCGAATTGCGATTTGATTTAACCATAGAGAAATTACATTAAACTATTCATTAAAAAGACTTAAAGACACGAGTATACAACAAGTAACACTACATAACCAATAATAAGCAATACTCGAATATAATAATAATACTCAACGAACGGATTCCATTTATTATATCAAATCTACTGTGAATGTAAATTAACCAATAAAATACATTTATGAAAAAATACGTAGTCAGTAGTTATCAATAATTCAAGTAATTAAGGTACACAATAATTTTAAGACAAAGGTATAATGTTATCATTAAACAATGTTCACAGTTTAAATAAACTAAATCATAACACATTTTAAAATTTAACCCGTGCTTAATCGACTTATTAAAATTAAAAAGTTTGTACTTATGTAAAAGAGAATTGAAAATTTAAAATCTTCCCCAAAATATTTGTTTGGCTACTCAACTGTCTACAAATATCAATCGTGTTTCGTACGTATAATACTTCTCCATACGTAAAATATACGTTTAAGTTTTGAATTTTTTTTTTTTTTTTTGTCAAAAAACGCGAACCGACAGATATTCACCGTAAAGTAAATATATAAACAGGGTTTTTGATTTAATTTAAGTGTATACAAACCAACTGTATGATACATTTATATTTAGGAAAATATTTTTTTTTGTTTTTCATTGGAATATTGCTTCAGGTTAATTTTTTTCTGCACGTCAGTTATGGATACAATGGTGAACGTCCCTTCCGAATTTCATAAAACCATATGTAACTTATAATTCGTATTATATATTAATTTAATAACCTTATAATTTTATTATTAATAATACAATTATTTCACATACACATTTCACACTAGATCAAGATGCATCATACACACTATCCATGCAATAACGCAGAACACGTATGTGTTCGTGAGATAAATAACCCAGAGATAAAGAGAGTAACCCACAACTTTTTTAGGTGGTGGATGGAAGGGTGATTAATTGACTGCTAAATATATTATTGTTATTATTGTATGATAAAATATATACTCCTGAGAAAAATGTAATCTAGCAGCCCACATTTAAATTTTTAATACCACACCAAAGATTTACCTCGACCGAGATATCATCAAACAGCTTCCCCTCACCTCTTTTCTGAACAACAAATTAATTAATTTAATATTATACATTATTACAACTAATTTAAGGATCTAACTTATAACTACACATATATTTGTGTATTTTTATACAACTCACAAGTATGAAACCAATATTTACATTCAGCAGAATGTCACTGGTTAGTAGGTAAATGAATACTTATAAATATTATTTCAACCTAACTATAAAATAATTTGATCAACTCACTTTTATTGAAACTGATTGCAGTTGTAAAACTAATAGTACTAGTAGGTATCTAACCAATTTTCGAACAATTATACATTTATGGGTATATAAAAAAAGACAAGTATAATTTATAAACTTAATATAAAACTTTTAATGAATAACATAAAAAGTAATCAGTAATACTTCGTATACAATATAAATTATTACGGTAATAATTAAATAAAGAGATTTAGGTAGGTTAATGGCTTAAGAAATTTTTTTTTAGACGCAAATTTTTCAATAATTAGGTTTTATTTGCGTTTGAATTATATATCTTTTCTATGCTTATAATCAGGGCTCGGAAGTACTATCAAATGCTATTTTTTCTAGGTTCATCCTAGAATATCCAAAGTAAAATATAAATATGTTTCTCACTACTCGAATATCATATACAAAATTTAATTTTGCTATTTTTTGCATATTTCCAGGTTTTATTGCTATTTTGCTAATTTAGGTTTTATAGTGCTATTTTCTGGTATATTTTCACATAATGTAGAAAATAATCACATTTTGTTGATAATAATTGTATTTACTTAGTTATGTTTTTTAAAAATATTTTAATTATTGGAAATAAATAGACATTATCAAATATTATTTTATTTTTTCATCGACAATTTGATGTATTAATAGTTAGTGAAGTCATTTTTATTTCTTTATTATAACTTTGCATTAGATTATCAATCATTTTGATAATCTAGGTTAATTTCCAAGGTAAACATAAAAAATAATTTAATAATAAGTACATTTTTACAAATATATTTAAGTAATTTAACATTTTTGTTAACAGTTTATAATTCAATCAGTCCAGACTGTGGGTAATAAGCCCAACAATTTGTAAAATTACATTTTTTTCAAGTTAAATGTATATTTTTTTGATTTTTCGTGCTATTTATAGCGTATATTTTAGAGTTTTTGAGTGAATATTTGAGAGCTAAAAAGTAATATTTTTAGTGCTACAACTTCTAAGCCCTGCTTATAATCATAAATAGTTCCAGTTTTGAGGATGTAATTATACTGTGTAGCCGGTTTTTTTATGTATTTAAGTTAGATATGATTGATGATTGCTTTAATTAATATGAAGGATGTTAAAGATTTTGTAAACAAAATATACGACATTGACTAATGTAATTTTTAACATAAAATGCAAGATTTTATCTTTTGTACTCTCACAGTAATTTCGTCCGTGGCGTAGGCACCTCTCGCCACCCCTTTGCTGCGACCCGGCTCCTTTAAACCTAAACTTGTGTTGGAATAGTGAGTTTTCATGTAAGTTTCTAGATAATAATAAAATATTAAGTAGCGGGCGAAAGGGTGATCGCTCCCTTGAATCCGTATTTAAGGAATCGATTATATGTGTGATACACATTTCAAATTTTTTTAATGTGGATCATTTTATAACGAAATCAAATTACGCGTGGCTATAAATACTGAACTGGAAATTTTGTCGAGTCCGTATTTAGTGAAAAATTAAATGAAATGCAAGCGTAACTTTCAAAACATAGACAGGTGTTAAAAAAGAACTACATAAAAGTCGATTCTAAGTGAATCCGGTATTTGATTAAAAAAAAAGAAACCACAAATACTAAGGATTTACCAGGTTTAAATATTACCAACAATTTTACCTGTAAATTCTGAACCTGAATTAAAGAAAAAAAATGAGTCGTCCCCCATAGAAGTATAATTATAAGCACTAAAATAAGCATTTAAAACATTTTAAATTAAGCAAAAATATTTATTTAAAAAAAAAAAAAAACTATAAAATTCTAACTAAAAAATCAAACAAAATAAAAATAAATCTTCACTTTCCATACTTTAAGGATTTTATGGATTTTCTATGGGATTTTTCTGAAAAATAAAATATAAATTGTTTTTTCTGTTTTTGATCATTCTGACGTTTGACACTCAGTTCTATTTTCAGCATGGAATATCTTTGTTAATCCTACAACGATGCCTCGGATGGTGACGAACTACGTGACAACGATACGAATTATCGTATAACAAGATAATTTATTTTTAATTTTATCAAAAACGAATTTGCAGGTGAAAACTATAATAACGTAAAAAAAACTGGTCAAATAAGCAAAAATAATCAGAAAAACTGGAAATAAGCATTTTTTTGAAAAATTGCTGAAAAAAGTAAAAAAAGGCACCTTCAAATTTCATAATTGTACGTGTTATAACTTGACATACACTTCTATAGCACTCTGCTACATTTTAAGTCAATCCATAAAAATAAGCAAATGCTTAAACTCCCGAGCCCTGGTCATCAGTATTGTTTTTTCCGGGTTTGGTAAATTGAGTCCCATTTTATTAATTTTAGGTAAACTGAGTCTTGCCTAAAAATAGAGTCTCTCGAATAGAAATGAAATCAGTAAATTGAGTCCCTTGTGTAAAAATTAAAGCGGTAATTTTAAATATGGTGAAATGCTGTTTTTTTTTTTATTTAACATACTTTTAATTATATTAACACAATTATATACTACGTACATTAAACTTACATTTATCAGTTATCACATATCATATGCAGCGTTGTTGTAGATAGTTAGGTACTTACATAAATGTTGCATAATAATACTGAGCGAAATATAATAATATTTAACAATGTAAAGGTAAAATACATTTACCTATCGTACTCGGTGAATTTATAACTATATCAACGATTATATTTATAATTTAAATACATTTAAATTAATTTAATACAATAAATATTTTAGACGGGACTCAATTTGCTGCTTTAACTGTTATACGAAGGACTCAGTTTACATATTTCGAAAAAAGATAAATAGTTTTTTCTTACTAACAGTACATCAGTACTTACCTCACACGATCAATCTTACAGTCAGAATTACTGATCGTGTGAGGCCCGCTTTAATCTTAAAATTCTTTAAGTGAAATATATGTTATATCAGGATATATAGAATTCAATTTTTCACCAATATTTTTATCGCATTTTCTAGAAGACCTTCATTTTTTATATTATCAAAGTTTTTCAGATCTTAACAAAAAATATCTGCATATATTTCTCAATATTAAATTCCATACCTAATTTTGATTTTATTATTTATTCTGTCCATAAGAATTTGAAAAGTGATTATTTTACACTCATTAATCGCTGAAATTACTTAGAAAGAATCGTCTGTTTTATAATTAAATAACTTTTTAGGTATTCGACGTCTTTTATTTCGAAAATCACTTCCAACAATATATTATAATTTATTTATAGAAATTATAATTTCGATTTCATCAAGTTCTTCATTCGTGTAATTTATAAATGTATTTGTTTTTTTCATGAATCTATTAGGAATAGTCTTCAATTTTTTTTAGCAAATCCTACGTATTGTCTTTTCATATTGCTGTTCCATCAGTCGAATTCCCAATACATTTATTTGTTGACATGCTTTTTGATTGTAAGGTTTGAATAACTTTATCAGCAAACGATTGCTCAGTTGAAGTAGTAACTTGTAGTTCATTTCAAAATGTATTGATGCAATGTATATTTAAATTTAAATTTATAATAATAATAATATTTTTCACTATAACGAGTGTATTAGTCCATTTTGTCAAAATATGTAGCAGCCCACCGGGATACTTCCGGTATTTCGGTGGGCCTATCCACCCCTGAACCTGCTACAAAAATTATTTTCCAAATGAAAAATAAAAATTAACTACACCAAATCTTTCCGTGCTACATTTTTTCTTTTGTCTTAGGGGTTAACCACCTATCTCACTAAACCACTCTATCATTCCTCCAGTGGCGTACCTACTCAAGGGAGGGAAGGTTAGGGGTTATATTCTTTTCTATTGTCTTTTTTTTTCCGACTTACAGAAGACAACTTGTTAATTATAAAAGCTGTTTTAGAGTCATTACTTTTTATTAGTTATTAATAAAAACTTAATACATATGACCCACAATAAACATTCACTACATAACCTATATATATAAATAAATATATGTATACACGACACGTGCACTGGAAAAATACTATTTCTGAATTTAGATCTAATATCAACGACTTCGAAATAGTATTTGATGATACATTCAAAGTTTGTGCTGAATTTAATATAAATATTTCAAAAGTTGGGAAATGAACAATTTCGTGTATAGTTGATCCTAATGAAAATACATAACATATTAATAGAATATAAAAAAGAAGAAATTAAATATTCATGTTATTTTTGTAACATTAGATGATGAATTTTTAAATTCACATTTTAATCAAGTGACTTTAAATATAATTTCTGTAGATGGAAACGTAATAAACTTTATAAGCACTGATAATGATTATCCTTGTTTGCCAAAAACAATTAATATTAGCATTGATGAATTAAAAACTGAAATCAGATTAATAAAAAATATTACAAACACAAAATTACCTCTAGATTTATAAATGGTAACTATTACTCAACAGCTCCAATGGCCAAATAATATTTTATAATAATAAATAAATATGTTTTTGGGTAACTACTGGCCCCCACCTACCAAAAAAAAGGGGAGCTTGTTCCTCTTGGATTATAGGTTTGGCGCCATTGATTATAATTATCTAAATATAACAGTAATTTGTTTAATATACTATATCCGTCAGAAGCAACAGTTATTATACCTGTAGCATTAATGTGATATGATCTGTGATGAATACTAGACAACTTTCTTTAAAAATGTTGATAAACATGATGTACCAAGTTGAAAATATATCAATAGAATGCATTAGACTCCTAGAACATACAACAAACTCCTAAAGAGTATACGTAAGCTTAGAATATAAACCCTTAGTAGTAGCATTAATAGTAGTTGACATCTTATTATTTTCAAATAAGTTTTAGAAAAATATAAACATTTAATCATTAACTTTTTATTATAAACTTAGCATATAAGTTATTATTTGAAAATATTAACATTTATAATATTAAAACATTAAAGGATATTAAAAACAAATTAAACTTGATAAGCATAATATTAATATTAAAACACTATTGGTAAAAACCTTAAACATACATTACCAAAATAATAAATATAATTATTAATTAGTATTTAGTAAAAAATAGTTTAAATACTTGAAAAATATAAAAACAGTATTTTGTAATATCATTGTAGAATTATTTATTAATAGTTTTTACTCAAGGGTAAATATCCTAGCTGAAATATCACTAACCATCCAGTTAATTCCTTCCAGTAGGTTTTCTCCTGTATATGCACTACAATGTATTATTTTCCAATGATGAGTTTTAATACGCTCTAACTGTAAAACCTAAAATAATAAAAATAAAAAAAAATAATACAATTTAATATAAAATTAATATATGATTAATAATAATTTATTTTTTAATATGAAATAAGGCTTAGATTTTAAACTTTGAATGAAGAAATAAATAAAACAATTATTAGTATCAATTTTTTTTTCATCAAGCTTTCTGTTAGTAAATCTAAATAAAAAAACTAATAATGTATGGAACACTAGAAATTATTTGAAGATTATAGAATAACAATTTTTTTATTTAAATTTATTAACAGAAAATTTGATGAAAAAACTAGACAATAAAACACATAAAACTTAATGTTGAACTTCAACAAGATCAAAGCTTAATAGTTTTTAGTAAAATTTGGTATCTAGTTTTGAGAAATAATAATATATAATATAATATAAAATGTATTATAATATGTATGTACATAATTTGATACATATTTAAGTTAGTTACAAGAAATAAAATATTTAATGCAGAATGCACTGATTTGTTCTCAGAACGGTCAGATTGTAATGATTTATTATTAATTTAAAATATATAGAACAGTTACCTCTTTTATTTCTTCTGATGATAAAGCACCCGGTAAATCTTGTTTATTAGCAAATATTAACAATGTAGCTCCGGCTAATCTCTAAAAAAAAAAAAAAATATTAAATAATTTTTTAATTACTATTTGCTATGATAAATGAAATAGATTACAAATATATAGGTACGTACATTCATTAAAATTTAAAATGTTTCTAAGATAACAACGTAGTAATAAAAACTGTAACATTGAATTTTAAAATTTTTATATTTTAGACTCTTATATTTATATATTTAGATGTGGCTCTCAAAAATCACTAGAAAATTGTATATTTAACTGTATACGTTAAGATGTGATATAAAATAAGTAAAAAAGGTTAAAAAAACTGTTTTGCTGTTTTAATGATTGTAATTTAAAAATTGTACTTTAACATAAATTTATTGATCTCTACTAAATAACACTTCTATTTTTAGCAAATTAAAATTGATTGCAGAAAGATGCAGTAGACATTTTTAATCTGAATTAATTTTACTACTTATACATGAATAATAAATTAAACTATTCAGTGAATCGCTATAGTATAATTTAAAAAAATTATACTTCTAAGATTTTTAAAGTATGAAATTTCTCTTCTTAAATACCTCTTCTTCAATTAAACTATGTAATTCAGTTGTACAATCACCCAGTCTTCTTTTATCTGCACTGTCAACAACCCATATAAGACCATCAGTACTTTCAAAATAGTTACGCCAATATGATCTCAATGACTTCTGACCACCAACATCCCATACATTAAGTTTATAACTGAAACAAAAATTATAGAGAATTTATTTTATAAAAAAAATAAAAAAAACATTCAAAACATTTAATAAGTGTACAATTATAGTATTACATTTAGAAACTTATCACCAAATAAATAGATTTTCTGATTTATTATTCTTCTTTTTCTTCTCCCAATTATTTGGAGTCAGCCACCATTGTCCTAAACTTCGATCTTATCCTTATATCAACAGTCCTCATATCATTCTCAATTGTATCCAACTAACTCTTTTTTGGTCTTCCTCTTCTTCTTTTCCCTTTAACATTCTTTTTTTCATTACTTTTATTTCTTCTCGCCTCATCACATGCTAGAATCATCTTAATCTATTTTTTCATCTTGTCGACTATCAACGCTACACCAATACTACCTCTGACATATTCGTTCTTTATTCTATATTCTCTTGTCACTCTACTTATCCGTTTAAAAATTCTCATTTCTGAAATACTCATACTTGCATAATATGTAGAATTGGTCTCAATACCTCCTGTAAAATTTACCTTTCAGCTTCATTGGAATTCTCTTATCACATAAAACACCAGACGCTTCTCTTCATTTTATCAAAGCATACACACTCCTATGTTTTACATCCGTGTCAAATCCCAAGCCTTTTGTAAAAATTATCCTAAATAGATATTTATTAAAATTTTCGACTTCATCTATTACATCACTGCTAATTGTCATTGGTTTCCTCGTACTGTCAACTCTTGTTTTCTTCCTCCAAAGTCATATTCTATTACTCTGTTTTATTTCTACTAAATCTCAATCCCTTTCCTTCAAGGACTAATCTTCATACATCTAATCTATTAACTTCATTCAGATTTTATCCTACCAAAATTATATCAACAGCAAACATTATATATATATATATATATATATGTTACTGGCAATATGGATAATACGGTATTTTGCAAAATGCCTAGGTTATATGTAAAATAATATTGACAGTCACGTGTTTTATTTACATTGCCTAAAGTGGATCAGCAATTTGCATAATGCCTAGGCATTTTGCAAAATACCTGAATTATCCATATTGCCGGTTACATATATGTATATAATACCATATAGATATTCTGATTTATTATATTATTTATAAATATATGTTTTATATATGTATTATCATTATCTGTAAATAGATATCCATATACATAAAAAATATTTATAAGTTGAAGTAATTACTTTTTATGATCTAATGTTTTTATGTTAAAACCCAAGGTCGGTTCAATTGTATTAGTTGGTTCTCCGTTATACTTTTTCAATATTGTTGTTTTTCCAGCATTATCCAAACCTCTGATAAATAAATTTTGTTAAAGATAATTATATATTAAAATAAATATTAAGAATACTGAAATTAACTATTATCATTAGTACAAAAGTAAAAGTATAAACTAAAAAACTTCGAAGTTTGAAGTAACTTGATAGTTTAAACAGTTATATTTTAAAGGATACAAAATTAAGATCCTCATTTCTTTTTCCTTTTGTTTCATCTTCTTTAGAACTGTCATCAATCCCATTTTGTATAATATATGTTTATAATTCTATAATATGTAGATATCACTTTTAGTTTTTAATAAACACTGAAAAATATTTTTCTATAATAACAATAACTTATTTATTCCGTTACTTTCATTACATTTACTAAATCGGTTTTCATAATCTCGTTTGTCCAGTGACAAGGTATGATATGATATCACAAACTCATGAATATAAAATGATAAGGTGAGTTATAAATAAAATATCTTCTAAGACCGTGGTGACTGGCATAGATGTAAGATAATAGTACACGTGAGAGACGTAAGATTTAATATAAAGTCCAGGTTCGTATTTAAAAATTTGGCGTATATAATTTTTGCTCCCGCCCAAAAAAAAAAAAAAAAAAATTAAATTTAATGTAAATCTTATTATTTCGTCTATAGTCGAGATTCTTTAATATATTAAAATAGGTATAACTTATAAATTAAAATTGTTTAATACTTTTTTTAATCAACAAATTATAACATAATAAACATACTATTTTCTTTTTTTTATTGTTTTATTTTTTTTTCATTGGGTACCTACATCATTTTTAAAATTAATTTTGCTAAAATATTTTGTAGCCCCTGAGACTTGACGTCCCCGGGAATGTGCCTACCCGTGCTCCCCTAAATACGAGCCCAAAAAATCGGATACACTACGAGCATTTAAGTGTAATTTAAATGTGTTTAAATTTAACACCGTAATGTAACAGAATTCGCTTTCACTTGAATGTTACGTGTTACTAACGATCAGTGTTTAGGGTCGATCACTACCGTGTATCGGTTGTTCGCCGATCTATCTATCACTTATTCACAGTTTGTTCTCGGGTAATATGTCAAATTATACCATATTACCAATTTCAAAAAATCCAAAAAAGAAATCACAGAAGAAGAATTAATCCAGGTTTTTTCTTCAAAATCTTATCGAAATTTCTTATTATTAGATTGGTCAAGATGAAGTTAATAAATTGAAATTGAATGAAAAAAATAAAACACGTTGAACTTAATATAAAAATGAACTTTTATTGTTAATTGTTGATTATGTTTTTTTTAGTATTTTGAGTTTGTCCTCCCCCATTTTAAAAGCCTGGATACGCCACTGCCTTTAACCCCTCTGAAATATTAATTTCAATACTAGTTCACCCAGTCGAAATATTTAGTGGTACCTACTTGAAATCGTGTCAAACATTATGTATGTATTATCAATGTTGGATTAACGAATATTTCGCCTGGAAGAGAATTTTAAAATGCCGCGCTTTACAAACCTATTGTACAGTTGTATCCAGGTATTGTAACCTTATGTTTTTTCCGATTTCGGTAAGGGTTTTCAGAAAAAAATTTCCGAGGTTTCGGTTTAAATCATAAATGTTAAAAATGTGAAACTGAGCTTACGGTTACGGTTGCGGTTAATACCGGTTATAACCTGTTACCAAATAATATTTTTAAATTAGAATTTTAAGTGATTTTAACCGTATAACTATCTACTTTATATATGTACCCTCTTTATGTTATTCTTTGTAAACTAATTCTAAAACTAATTTCTTTTTATTCTTTTATTATTATATATATATTAGTGATGGGAACAATCGAGTGATTTCAACAATTGAGAGGTTAGTAATCGAGAAGATTTAACAATTGAGAGATTCACTCGAAAAAAATCTCTCGGTCAGTACTTAGTTGATAGTAACTATTTACTGATTACTGAATAAAAATTTAAAATTCTAGTAGGTAGTACCTAGTGTAATATTATATTATTCAAACGAACGAACGATTTCATAATATAAGTACGTTGTATTACTTATAATAAATACATTAACCATAATACATTTTAATTATTTACCATATATTAATGAACCATAAAATTAAACATGTCATATTTTTTTGGGAATATTTTAGTTTATCATCAACTTCATATAAATAAAATAAAACTACATCCTTGTTTAAAACAATAAAAATTGATACTTATTAAATTACAAATCAATATATAGTAAATAAAAAAAAAAACGTTATAAAGTTAAAAAATTAAAAAATGTATAAATTACTGTTTAAAAATATTATTGTGACTAAAAATGGATAAAAACTAAAATAAAATATAATATCACAATATCATAACATTAAAATTTGTCAATTTTAAACTACTACATTTGTAATATTTAATTTAATGAATGCATCTTTACAAGCAGTAATTAAGAATTTGAATTGTTGGATTCAACGATAAAATACCAAATAAAATTTTTAAACTTTAAAATATGTTATGTATTATAATTTTAAATAATCAAAACTGGGTATTGGGAGTTAGAATACCCAAATCTAATTATTATTGCCAAGGGCGTCCGCAGGGTGGGAGGAGGAAAGTAGGGGCATCTGCCCCCCCTTGGCTTTTTCATGGGTCAATTATCATAACCATTATGTAGTATAAAATATCATAAAATAAATATTTTTTAAATTAAAAACATTTTTTTAAACGTTGAGTGCCACATAGTCGACAAATGTTATGTGGATTTTTATGGGTGTATTATGTCATCGATTTTCGATGCACTGTTTAGACTATTATATGTGAATATTAAATATTTAATAGGATCTCGTGATTTCATTGGTATCATTGAATATAAATACCAAAATACTACAAGTATTTCATATTTATAATCATTAATCAATGTTGGTGTATTTGGATTTTGCGTGGTTATTTTTGGTGGGTATTAATTATTTTTTCCGAATAACGACGGCGGTGACGACGATGTCGAACAACGCACTAAAATATCGTACATTTTATATTTATATTTTATATTTATATTTAATTGATAAATTGTATATTTATAAATATATCGTAACATTGGTATTTTTAATATAGGTAATAGAACTATTAGTATTTAGTATCAACATTCAACACCATTTTATGGGCTTTTCATTTATATTAATTAAAGAAAAACTATTGTTAGGAAATATCAAGTATGTATGTTTTTCATTCAATATGGCTTTACAGTTGACAAGACTACGATATTTACGGTACATGAGATTTGAAAGACGAATTGTCGATAGAATAATAAAAAAAAATTGTTTGGTAGTGAACAAAAAAAAAAAAAAACTAAAATTAGTACTAAAATAAAACTAACATTTATATAATTTATACTCTAAATAATACGATAATACGGACGAAAATATAAAATTCCGAGCACTATAGTTATAATAGCGTAATACTAATAAATACTCTGAACGATCCTGAAAACAACTTATAATTGTGGGGTAGGAAATAAAATATTATACTACTATTTTCTGTACACATTTTCAGTGAACATTTTTCGAGGATTAGTAATTCTTTCTAAAAATTATAACGCTTTAGAAAATTTCAAATCTGTCGTTATCGCCGTTAAGAAATTGCCGCCATTCAAAAGTTACCACTGAGGGCAACTGCCACATTTGCCTCCCCCCCTACCCCGGAACTGTATATTATGTAACCTTATGTATCCTTATTTTAACTATAAAATAATAGTAATTTTTCTCCATTTTGTGGCGGTGCTAGGCCTGAACTCCATTTATTCACTATATTGATAACGATGAAAATAATTTTTTAGAAAACATATCAACAACATTTGGGTAGGTAGTATGTATATTTTTTATAATATATTACCAAACTGAAAATTATTATTTATTCGAAATAAACAATAATTTATTTATAATTTAAGTAAAAGTGACATGAGAGTGTGTTGTACAAGAGATTATTACATTTTCATACGAATAAAATTGGTAAATAATTTTGAAACTGTATAAAAATGAAAGTAATATAAACACTTTCTTTGTTTACTGATTAATAATTTAAATAGATTTAGAAAAATGTCCGTTGATAGCTGGTTCATCGGCGGCATAGTTAGACATTTCTTGAGGAATCACCGCACTTTCTTCGATACCGGTACAAGGACGACACATACATTCCAGTGGAGCTTTTGTAGTTACCTATGATCAAAAACCAAAATGTTTTATAGTAGGTAAATATTGTACTATAATACGGGACGTGTTTATAATATTTTATATGTTTATTGGTATATAATATTTTCGGTACATAATGTACAATAATACAATATATTATTTATAAATGGATATAAATTATAATATAAATTTATATATGAATACAATTGATGGGACCCTTATTGGCTGTACTCATAATTTGCTATTTAGTAGCTTATCTCTAGCATAAGTAGTATAAGCTGGGTTTACACTACACCATGACGTGTAATTTACCTGACCGTGTGCTTTGAAAATGTGTGATACCAATAAATATCTTATGATGATACTATCAAATTTTAGTTACATATATTCGCAGTTTTTTTATTAGATATGAAATATTTTCATAAGTTTTAATAAATAATAACTGATGAATAGTAAATTATATAGTAGAAAATATGTATTATATTATTATTAGGGCTCGGAACTTAATGCACTTAAAAAGTACTAAATATGCATGCACTTATGCGCTTAAAAAAGTATAAATATGCACTTAACTTTTTTTAACGCAAAAATTGTTCATAAATAAAGATATTTTATTAAATAAACTCGTATATAACAGTACAAATGTTGTTAGTATATTATACTAAGCTAAACATAAATTCTAGGTATAAATACATAAGATAAAATATAAGTAAAATAAATAGCTTGAAATTTGAAATTTTCTTTTAAAATGTTTTCATTAGGTTTTTCATAGTGTCATGAAAATAATTTCAAGGTTACTTAACTGTAAATTGAATAGTCCAATAAAATCATGCAAATGCAACACTTTCTGAGCCCTTTGTTATTATGAATAATGTTATCATAGAATATTAAATTATTACTATTAAAATCGGTAACCACACGTTCAAAATTGGATAAAATCAACTTCACGGTATCTTATGGTTAGTGAGGTAACTTGTGATTTATTATACGGTATACCTTAATGTATCAAAATGGTTCAAACAACCAGAGATAATTATTTTAGAAGACACGACATGGCACGGTGTAGTGTGAACCCGACTTAAGATGTAAAATATAGCTATTGAACATAAATTCAAGGATGGGACATTTAGGTTAAACTATTATAGTAGTTCAGGAAGCTCTATAATACCATTATCAAGACGTAAGAGAAAATTAAAATTTGTTTCCAGCCTTCTGTCGGTTATAATATTCAGGCTACATTGGCTCATAATTAGATAGAAATTATGGGATGCGTGATACATTAATATATAAATACTGATATTTTATCTCTCGTTGGACACGTTTGACTTGATTTATTCCACAAAAATTAAAAGTCACACAATGATTATATCTCCATGCATACTCTAAAATATACCTCATAAAATCACAATATAAATATTTAAAAATTTTATCGGAGATACTAATTTAAATTCAATACAAACTATTCTTATAAAATTTGAATTTTCAATGCTTCAAAAAACACTCTATCTAAATAATTTTGACAAATAAATTCACGATCAATCATAAAAACAAATTAAAAATTCTTATGGTCCACTAATAAAAAGAAGATACCATAAATTTATAATTAATAATCAATATGTTCATGTATTCTATAGAATGACATTAAATTAAGTTTTGAAGTATTAACTATTGAGTTATAAGTTAGAAATATTTACCTACGAAAAATGGACTAATTCACTAATTAATCGAGATATTCTTATGATAAATAACAATCCTTAGATTTATTAACTTTTATAAATATCTTTAGATCATACATAAAAATAAGGAGACAATAGTTAACAGTGAGACTTTTTATATCATTAGTAAATAGTGCAATTTTACCATAGCTATTAGCGCTTATAGTAAACTATAGTATAAAGCAAGTAGGTAACTTATACTTGGGAGACATGGTCCCTGACAAAAGGAGATGAGAGGAAATTACAAATGGGAAACTATAATAATTAAAAAAAAGTACTATTGAAAAAATTAAATAAAACAAGATCTCTAGGAAGACCCAAAAGCCGATGGATTAATATAATAGCCAGAGACTTGAAATATATAAACCAGAACATGACCTTTGAATCAACTTACAGAACATGTGGATGGCGACATTATTTAATGGCTCAAATGTTCCTTAGTAGACCAATACACTGAGAAAAAAAAAGAATAAGAAAAAGAAAAAGAAGTAAATAATGCCAATAACAAAAAAAATGTCCTAACCTAAAGAACTTCAGATATTTGTCCAGATGTTATATCAATAGTACCGTATTTGGCTCGGAGTACTTTAACAAATTGCTTACGATCACGAAGATATAAGAACCAACTAACCAATAATTATATTCTTATGCCTGAGACCAAGCTATCCAACATTTCCATCAAAAAATTATGATCAACGCGATAAAAAACCCTTAGTGAAGTTCCTAAAAATAACATTCACTTGAATAGAGTCAATAAATGAATAGATTATATAATTAGAAATAACTAGATTTTGAAAGACTGTTGAATAGTCTTGGTTATTGAAATCCATGTTGTTCAAGAATTTATATCTGATTTAGCAAAACTTAAGATTAACGAGTTTTAGAGCATAATAAAATTAATTACTATTCGGATTCGTCTATTATTGGTAACGCTGAAACTATAGTTTGTTATATTTGGAGTTAAAAACATGTGTCTATTTTTAAATTTTCTAGTACCTTTCTAAATTTTTTCTCGCCTTGTTTTGCTTTAGGACAAAAGAGTGATACTGAGGCTTCTCGTTCACCACTCTCTTGACAGCACATACAAGATCTTTCCATTTGCCATATTTTTGACCCGGAAACCTTATAAAAAAACACCATATTATTAAATTGATTATTCATTAATTATTTTTCTAAAACATAGTTGTAAGTTGTACTTGAAGATAACTGCTGCAACGTCCTGTACATGCAAATGAAGGTATTGGTTTTGGTACACATCCTGGATACTGTAAGACATGGATAACGGGCGTTACTTGGCAGTCATCACTAGATCTAGCGGTTACTACCACTCCATTTCCATTATCAGCAAAGGCCATGCTACACATAGCCAATACTGTCAAATATTCTAAAATTATATTCAAACTGTTTATTTATTTACTATAAAGGTTTTAAAAATGTATACGGACTTCTTTAAAAAAAAAAAAATAGATAACATAAATGTAATTATAATAATGTGTGTTACATTAGTATATAAAATACGAGTATATATTATTATGTTAAACTTAAAATATAGATATTCTTTTACTTAGCGTAAAATCAAAAATATTCACTAAAAATAATATGGTTAAAATTTCAAACATAATTACTATATTTTATCATGGAAATTAAAAAAAAGCTTAAAAATTAAATTCAAAGTTTAACTTACTGAAAAATTCCTGGTTGATGGCAGACATTACGACTCAAAGACCATACTGTGATTAATCTAGTGAGTGGTAGCCGATTTTGAAGAGCATAAACTTCCGACCTATGATTTATTAACGGGACAGCCCTCCTGGAGGGGTTACATGGTTTATGGATTATACTTCTCAGCTGGTAAACTCCCAAAAACCACATACACGTAGAATCATTTAAAACCAGACGGTTCATTGGCGTCAAAGAAAGTGAGAGTTTGTAAAATAGTTTTAATGAAAACGCTAAAAACGAAAATAAATTGTATTGTTTTTATTTTTTTCAAAAAATAAATATACAGTGTAAATAAGTAACTCATTGAATACCAGATTGTCCAGGATTATAGTTATTCACAACGTTCCCATCCATTTTAGTGTTGATTTAATTTGATTAATCAATTTTTACTGTAATTTTTAATAATTATTAAATTGTAAATAATATATTTCTAATTATTAGAATTCTGAAAAATATTTAAATAAATTAAGAACATTTAGAGATCTCAATAAAGTCAAATGTTTAAAATTAAGTAAAATAATTAAATAAGTTTTTTTTTTTAAAAATATCAAGATAATACCGCAAAAAAAAATCAAAATTAATGTTACTCTTTTAATTTATTATACGGTGCTTTTTGTGAAAGTGAAATACCATTGCTTTCTAGTACAATTTATATCTTAAATTAATTAATTTTAAAAATATGTTTAGTCTAATTAATTGTCAATAATAAAATATAGTAAAATATCATAATGTACCTATATACCTATATATATAAATTAATAAGAATAAGAATATTATAAAAGTAGTACAGTCTTATAAAATAATCTTAATTTATTCATTGGTTCGAAAAAAAAAACAAAACTAAATAACTATAAATATCTTTAAATCAACCATAAATTTCTAATTCATACATATGGATCGTTTAATAAATAACAATGACGCATATGGTCATACACGTATTCGTGTACGCATGGCCATAGCTAGAAAACTATTGGGGGGGGGGGGGTGTTAGAGTGTAATTGTGTATTTTGAGTAGCAAATTTTAAAATTTCAAATGTAATAGGCATTTATAAAAAATGTCAGGGGTTCTGAACCATAAAACCTTCTTTCTTGGCTACAGCATTGTATGTGTCATGGCCTTTAACTATAGTGGAAACGTCAAAAAATCATATAGTATCATGAGGGAACGGAAATATGAAGAATTTATTTGTCTAAAAATTATCATTACTTATTCAGGAAAATAATTAAAAACAGATTTCATCAGTAAATTATTCAACTTTTTATTTTTATGACAAAAATATTATGGTTTTTCAACTTAAAATTTAATAAAATACAAATATGCATTAATGAAGTCTCATTCCGAGACAATTGGCTGACCCGAAATATATTATTGGGACACTGAGACGCCATACTCAAAATTAGTTCTGTCCTGCTCAAACCGGGACATATGGCAACCCTACTTTAGGTATCATCGTATTGATATAGTGTATCCCTAAATTTAGTCACATTTCTCATAAAAACTGTACATTCTAATTTGAAATTTGATTTCGAAAACACCCTGTAAGTTTAAGTTTACCTTAAACTTAACTGTATATACTTTCAACAAATAATATTGCAATGCAATACATATTTAATTATTACATTGAATATTTTCTTTTTAATATTTTTATATAACATAGTCTAGATCAAGGATTGGCCACTCAAAATTACTAGAGGGTCAATTTTTAGAAAATAACATTTTCGGGCTAAAACAGAAAAAAAAAGGTTATTCAAAATATGAATTTAAATTAGCAATATACACAGAATTAATAAATTCAATACACACGACTGCACGATATGAATCATACAAAGAAACTGATATAGTAAAATAGTTCGGTACAATTTGTTATGGTTCAAAGCTATACTTATACATACATATGACATTTAACCATTTAACAATGTTTAATAATAGATAACAATTATTATATCGATAAGTTATAGTATAGACGATAAACTTTAAAATTATATGATGTAATTTTAAAATATAGTACGGGCCAGATAAAAAATGCTCGAGGGTCGCCAATTGCCCACCCTTGGTTTAAAGAAATATTTTGTTATAAATTTATTGGTATACATTAGAAAAACAAAGTGGCCATGAACGTATCAAAAATAGTACAATTTAAAATTTCATGTAATACTACAATTCATCCATTACTCAAAGAAATATATATTTATGTATATTTAAATCTCGTTTACTGATTATTAAAAAAAAAAAAAAATAATGGCTACTACACACACATTTTTTCTATTTATGTTTCAATATGGTATAGTTCGATAGGTATATTATATAAACTAATAATAATATATGACAATAACCAATATTAAATTGTGTTTTGCTATACTATTATATTGTCATCTTTAATAGGAGTTACAATTATATAAATACCTTATATGTTTAAAGTTAAATTAAATTAAATATTGTTTAAGATTTACTAAACTTACATGGTTACATATATTAATTTCGTACAAATTAATTATATTATAGAATACATATTATTAACATAGTAATTAGTATATGTGGTTTAAATCAAAAAATATAATATTTTTATTTAACACAAAATATACTTATATATATCATATATTGTGTATTTATTTTACAATTTTATACATTCAAATTTTATATGCAAGAGTTTTTAGTTCTTTAGTTTTATTATACTTACTTTTAAAAATATAAACACTGGTTGTGATATATTTTGTTTCAACAAGATAAAAATTTTTACACCACATGACCACCTGGGGATAAGTTTAACAACCCTCTCTATCCAGCAACACTTATGTGAGCTGGAAGTAAAAGCTTAAATATACACTCTAGAAGTCATAAATAGTTTTGTTGTGAACGTTAGTAGTCACTATTAACTGATCAGTCACTGATCTGAACTACTTCGATAAACTATACTGTCAGCTGTATTATGTAAGTATTTAAAAAAAATGTTCATATTTTGTTAAATTTTAACACAGACATTTATTTGTTAGCAATTATGAACACGACTCAATTGTTTATAATTTCCATTGCGGTTTTTCTCGTACATAGCGTATTCGCAGAAGATCACCCAGAAGAATGTGAGACTTTGCCTTCTGAATTGCATATCATAAAAGGTACATTTTGTCATACGGCTTACAATAAAAGTAATTGTTATCTAATAGTTGTGTAATATATTCAGAGGAGTTTGATGAACTTGGACGACTTCAAAGAACATGCAATGGAGATATAGCAGTAAACAAGTGCGAAGGAGCGTGTAATTCACAAGTACAACCCAGTGTCATAACTCCTAGTGGATTTTTAAAAGTTATTATTTCGTATTTAATACCTAATGTTTACCACACGTATTATAATTAAGTATTGATTTCATGACATGCAAATAGGTAAATGTTTCAAACATTAAAATTAATAGCTTAGGAATAAAAAAATCAATTAAATCAAATTTTTATAATTTATTTTATAAATTAAATTTCTATTCCACAGAAGTTCCATTTGTCGTTATTTGAATAATTACTATTTAGTAGTATGTAGTTTTATTTAATGATGGTATATGAAATGTATAAGGAGAGAATAAAAATTATTGTACGATAGATACGGACAAACTTAATTATTTAAAATATTCTATTTGCTACATTTTTATAAATAAAAACATATTTTATACACTTATTAAACTATATAAAATTATTTTACATCAATATCAAGGTTCATAATAATATTCTAAAAAATTATATTTTATTATAATATATAAATAAGTTGGTTATTTGTTCAAATTTCATTCCTATAATAGTATAGTTTGTAGGTTAGTTTACAGTTCCAATAGGTAGGTAATCTAGATTGTAGATATATACGAGTTACGCTTTTAAAACTAATCCTGATTCGGGCTCCAGAGTATATATGTATTATTTTAAAATGAATATCTTATTTGTAAATTGCTATGGAATACTTTATTTTTAAGGATATTTTAATACATAATAGAGCAAGATTTTATGGATGACTTCAAATTTACAACTTTTTTTTTATTTATTTTATGCTTATACGTAATTTAAAAGTTCTTATCATAGAATTACTTTTAAAATGTATTGTTTCACTAGTATGTTTATATTTTATACAGAAATATAAAATAAATCTGACATTTATGGTAAAGCTATAAATTATTAGTTCTAGAATTAATATACATATATTTATTGATTATTCCACATATGCACCTTATAAAAACCAAATTATAAAAATGTCAAATGTTAATTTCATAATTATGGAAATAATGACTATATAAATTTTTTAAATATTAAAATAATTAAAACTGTGCATCAGGATAAAGGTATTGGTTAGATAATTTAGTTTAAAATAATAAATCTTTCATATAATATTTATAACATAAAAAATATATAATAATTAAAGTTCAACTATTTTAGATTTAAGTTAAAAATTGTATAAAAGTAAAATATAATAAATTATTATTTCAGGAATGTTATTGTTGTCGTGAAACGTTTCTGAGAGAAAGGATCATAACACTTACTCATTGTTATGATCCAGATGGCATGAGATTGACGAGTGAAAAATTGGCTACTTTGGAAGTTAAACTTAAAGAACCAGCGGACTGCAAATGTTTCAAATGCGGAGATTTTTCCGGCTAAAATTATGTTTAAATACATGTAATAATCAGCAACCTTTTCATCGTACTATTTTACCTGTGTTATAATTATTATTTATAATTTTAGCAACTAAGAATATTTTTGTAGGTACCTACACATTATAATACTGTTCATACATTTTTTATTATTTTGGATTAAATGTAACTGCATATTAAATACATATTATTAATTATTAATTTTATTTTTTTAACAATTTCATTAACATTGCTATATATAAAATACAATTTAAAAATATAAATAAGTTAAATAATTAGGAAAAACATCTGCCGATATTAAATTTTATTTTATTAAACAAAGTTAACCAATTCCTAAAGTTACCTTTTGGTGATTAAACAGTTATTATGAAAAATTATTTTAAATTTAAACATTAAAAATAATACATGTTCATTATTTTGATAAATAATAAGGATAAAATATTGAAGTTACTATTTAGGTTCTTATCTTTATAATCAGATTATTTAAATTATTATTTATATACCATATACTACTATTTATATTTTTCCTGAATTGACGACGCCGTCGCTTATCATAAACACCATATAATTTTTTATTATAAAAATATAATTTCTTATGTACCTATGCAGTGGCACCGAACTATATTTCAAGAAGAGTGGCAGTATAATTTTTTATTAATGCAAAAGTGTAGTATAATATATAATATGCCTATAAACATACTATGAAAGACAGAGTACCATATAATTTTACGCCACTGAAACAAATTATAAACATATAAAAAAAATCCCATAATTCATGGACACCCACCCACCTCTTCAAACAAGAGTGGTGGCCGCTACCCCTGAAAGGCAGGATCGGCGCTACTGTACCTATGTATATTTTATCAGGGGTAAACGCAGGAATTTTTCAAGGGGAGGGGAAAGGTATTTAAATTTTTTAATTTTTGTTTCATTATCTAGTTAGTGATAAAGTACCTTATTGTTTTTGACGTGTTTTCTATCATATAGGTAGGGAACGTAAAAAAATAATTAATTAATTATGTGTATAGTTAGAACGTTAGAACTTAATCTTACAGTATTTATTTTAATTAATTAATGTGCAACTTTAAATCAATAAATACATTTTTTTTTATATAAATAAAATAAAACCATTGATTTGATAATTTTAGGTTAATTATAAAATTAAATGTTTCTAGATTCTATAAAATAAATAAAGAACTACCAATTACCAAACCATTTGGTATTTACTAACTTAAAATATTTACATATAAAAGTTGAAACAGTGCATCGAAAACCGATGACTTAAGAGGGAGCAACAGAGAAAAAAATATGTAATACACCCATAAAGATCAGCATAACATTTGTCGACTAAGTGCTATAACTAAGTGCACTCAACGTAACAAAAATTGTTTTTAATTTAAAAAAAATATTTATTTTGTGATATTTTCTACTACATAATGGTTGTGATGATAACCCATGAAAAATATAAGAAGGGGCAGACGTCCTTACTTGCCTAAACCTAAACTGAGATTCATCCCTGGGCGTAAAATGTTAGAGGGTGTAATTTTTTTAATTATCAATAACTAATTTGATATTTTTAACTTTGTTAAATACTGTAATTAGGTGAAAACTCAATACGTAGGTTAGGTTAGGTTATATATTAATTTTTACCTTAGGATGGCGGCGTCAGAGAATAGGAAACTCAGAATTACTTAAGAATGGTAAATCCAGGAGGAAAATCAAGAGAGATAAATTCATAAGAGATAAGAACAACGAATCCCACATCTTCGACCATGATTTCCAAATAAATGATTTTATCACTAGCTTGAAAGAAATGAAGAATGGGAAAGCGGCTGGGTACGACGAAATTACAATAGAACAAATTATATTATTAATATAATCATTATTAATATTATATTATTCTTATTTTGTTTGATTGTAATGTTTCTTATATTATCACTATTATATTATTCTTATTTGTTTGATTGTAATGTTTTTGTGTAATGTAATAGGGCCTAGTTAGCACGAGGCTATTTTTGGATAGTGGCTATAGTTTATAATAATAAATTATATACTGTTGTTGTTGTTTAATGTATGCTTAATGGTGATGAAAAATTAAAAGCTTGCGTTTACCCATTATGTACGAATGGTTAGTTAGCGTATATCCATGATGGACGAATTTTCTTAAAAGTAGGTATACGCATAAATCCAAAAATAGAGACCGAGTATATGGCGTATACTTACGTATACCCTCCAATCATGGGCATCCCTAGAAATTTTTCTAGGGGGGGGGGCAAAATTAATTTAAAAAATAAATGAAAATTTTTTTATACATTTTATTTATAGTAAATTATTATACTTCGTCATTATTAAAATTATGAATTAAAACATTACTGACATTTAGGCTAATCGCTGACGGGCAATTTTCAGTTGCGCGATAGTTGCGCAACAATTGAATCATAACCACGCTCACAAATGCAACTAAACTGTCGTGTATGACACAAAACAAATACGAGTATATAATCGCGCAATCGAATGATTTGTGACAAAACACAAATTAATTAGTTGGTCAAACTAATTGTATGTTTAACTAGTTGTATGTGAGCCGATTATCATTTATCACTGTGGACGTCACCAATTCGATTAAACTGTTGCGCAACTATCGCGCAACTGAAAATTGCCCGTCAGCGCCTAGCCTTATGTATAATGTACAATTAAAACATCACTCAAAAAATACATTAAGATAAAATAGTCCGATTATTATTATTGATAGTTTTCATAGATAGCCGTCAGCCGTGTGTTGACATAATATGTTATGGAAACTTAGATCTATTTTTAGAAACTAATTTATCATTTGGAATTTTACCAATTTCTGTGAAAATAACATTATTCCAAGGGAGGCAAGTGCCCCGTCTTGCCCCCCCTGGGGACGCCCATGCCTCCAATACACCACTGTAATTAACCAATATAAACCTATATAATTATGTAACATAGTATAATTGACAAAACAAAATAATTACTATAAAGGTTTGTATACTTGTAATAATAATATATTGAGTAGTGAGAAAAATTAACTACGAATACATTATAATTGTTTTGTCGAAAAAATAACAGTAGTGCCAGTTGACATTAACTTTTACTAACTTCTGTGTTTTTTTAGTTGTTTATTTATTTTATTGTTGAAACAGTGAAAAATCATTATACAGTGATATATTATAAGTATCTTATAATGATGTATATAATACCACGGTCAATAGGTTACCTCGTCACCAAATAAACCATAGGTACTTTCTACTTACATACCTAACCTATGTTGTATGCTGGTGTTACGAGGAGTCTTACTTCTATGTATTAATCAATTTAATTAATACCTAATTAATTATGTTATAATCAATGGTTTAACAGCGATAATTTAGAATTCCATTAAGGATATACATTTTTATTATCTAGAAAATTATAGGTTTTCAAATTTTTATTTTTTTTCTTATGTTAAAAATTAAAAAAATAATTTCATAATGACGTGTTTAATAAAAAAGAAAAGCATTTAATAATTTTATAATTCTTGTCACATTATATCAAGCCGTAAACGTAGATCATACATACAAAAAATGTTGTTAATTTTTCTTTCCCAAAAGTGTTAGTTTTCGGGACTTTGTTCATATTATGCGCTCTGAAAAAATCTACTCCAGAGAAGTATGCAAGCACATAACTGCTTATGAACAAACAGAAATTAAAGCTGCAAATTCTATTGTGGGGCTGTGGGGATGTTAAAATATACTTAATTTAAATTGAGGAACATATCAAAATTAATGTTTCACGACTCAAAGAGTGTCAACCAAAGATGAACACATGTAAAAAGTCTGGTGATAAGGTTTGAAGAAGTATCATAACCTTAGTATTATTGTTTATTAATCTTTAATGATAAGTACATAATTGGTAAAACTAATATTTCGTGGGGAGGTTCTCTTCGCAACGAAAAGCCCGACAGCGAGTAGTCCAGCGGCGGAGCGGTCGTGGTGAATAGTGCGGCGGCGAAATGTCCTAGACCCAATTTTTTGATGCAGGTCATACGGGTTCCGCGCCGACAATATCCGACGTATTTTCAGAGAGCATATTTATAAATTACTAGCTGACCTGACAAACGTTGTTTTGTCATTTAAATTATTTCTAGGGAATATTTTGCTAGAAAAAAATAACTAATTTAATATAAGTGTGTAAGTATGTGGTATATAAGTGGAAGAGGTATGGAGTGCTGTGAACGGTGACGAAATATAAAAATGAAAAAACATCAAACATTTATTTTTTTAATAATTTATTAAAATTGATCCATTAAAATTATATATATATATATATCGCTAATTATGACAATATTAGTAAAAAAACAATATCAATCCCTCAGTGCAACAGTGTACAATATTTTTTGTTATCCCATCTTTCGCCATCACAAACTGGATGGTTCGAGAGCACGCCACGTATAATTGTCCGTGTGAAAAACATGATGTGCTCAAACCACAGACAGACATCGTTTGCCCTTGAGTTTAAAAACTCTGTTGGATAATTTACAGCTTCAGTAGCATCGTAAACTGTATCAATAGATTTGTATGACACCAAGTCTCCTGGTAACAAATGTTGTATCTTGAGATTCAATTCGTTGAAGTCCATATTTTTCGCTGCTAAAATTGCTTTCTGCCAACCATTCATGATTTGTGTATTGTCTATGTAGATTGAGAAATATCTGGTCAGTTAGAGCATCTTGCGAATCAGTGATTGTGCAGAAGTCGGTCAATAATTGTATGCATCCCGTTTCATTCGTAGTAACTTTCCCATCACCCAGGGGCGTATTTATGGTGGGGGGGACGAAGAGGCCCAGGCCCTCTCCGAAATGAAAAACACCATTGTTAAAGATTGTTATTTTTAATATGGATATGTCTTAATGGGGGTTTACGAAAATTTATCGCGACACTGAGAATGTTGCTTATGCGATAATTTAAAATTTTATATTTATAAAATATGTTTATTCTTTTAAGAAAATATGTGGTGAATTTTGAGTGACTCTAATAAAAAATTTGTTTATTACAATGTAGTTTTTATACTTAAAAAATAATAAACCATTAAAAAAATTGAGTTTCTTATTTTTCTGATAAAGACTGTCGAGAAGTCTTATAGTATTAAAGTAATTTTTTTCGTAATAGTGTGCTTCCTCCTTCTTTTCCACCCAAAAATCAAATACATAATCGGCCCCCTCCGAAATGAAAACCTATATACGCCACTGCCATCACCGAAATCCAACAATTGTTTTGAAAACCTTCTGCACGCAGCTTTTTTTGATTGAATCTTAAGTATCGTAATCGTTCGCTCTCTATTTTTACATATATGTCGACCATAAAGTGTTAACAAAGCTCACGACATCGTAGAATAACGTTGTCCTGATCGCATCTAATCACCAATCGAAATGCATAATAATCCTTCGAACTAACATTCTTGTTTGTTTTGGTACCTGTTGCGGGATCTTGTTTAATATTTATGCTATACCATATACATATAATATACATTTAATACCAAAAATTAAATTCATAGTTTTTAATAGTTTTTTAATAGTATCATTTGTTACGTGCCAACCGATCGATCTGATGATTCAGTTCCAACGTCTCAGTCAACGCTTGGTTGTAGGTGTAGGCAGGAATAATTAAGACTTTTTAAAATAATTAAATTTATTTAACTCATAAAATTATCCTTACTACAATTCTGTAAATATTCTAAGTAGAAATTATTTAAGTCCTAACAATTGTAACTTATAAAAATAGTTAGAAATATTTCTAAGTCCAGACCATAACATACACTGACGTGAAAGTGATCAGTGCAGCATAGCCAAAACTCGTCTGATTTGCCCTTGTTTTCGGGTCCCTTTTATATCTGGTATCTGCATGTGTGTGTGTAAATCCCAAGTGTGTGTGTGTAAATGAAAACTGATAATAAAATAATTAAAATAAGATAATTTCCTGTGAATTCTGTGAATTATCTCTCAACCGGCCCGTAATTAGTGACGCACAGATCCAGGATGTGGTCAACGTCGCTGTTTTTACTTATTTTAATAAAATAATAAAATTTAATAATAATTTAATAATCTGTCCACGGTTGTGGTTTTTGTAGTTCTGATTATCTAAATAGTTGCAAATAGATTATGTGTAACTATCCGTAGATGTTAGAATATGTGTAACCATCCATAGATGCGTTCACAGGAACCCCCTTGTTGTTAAGTATTCATATGTGACAACGCGGGACGCGACACATTTAATAATTCATTTTCAATTGCGCAGTTATTGATCGGATCAAAAATTATTAAATTAAACTACAATTTATTAAACAATAGCACTTAGGAGTATCGTAGATTATCATTATATATTATATATTGTATATTATTATTGTATTTCCTTCCGTAGATTATTTTCACACGAACAAATAATTGAACTAGAATAATAATAAATAATTATTATTTCATGATTTTATTTTCTTTTTCTTTTATTAATTAAAAAACATGGCGACTATGACCATTGGATGAGATTTATAGTAATGTACAAATTGTATTAACAATAATAATAAACTTAAATACTCGATGTAAGACAATAAAAGAGTTATATTAAATCATATTGAAAAGGTTAGCGGTAATGATGAATTTGACTGAGATGGCAATTGAGTTAGGGTTCAGGTTGAGTGCTGTAGCGAGTGAATCTGGTAAAATAGTTTTTTCTCTGATGTGGCATCGTTATTCTTATTAATGCTCTTATCAGCATTATATTGTTGATACAATGATAAATCAGTGTAAATCTTATCAATTGTTCACGTTTGAATTTTTTAATTATATATTAACAAACAGCTTCTGCCAGCACAAAGTAATTATGAAATATATGATTTTTCATACACAGTTATTCAAATAACTCGATTGATTATAAGTAATCAGTATATTTTTATCTTACGTAGTACGAAATGTTACTTTTTTTTAACTAAAAAGAGTATAACGAAACCAATGAAAAAGATTTGCTGTTGACTATTTTATTAGAGTGTCATCTGTTTACTCTAAGTCTTTTGCGATGTCGATTATTGATAAACTTGCAAGAGCTCTAGATGGGCTCAAGTCAAATGATTTAATTGGACGGTAAGATTTAAAGTTATAAAAAATGTATTTGTTTAATCATTAAATTATTAATTTTTAAAGGTCTGGAGATAAAGAGAAATATTGCCGAGTTACTGCTGATTTAATTTGTGCACCAATAATTATGAATTTTTCATCGTTTCCTGACTTACTACACAAATCCATTGATAGTTTGTTTAAAATGTGTGACCATTCTGAAGCTAATATTAGAATGGTAGCTGAAGAAAATTTAAACAGAGTTGTCCGTGTATGTATACTAATATTGAATTTATGTACATGTCACATTTATGTGTCAATATTAAATATTTAATTATTCTATATTTTAGTGCATGATAGATTTTAGGAAAGTTGAAATATTTGTTGAATTATTAAAAGAAATTAAAAAAAATGATACAGTTCGTCGATTAAGAGCTGCTTTATCAAGATTTGGAAATATATGTCATTTAATCAGGTAATTTTTATATATAAAAGTTATAGGTATCACTGAATTTATTTTTTATTTGTAATGAATTTTTATTAAAAATACTCCAAAATATAGATATAATATAATTAATATAATTAATACAGTATAATAATGTATAGTAAATATTTTATTGAAAATAACTCCGAGATCATTCCAGAAAAAGTTAATAATTCTGTATTTTCCAGTCCTTCAAGCCGTTCAAAATTTGTTTTATTTTTAATACCTTGTATTAAAAAAATAGCTATGAGAACAGAAGATCAAGTCGCCGAAATATTAGCGCAAACTTTTCCAAAAATCATGCAAAACTTAGGGCATATTATGTCTGATAGTAATATAAAAGTAAATACTTTTAGACTTGTAGACTTTTATGATTTAATATTTATAAATATTAATTGCTTACAGATGTTATTGGAGGTTTTTGTGAACAATCTTGTTACAGATTCTTCTACCATTCGTAGATCTAGTATTACTTGTATTGAAGCATTAAATCTTTCCAGTAGAAAACCAATGGTTTTTTTTAAACATATGCTGCTCATAAATTCAGTTTTAATGTATGGTAAGTTGTAATTAATGTATATATATATATATATATTTTTATTGTGAGTTGATATAATTTTATATGATAAAAAAATTTCATAATTGCTGTAATGATTAATAAATTGTTTATATATACTTAAAATATAATAACTATTGTATTAATAAATCTTGTTGTGTATATTATCTTCTAATAAACCATTTCCATCATTAAGTTAAATTAAATAAATGCACTTTCTAACTGTTCATAGTTAAGTTTAAAATTAATATTAAGTTAAAATGTTAAATCTTTTTTACTTTCTTAACTAAAAACAGTTATATTTTTAATATTCACTTTGATTTTAAAAACAAAGTAATTTATTTATTTATGTGCAATAATCAATTTGTATTAGTAAAGGAAGATATTTTTTTTAAAATATACCCATAAAATTACAGTTTATTCTTTATATTTAAAAATGTTTCAAAAAATAAGTATTTTTTGCTGCTTACATTATACTTATGTAAATATATTTAATTTTATCATTTTTCTAAGATATTAACAAGTCAATGGGATCAGAGCGTGCTTGGGCTGAAAGTTGCGTAATTATTGGATTATTAAATAGTGTTAAAAATACAATGTTATACCCAAAGCATATTTGTGATAATTCATACGAATTCAAATTAGAATTGAAACTTCTTCAAAAAATATATTTACAGGTACTATAAGAATATTTTTATATAATTTTATTGTTTTCAATTAATTATTTAGAATTTAATATTTAAGTCTTCTTAAATCAGAATAATTATTTTTAACTATAGTATTAATATCTTTATTTGATTTTCCAGATATTTCGTTTTTGTTGTTTTTCAATTTTGCATCCAGACTCTAATATAGTAATGTGTGCATTAGAAACTCTAACTCAAATGTTTATATCTTGTCCACATGATACGCTGCAATTTCTTGTAAAAAAAAAAATGTTAAATCAAACAAAGCTCTTTGAGACTGAAATTGGTTAGTTGAGTTTAAAATGATAATAATTTTTTCTAATATATGATTTTAATATTAGTGATAGTTAAATTAATATTTTTATAATTTTTTTACAACTTTTTTCTAATCTCACATAAATAAGTCTAGAAAACAATTGAATTAGTAAAATCAATTAACATAATAAAATTGTATTCTTTTATACTTAAATATTGCTTATTATATTAAATTTTATATTATTCTACAGTGTATTTCAAAATGATTTATCTGATTTTGGTTAACTATAAATATTGTTCCTGCAGTTTGTGGTAAACAAAGCACCAACCATCTGAATGATAGGATTATCCAGTATTAATTGATTACTGGTAAATTGTGCTAAAGCGCACTTTAACCAAGTAGCATGATTTAATTAGTTATTATTAAAATATGTTCCGTTTAGAAAAATACCAATTTGTTATTACTGTGCAGCGTTATTTTTCAAAAATTTTTAATATTGAACTTCCTACAGCCCATAGTATTCAAAAATAGCATAAAATTTCTCTAGAAATTGGTTACTTATATTGTCTTCATGTCGACCAAGAACTTTGAATGAAGTTGTTGAACAAATTCAACAAAGTTTTGTAAGAATTCCATAGAAATTAGTTCATCATGCATCCAAAGAACTCGTTATTCCATATACAACAATTTTGCGTGTTTTGCTAAAACATCTAAGATATAAACCATACAAAATTCAGTAGCTTCAGGCTCTTCATGATGATTATATGCAAAGAAGACTTAAGTCTTACCTATCTGTCCTTGAGAAGAATGAAAAGGTAGAACAGTTCCCATTGTATCATTTTCAGCAATGAGTCTACTTTTAATTTGAATGAGAAGCTGAGTGTTTATGGACCTCTTCATTCCAAAATATTTTGAATTGAAAAATCGTGTCATAGATGCCATCATTTTAATTACAGTCAACATGCTTCAATAGATTTACGAAGAATTTTAATATCACTTAAATGGGTATCATACAAGTAAGAGAGGTCACATTAAACATTTTTAAATATTATACCTACAACTTAATGTAATCAACTAAATTGTAATACTCAATCTAACCTGATTATTAAAACTTTACAACAAGTATACATTTTTGAAATTGGACTTATCATTTTGAAACATACTGTATTATAAAAATTATCAAACTAATAATAATAATCTATATATTTATTGCCAAAACAATAAATATTCTTATATTTGTAGCCTGTTTTATTTGTAAATTATCCATTTTTTTATTTTCTTATTAAAATTGTGTATTTTAATTTTATTATAGCTAAAATGCAAGCTACAGTAAATTCTATCAAAATACCTAGAACCTTAGCCGAGAGCTTACAAAAATCATTTCACTACAGTTCATCTGAAAGCTTAGAAACTTCATTTGTTCAACATTCTCTACCAAAATTTGGAGAAGAACCAAGGTCAATTTCACAATCTATTGACTCAGACAGACCCTCATTATCATCAGCTAATTCAATGACAAATTTATATTCAGAATTTGGCGATGATAGTGTGAGTGAGATTGATTCAATTGCAGATAATGTATTTTTTTCTGAGTATGAAAGTACTCCTGAATTTGATATGCAAAGTTTAACTTCTGAACATAGTTGTCATTCAGCTTCTGAATCAGTTTTACAACAAGTATGTTATAATTTATTGTGTACAAATTAGTCTTATTTAGAAAATAAACATATTTATATTTTAATTAATAATTACTAATATAAATAATTAATGTATTATGTTGGTTTATAGGAATTTGAATTTATAAACCAAATTTGTGAAAATGTTCCTTTAAATGTAATTTGTGTGAAAATTACTTCACTCTTCTTAGCACCAGAAGTCAGTAAATCTATCAGAACTGGTATTAAATCTTCTGCACTTGGATGTCTCACAGAAATGTTGAAAATTAATCCAAGTTTAGCTTTCATTTCTGTAAATTTGTCTGGTATTATAAATTTATATAGAGAATGTTATAAATGTAGTTTATAATAATAAATAATTACAGTAAAACCCCTCTAATCCGTCACCTTTGGGACTGGTGGTATGGTCGGAATGCGAAAAAGGTCGGATTATCAGAATATAAAAAAACATTTGAAAATAAAATATTACCAAATTTATTTATTAAATTATTTTAAATAATTAATTAATAAAAAAATAGAAAAATAGTAAACGGACAATTAATTTTATAAATATATTTAGCCACATACTATAAATTGGAAAATCTATATTTATATCGATAATACTATAGTCAGATCAACCGGAATGGCGGACGAGAGGGGTTCTACTGTATTTTAAAATCAAAAATAAAAATAATATCTGGTACTATCATTTATAGGTATCGCCAAAACTATATTACATATTTCTATTAGCTATACCAATCATGAAGATCATCTTTTAAGAGGCATGGCTATTAAATTAGTTGGGACATTTATTGAAGTCATTCTTAAAAACAATTTTGGTGAATTTAATATACAAAAATATGAGACAGGTTTATCAAATGTAGTAATTACAGATCTAATCAAAATTATTGTACAGGTATATTTTTTAAATTATTGTGTAGAACATTTTAATTTATTTTTATAAATTTAATTTTAGGGTTTAAAAGATGATTCTTATATATGTGTATGCCATTCACTCTCAGCTGTATCAGTATGTATAATGCCTCTTTTAAACAGTAATGTTTCAAATAGTGCTATTCCTATTCTTGAAACTATATTGTCAGGCTTAAGTTCTTATTGGCTTGTTAAGGTAATATATTTTATATTGATTTATTTAATAGTTAATACTTCTATTTTACTAAATATTGTATTTTATTGTACTTTTTTATTATCTTCATTAAATCAATTTTTATAGGTAAAATTATTAGAAATCATAGAAAATCTATCTTTTATGACTGTATATTTTGCAACTAATAGCTCTATGTACCAAGATAAAATTTTGGATCGGATAGTGTTTAAGTATCTTTATGATAATGAACATAGTGTAAGACATGCGGCTTCAAAATGTCTATTACGGTATAAATTATAATTAATAATAATTTTTAACTAATATTACTGAATAATTTTTAAATATAATTTTACATTTATTAACAAAATATGTTTTTTATATTCATATTAGTGTTGTTCATAATTGTTACTATAAAATTGATTATATGCAACAAGACGTCATTACTTCCTGGGTTTGTTCAAATACGAATTTGTATTGTACGAATTTACTTCAGCTTCAAAATTGTATGTATAGGATTTCTTTTTTGATTTTTGTGTTAATAATAATATATTTTTAATAATTTAATGTATAGACAAACACCACAACATGTATATTGAAGCTTCATTATCTCGATTAGTTAATCGTTTAACTAGTAATCTTATAAAAAATCAGTCAGCTGTAGTTGTAAGTTATACTTGATCTCAATGATAAATTTAATGTTTTTATGTAAAACATTATCTTTTTAGGCTGGAAGCATTGAAGCACTTACAGTTCTTTCTAATACTTTTAAATCACCAGAATATTCAAATATTTGGAGGTATTCCTATACTAAAGGAACTAATTCAGATTTAAGTATTAGGTTGTGATATAATTTATATGAGTTTTATTTAAATTATAATATTTAATACATATTTCTTTAGACCCTGTTCAGGATTATTTACATCTGTACTTTCCATAATGACATCAACAACTGCAGCTTTTGATTTAGAAATCCATTGTTGGATGTTAAAATTGTCTTCAAATTTAATAACAGGTTAGTAAAAATTTGAAAAATATAAAAAATATTTTAACAAATATTAATTTTTTCAGAGTTAGTTAATTCTTCACCGACCATTAATATAAAAGAACATAAAATTGATTTTAGCAAATATAACCGCTGGTTTGAAGATGATAAAGTTAGTTAAAATTATTTATTTATTTTATTATTAATATTATATTTCATATGAAAACAACATCTATATACTTTTGAATTTTAATATTAATTTTCTAACCCAATAAAGGTTGGTGTAAATATAAATCTGCTAATAACTATTATAATCTGTAGAAGTAGCAGTAATTATATCATTTTAATGAAAAGCTATTTACTTAAAAATGAAATAATAATAATAATAATAATAATTAGAAATTCTGTGGTTAGAAAAATATTAAGCATTCATAAAAGATAAATATTTTTCGAGTTAGATGATATGTCTTAGTGTTAGCATAATCTTAAATTTTAAATTCAAAAAACAAAATAACTCAATTTATTACTAGTTTCAAGGTGTTACATTGTTTTAAAGTTTATTTTCAGTGTTTCCTTAATAATAAATTATTTTAACATATTATTTATTTTAATTTTGTAACTTGTGATTATTTTTAAATTAACCCTTTAAACTTTAAAGTAATACAAATTACTGATATGAAAATATAGAATATTTATAAGACATGTATAACATTTTAATTAGTAGCAAATTTTTAAAAAAAAGCCCAGTCTATAAAAATTTCAAAGAATCTAATAAAATAATTAAAATAATTACTCAATGATAAGATACCATATTTGTTTTAATAAATATTTTAAGTAAAAAATTCTATTATAACAAAATTATATAACAATTGACATTGTAATTATTAGGTACCTGTTAATACAATTCATAATCAAGAGTTTTGTTTTTCAAATTTTAATAATAAAAGAAATGTAAGAGGGTCAAGTTTAGGGGTTTACATTAGCAAGGCCCCAATTTGTAAATTTCCTTTTTTTGCTACAATAAATTTGACTTTCATTTTTGAAATGAGAGAAAATGAATCTATATTTAATTAATTAATTAAAAATTAATCTTTTTCCATCTAAGTTGGAAATTTTTTTTTTATATAAGAAAAATTAAAAGATATTTGACTTATATGATTTATTTAGTTGAAGAAATATTACAATGAACTGTGGAAACATGTTCTCAAGTTATTAAACATATTTCGAAATGTTGTATTAGATTACAGAGAACCAACACATACTCCAACTTCTTTTCAAAAATCAGGTAATTTGTTACTATTTATTAATAACTATCAAACATAAAAATATTTTTTTTTTTTTTTAAAAAAAATATTGAAATTGAATAACTGACACTTATAATATTCTGCCATATATAGGAGAAAATGAAAAAGATAAAACAAGTGTAAAGGATATACCTGCTCGAAGTAATTATTTCCATAAATTGCAATCTGTTGTTAGAGCATCTTATAACAACTATAAGGTAATTAATTAATCCATAAATAAAATATAAATAATGCATTTTTATAACAGTTAAAATACATTTTTAGGTATCTATAGAAAACACAAGTAATGAAAAATTCATTAGATTTCTTGAATCAGTTTTAGATGCTTTAAAGACATTATTAAAATTTATAAGTGCAACTGAATGCCAACAACATGTAGAACGTATACTTCTTTGTTTAACAGCAATTTTTAACTTAACGCCTAATTATAGCTCTAAAGTTATTGCTGAAGTAAGAATTTCTATAATTTAATCCTTGTAATTTATTATTAAACTTTTTAATTTTCAGTTGTTTAAATGTTTGACATCAAAGTATATTATGCCAATAAAGCAACCAATTTTTAATAAAAAAGATTCAATGTTCATAAAAAATAATTCACAAACACTATGTATGTACACACAAGCATTACAAATGCCTTATGAATGTTTATCAAACTTTATTGATGCTAAAATTAAATTATCTCAACATGCAAATAAACGATGGGAAGACGAAAGAGATCGTAAGACAACTATGAGTGGAAAACATTATGGTGTTAGTTCTGAAAGTTTAGATTTTTCATCAAATTTAAAATGCTTTCGCCCATTAATTGTTAAATGTTTAAAGGTATGATAATTATACAATAATTTTACTTATAAACCATATTAAAATATTCTTACTGTTATTAAGGTTACTGTTAAAGTTCATATTAATATTTATGTTATATAAATCATTATTTATTTTAGTTTAGTGCTAATAATTTTATCTACTTCAATCCATAACTGAATAACTAATTTACCTAGAATTAAATATTGAAATTAATTTAATTTAAAAATCCAAATTAAATCGGTTTATATAAATTTAACTAAAAAATTTAGAATATACACTAAAAGTTTATAAAAATTCAGTCTTTTAATAATTAATAACTCAATTGTTTTTTAATAAAACTCAATGCCTTGGTTTATTGTGTATAGAAAAAAATTTAACTATAAAACTCAAAATGTATATAATATTTACAAAAATAATTAAAGATTATACAGATAATGTTAGTGTCTTAAAAACAATTTTATGAATTAGACAAAATAATATTTAGATTGAATCTGAAATTTAGATTATCTGATTTAATCAATCTGACTAACTTAAATACAATATATTGTGTATACAATTTAAATTGTATATTTTAATTAAGGTTATGGATTGATCATATTATTTTACAACACTCTTGTTATCACTTTTGATTAACTTATTTTAATAAATTGTTATTTTTCAGTAAACAACAGTTTAATAAGGTTTTATATATTTTAGAAAATCTGTTATGGTTGTAAAAAATCATTGTTAAATCATTTACATGTATTTTAGGAATATGTAAATACTGGAGATGTAGAATTACAATCATCAATATTAGATTTACTTATAGCTCTAATCCAAAGCAAAGTTAACTTAAATGTAATTGACCCAAAACATGAGTTTTTGAAATATATTTTCAGTCAATTTGATTATCTTGAAAATGGACTATACAGGTAATAACTAATAATAAAACTTAAAATTTTATGTTTAGTTTATGTAGTGATTATTATTATACGTATCTAAATTATAGAGATCCAAAAAAAATTATTTCTACCATGTTTCAATTTTTCATTAACTTATCTGAAGATAAAAATCAATCAAATATAATTCCTGAAGCCATTCATCTATGTGATGGCTTAATGGCTAGTGGATATTCTCCAGAATCGTATTGTATGTTTATTTATGTTTATTTATGTTTATTTATGTTATATCAAATCTTGTTAAATTACAATGATAATATACTGATTCATTTTATAGGTATCCCAGCAATATTACCAATTGTTGAATATGTTTATATCTTAAAATCAGCGTTTATGGTAAATTCTTCAGATTTAAAAGAACTTGAAGCTCAAAGAGAAATGCTTTTTGCAATGTTGTTGAGATTATGTCAATTTAATGAAGTAAGATTTACAGTTAAAACTAGTTATTTATTAAAAAATTTATATTTGAAAACCATAATCTGTTATTGCAGGTTGTAAGCATTCTTAGTCTTGTAATAGTGGAAGGCAACGAAGATAAATGGAAAAAACAATCTAGACAACTATTTGATACACTTTATACATCATTGGGAGGCTGCAAGATTCAAGCAACCTTACCATCTTTGATTAACCTATTATTAACATTACATCCATCTTCTTACAGTATTCATCAACAGCTACATGTTATGTTCAACACTTGTTATGATATAGAAGTATGTATTATAAATTGTTATCTTCAAGTGATTCATAGAATAAGAATAAGATTTTAAGATTTCATTTTTAGAAATGTACCTTAGAGCATTGGTTAAACACAGTACTATCAAATTTAATTATAATTCTTATCCAAAAATCAGAAGATTTAATTCTTCTTAGAATTTCAGAATCTGATATTTCAATCAGTTCTAATTTATCTGAACTTACTACACAGTCTGATCCTTTAAATGCATCTATATTAAGCAAAAATAAATGTCCTGGAGAAGAAACTTTTTCAAAGTAAATACAAAAAAATATACTTTTTAATTTGTAAATAGTATTACATATTATCAAACTTGTTTATGTTACAGGTTTTTGTTTAGAGTTATATATTTGTCTGTCAATGATATCATGTTATCCCTTGGTTACCCTCAACCTGATTGCGATAAAAAAGTTTGCTTGTTATCAGAATTTCTATTGACTTGTCAATATATTGTACAATCTGGTAATTATTGATTAGTATGAATCAAATGTTCCTAAAAAAAATTTAATTAATTTTTTTCAAAATTGCAAAACATTTTAATAGTTTAAAATGTCAAAGAAATACTTATTTATTTTATAAATTATTTAATCATTAACATATAAGTAATTTTTTTTTTTTTTTTGATATTTTATTTATTAAATCATACTTTTGGCCTTTTTATAGTAAATGGTTTATTATTAAATAGATTTATTTATTTTAAATAATTGCTATTCATTTTATTTGTAAGGTAATTTTCCAAAAGTTGTAATTTACTTACGTAACTTCCTCAACAACGATCAAATATTTATTACACTCCATAAGAATATCATGACCTTGTCAATGGTCTATCCTTTACTTGTTTTACACTGGGTTCAGTTTATTGGTCTGTTGGATTATGAGGATATTGAATTTTGGAAATCCTTATTAAATACTAACACCACAGAATCACAGTAAATATTATTGATCTATAACAACTATTAAGATTTTAAATATATAATTTATTTTATACAGATTAGGACGTTGTTTTTACTTAAGTATTGTTCAAAAAGGTTGTTTCCTAATATTATGTGAAACATTAGTAAGTAATGATAGAAACTGCATTGATTGCTCATTCATTGTACTAAAATGTTCCTTGTTCTTTTAGAATAAAAAAATTAATTTAGATAATAAGTTGTTAAAGTGGTTCTTGTCAGATTGTGTAATTCAGCTATTGGAAATGGGAAATGAGCCTTCAACACAAGAATTTCTGAATTGCATTCATAAAGATCCTGATTTAAGTTTAATGCATATAACAGCTATTACAGAAAAATGTGTTAAAGATAAAGTAATTAACAAAACTATTATTTTATCTATGATGTTAACATTATTATTTTTTTTAGTTGGACTTGACAAATGATTTGTTGAGAAGTTTGAATGAAGCTCATCCTGTGCATTGTGGAAAAGTAATAAAATTGATTTTACCTGTATTATTGGAAGATTCACACTTAGCATTATCACAATTCGCTAGTTCTATAGCAATTAGGTATTTTCATAATTTAAAGTTATTAGAAACAAACTAAATTAATTTTATCTCTTGAAATAAATCTTTTGATTAGAAAAATGGAATACCTTCTTGCATTACCTATTAGTGAGAGTTCTATTCAATTAAGTAAAGAAGAAACCTTTAACATTTTAGAGTATTTTAAGAATTTCAATATTTGCATAAAAAAGTAAGAAGTATATTATTAATTAAAATAACTAATTAATAAAAGATTACGTTAATTTTAACAATATCATTACATGTTTTAGTCGCTACTGTATATTAATATCTTTATTTAATAAATTTGGGACTCAGTGTTATAAGTTTTCAAGTATAGAAATTGATCAGAATAAATCTGTCAACACTATGAATTTGAAAAATATTTTAATTGATAAAAATTGGTTTTATGACCAAGTTAAGACCAGGTAATTTTATTATTTTACAAGCTTTTATTCTTTGTAGTTGTTGGTTTTGAAGACCATTAGCACATTTGAAACATCCTTATATTTCTCATATTATCACTTTTATTTATAAATGTATGTTTTACAATCTTTACATTTCCTACCATCTAAACCTTTTTTTAATGTCCTTTAAAGCTTGTTCCTTATTTTTTGAATTTTATAATTCTTCATGATAGGTATAATAATTATATTACATTTTTTTCTTACTTTGATCATAAATGTCATTTTTCTTTGAGCATCTGATTATGTCTGTATAATTCATCTTTAATTTATTATTTATTCTTTATTTAGTAAAAAAAATAAAAGTAAAATAAAATCATTTAATAAGCAATTATTATACTTTAAAATAAAATTACTTTTTTTAGATGTTGTCGTTATGACTGTCCTAGTCTTGAGTCGGCTAAATTGTTGTCAAATTTGCCATTACAAGATGTAATCTCTATAATGCGCTGTGATGATTTTAATAATGATATACTACAATATTGTTTTACTGTATCAACTCAAATTACTATTGAAGTTTGTTTTTTTTATTTTTTAATTCAACATGTCAGCAAATTGTATTCAAATATTTATTACAGACATGGAAATCATTATCTGAAGTAGAAACTAGTTTAGAACTGTGTCCATTGTTTGTAGCTGCACGATTTGTCTTAGTTGAACACGTTCAACAAGCTTGTAGTTTTTTGCCTAGGTTTCATCAAGTAAGACATATTTATATATGACTAGGGCTCGGATTTTAAAGCATAATAAATAACAAAAAAAGCACAAAATTGTTTAAAAAAAAGTAAAAATGAATCATATTTATTTTTAAAAAGAGCAAAAAAAAGCATGATAAAACATTAACATAAATTAGTTATAATTTTATAAAACTGAACAAAAAAAACTGAAAAATTAATTTAAATTAAAAAAAAAATTTACTACTATGTATTTGGCAAAATTTTCAGAAGTTAAACTGACTTTATTGTCTGACAAAATGTTTTTATACATAAAAAATGACCGCTCTATACCCACCAAAGTAATCGGTGCATACTTCGATATCAATGTTATACAATTAGTGAGTACTGAGAGTAGTTTCTACAGGCTATATGCAATAGCCAATAAGCTATCAACTTCTAAGCTGTGTCTGTAGATCGATAATCTATACATTTAAGGTCGTTCTACACTAATGGTACGGTCACCGTCCGGCGATGGGTAAAATATAATATCTATATTTATATTAATTTTTTAATTATTATTGCGTGTTTTCACATTTTTTATAAATTATATAAACATTTTTTTCATTACTATAGAATAGCAAACAAATAAAAATTCCACAGCTAGAAAAATAAAAAAAAGCATTTATACTAAAAAAAGCAAAAATAAATTCGTTTGTTTCGAATCAGATTAACGTGAAACAAATATATGTATAAAAATTAAATTTCTATCTTAAATATATAAAAAAAAGTATTTGCTTTAAAATCCGAGCCTTATATATAACTAATAACCTACTTATCGCTCTTTAAATTTGTATATATTCACATTTGTTTAGATATTTTTACCATTGATCAATGAATTAAATGAAAAACAAAATGTATATAAAACACGTATGTGTCAACTTTTTGAAGATAACAAATTTATTAAAATGGTATTGTTGTTCACTTCAGCAATTTCAAAATTTTTGGAATGTGTTAAATTATTATCAAAACAAAAAACAAAAGAACATATTATTCTGATGGACTCTAACAAAACTCTTTTAAGATATACAGTTTTACTTTTTGAGGTAAATAAGGCATTTATAGTTATAAAGTTTTAGTTTAACAGTTTAAATTCACATTTTAGCTGCTAAAATGGAATTTATTCAATAAATCAGCTGCTACAAGTAGGATACAATTGCTACTTAAGTGTGTATATAACGTTTTTGACGTGTGTGGATTGGCTAACGAATTATGCTCTACAGAACTAGGATCCATTGCTTCAACATTAATTTCTGTGGTAGAATTCATTACAGATGATGTACTTTTACTTGTGACAGATGATTGTATGTATTCAATAAGTAAAAATATTTTGTTCGGTTACAATTATTTAATTTTTATATAGATTACACAGAAACAACAGATTTAGTAGATACATGCCGACAAATTTCATCTTTGGTCTCTTGGATTGAAAATTCTCGTCCATTATTATCAAAATTTTATTTAAACCAAATTACATGGTAATAATATTTATTGCAAATCTATATAACAATTTATATATATATATATATATATATATATATATATATATGTGTATGTATGTGTTCAAATGTATATATTTTTTATATTATTTTAGTCTTATCATACAAATAATAAGCCGCCATCCAATGGTAAATGGATTTGTAAGAGTACCTCCAGGTGCATGGAAAATGTTACAAGCACCAGCGAATACTATTGAATTTACTATACCAACAATGCCTATTGATGTATTACAAGAAATTGATATACTGAAACAGTTTGTATCTAGACTTGGTGTAGTTGGCTGGAATAGTAAACAACAATTTGAAGAGACCTGGATGACCTTATTAAGTGTGTTAGTTCCATCCAGTGAGTCTGATATACCAAAAGAGGAACTAATTTCTCGCATACAGGTAAATTTACTCTTCAAATTTTTATCAATTTTGTAATATAAATTATTATGTTTTAAAAGACAAGTAGTGCAGCTGTGAATGGAATTACACAATTATTCAGTCAAACATTGTTCAAATTTTATCCTGGTAATACTACTAATGATAAGTTTTTACACATATCTAGAGATATTCCACTTGATTTGTCTCATCACAAGTAATTGTTTATTAGAAGCTAAGTAATTTTGAACTGTTTGAAAATTATCCATGTAAAATTAGGTGGTTTGTCAAATTAGAAGAAGTCAATGAACTAATATACTCGACTTTTTATTCATTTAAAAGGACTGCTGGCAAAGAAACATTATTAGATCATTACGACTGTAGAGCTAATATTGAAAGAATACATGATAAACATCGGTTTGTATTGTTCTAATAGCCTATATAATTATTTAATTATTTAAGTTATTAAATTGTTGAAGTATAATATAATATTATATTAATAGATACAGTTATCATCAGCTGTCAGTGAAATTTTTGCAAATTGCAATATCAGATCAGTGGAAAAGTTCAAATAATCAAAGTGATTCAAGTAATGTTTAGTTACAAAGTATATAAAATACATGTATATAAATGTATACATTTTTTTTAAGTGTGTTCAATATTGGAAAAATGTTTACTTAAAAGAATCAAGATTTTAAATGAAAGTGGTTTGGATCTGAATTCTTGTATATTATTATTAAAAGAAGTTTTCAATCAGTGGATGGAACCAAAGGTTTTTTAAAACTATGGTTTTTATTATTTTTATAAAAAATAATTTTTTTATACAGACACACGGTTCTTTATCACAAATTAATGAAATGATTAAATGTTTGCTTGTTTTATCGGACTTGTTTACTGAAAGAGATCATTATATATGGATGCTTAATGTATGTATGGATTTATCACAATCGCACCACCATGAAGATTTATTATTGCATCAGTATGTCATTATTGCTGCAGCTAAAGCAATGTCTATTTCTAGGGTGGAGGTAGTATTATAATTTTAAAATACCTGATAAATTGGGATACATGGCTACTAATTTTATGCGTGTGCATTATTATTGACAGGATTTAAGTATTCAAGAGAAAGTGTTAAAATTAATTGATAATGGTCTTAAAAGTAATTGTCGTTTGACACAATTAGCTGCTTTACATGGATTACTTTATTTATTAGAAGGATGTTTTATTGTAAATAATGTGTTATCAAGTAGTTCAGAAATTATTCAAATGGCTGTAGATTTTGTGCAAAAACATTTGTGCACTGAATATTCAATGCTGTAAGTTAATATTATTCAAATTGTATTTGTGTAATCCAGGGGTTGTAAAAATTGTATTATTTGTAGATATGAATGTGAGTGGCAATTATGTGTAATATCAATAGCATTCTATTTAGTTGAACATGGGTCTGACCACATAGAAGATTCACTGCTCATGTCACTAGAAGGTCTTACAAAATTAGTATCATCTTCAAGACATTTTAAATTATATCAAGCTCTTATACAAGTATAAAACTTTTATATGTTTTATTAGGCTCGTACACAAAAAATACTCAATAAACAAAAATATTACTTAGAATGCTTATTGGATATTTAGAAATGTCAAAACATACACTGTTTTTTTTCTTTTTTAATTACAATTGAATAGTATGTAAAGATTTTTAGAGGATTGCAAGCTATGATATTCTTTCTCTTTCTATCACACGCACAATATAGGGATTTAGATGTTTTCTATTTTTAATCTACCGATTGATCAGATTGATGTGATAAGAATTTTGAAAACCGATTTAAATTAGTCATAAAGTTTTTTTAAGACAGTGTTTTTTGATTTTGTCTCCCAAAATTTCACAAAATAGCATTAAACAAATTGGAAATATAAAAATTAATTTTTGGGTATTTCAAGTTTAAAATTGAAAAAAATGTGAGAAATTTAATCTAAAGAAGAATTTACAACGAATTCAAATTAATTTTCCGTATCGTCTTAATAGATTGATCGGTACATTGGAAATAGAAAACGTCTAAATCTATATATAACGCGTGATAGAAAGAGAAAGAAAATCATAGTTTGAAATCCTCTTATTTAAAAATTATTAAACATATTTTGTAATAATTTTAATTAACTTTACATCATCTAGTACTGGATTTTTTATATATCACATGTATTAGAAAATATAGTAACCTATATATAGTAAAATATATTTTACCTTATACTTTATAAGTATAGCAGTACCATGAAAAATAACTTAAGGAAAGCATTTACTGTGTTCTTATCTATTAAATTATATTTTGATTTAATGTAATTTTTAGATTATTAAATATTTTTGGTATCTGTAATTAATACTTAATTGATTCTACTGTTTAATGCTTTGAAATAATTTTAGGGTTTTCAGAGGATTATTTTTGTAAAATATTCAAATGAAAATATTGTGGAACAAATAACTGCTTTGGCTATAGATAGATTATCTAATGCTCCACCAGGATTTTCTTTACCAGCTTTACAATTGCTTTTATCGTGCATTTATGCAGGTTTGACAGTATTAATTAAATAATAACTTCATATATGAATACTTTGAATTTTAATATGAATATTATTTACTTTGTAAACAAATGTTAAAAATTCTTTAGGTTGGCTGTATGAATAAATATAATATTTATACATCAAATTTAATTATTTTATTGAATATAAAATCAAAAAAAAATAAACTTTATTGTTAAATTTTAAATAATTTTAAACAAAATATTTTATAGATTATATGTTTTTTTCATTATCTCAGATTATGTGACTGGGTATATTAGTCTTAGGAAAATATTTTGAGATATATATTTATTATTTATACATTTTTATAATTTTGTTTTACTAATTTTAGAACACTATAATGAAAATAGGGAATCTGATATCGATCCTGATATCATAGTTGTTGAAATGGAAAAAATTAGTGTTATGTTTGAAAGGTGAATTTTTATTTTATTTTAATAAATTATTATTCAATAATAAATATGCATTATTTAGGATAAAAAAAGGATGTTTACTGGAGGTAGAAGTGACAACAGTTATAATGGCCAAAGTGTTAACTGATATATTTCCAGCATCATATGTTCTCATGAGAGTTGTTGGTGAATTTCTTTCGCCCAATCAACCTCATCCAACATCTATGTGCACAGTAGTCAATCAGGTTAGTTTTTATATTATCATTAGTTGTTATTTTATTTTATTTTTGTAATAGTTTTTATTTTATTGTGTACTGTTAATTTAGATTTTTGAACAACTAATTAAAGAATCACAATTGGATCTTTTACAAGATTGGGTTATTACTACGCTTAGCAATTTTACCCAGGGTCTTCAAATACCAATGGCCATATATTGTCTCATCAGTTTTTTTATAAGTTCATCAAAAAATAAATGGCTAAGAGCAATGTATTGATAGTTATTGAAAAATATGTTTAAATACTTGTGTAATATCTCATCATTTTAGATTTCCTCATGTGAGATTAAGACTTGGACGATATGATTATGAAGATAAAAAACTGTTGTGTATTGCTGCCATGGATTTTTATGGAAGCGTAAGAATATTAAAAAAAAAAAAAATATTAAGTATTATTTATTATTTATCTTATTATTTTTATAGCTAACCAATGATAATCAAAAGCAGTTATATAAAGAATCATTCCAGTCTTCAATTAAGTCAAAAAATCCTTTCGAAGATATTATATATTGTTTAGAATAAAATTTTTTGAGTACGAGTTCTGCAATAAATTAAAATTAATTATGTTCCAATATCAAATTTTTCTCATAGTGGTATAAGTTTATTAATATATTTAAGTTTTTTAAATTATTAACTTTTTAGAAAAATTGTTATTTTTTAATTATTTTAAATTCTAAAATAAAACTAATAAGTATATAAATATATTTATTTATTCTGCTCAAATAATTTATTAAAAAAACCTGAAGGACATCTTATTCCCATGTCTGTAACTTGTTGTGAAATGTTCTTCCCCAGTGGTGCTCTGAAATAATATAATTTATTTAAATTAATGATATTGTCATACATTTATATTGAACAATATTTAACATAAAATATGTATTTTATTAAGGTCAGGCTAGTTAGCCTTTTTTAGTTAGCCTTTTCACATTATTCAACAAGTTATGGTGACCATAACCACTTCCATGCATTATTATGATAATTAAATATTAACTAACAATCAGTTTTTGTAAGTATAACTAACAAATAGATAAAGATTCTGAGTGGAAATCTTCTGCAAACGTTTTTTGTGTGTATTACAGTATTGGTAGTAAGAATGAAGTGACTAGCGGTTAATTTTTTTTTTCTAATTAACTGTAACTAAAATATTTAATACTTACTTTGATTGTATATCAACTTTATCTAAATTATCGTAAGTGTAAATATCTAAATTTTCATTAAATTTTTCAATGCCATTCCACGCAATCATTATTCCATTATCTGTACAAAGTCTAGGAGGTGGTACTACTAATTTAAAATTCATATTATCACATACAAGATTCAGATGTTTTCGTATGAACATATTACTAGCTACACCACCAGATACTACCTATAAAAGAAAAAACGTAAAATTATTATTTATTTATTTACTTTTTAAACTTGCCAATGTTCGGTTTATTTCTGGTAAGAGTTTTGTTCGATCAATAAATTCAAAACCTCTTTGTAATCGAGTACATATATGTTTAGTAATAGCATATTGAAAACTAGCACATAAATCATAAACCTCTGGGATAATTTCATCTCCTTTTAGTTCTAAAAAGAATAAATGAGAAAAATAAAGATTTTTTTTGTAGTTATTTATACTATAATTTTATGAAATTATTACGAATAAAAAGGCTAAAATCAGATTACTCTATTGTGTATGTTATTTAAAAGAAAAAATTGCTTAAATAAAAATTAAAGAAAAATTTATGTATTTATAAAATACCTCCTAATTCATTAAATCATACAACCTTAATTTGGTTACCAAAAAAATTGTATAAATATAAAAATCATAATCAGATCACTGAATTTCATTAATTTATTAGTAACAAATAATCAGAGAAATATAATTGTTCATATTTAATTGCATACAATTTTTATTTTAATCATAAAATTTAATATCAAATCATTTTTTTTTTTTTAAAATATTAGAATAATCTCATTTTTCACCCTTATCTATTTTATTAAAATAATTTAATAAATAAAAATTATAAACATTATATTTTACCATGTTTTTTTTCTGATTTTAAAATTTGCATTCTTACAGCATTCTTTAGGCCAGAGTAACTAAAATTACAGTCTTTATAATTTGTCATGAATGTTCCTAAATCAAAAGCTTTAGGATCACCTTTCATAGCTGCCTTTTCAATTGCTTGACCTCCACAACAATATCTGAATTCTTTCATATTTTTTAACTGAAGTCGTCTAGCAGCCTAAGGAATATATAATTAACTTTTACAATACTTAAAAAAGAATTGTATTTAAAATATTTGTCAATACTTTGTCTAATGCTTCACCAGGAGCATCATCAATAGATTGCCCAAGCAATAAAAATTCATTTATTTTGTTTACGACAGCTAATAAACAATGTCCACCAGATAAAAGTAAGACCACAAATGGTAATTTTAAATTCTAAAGAAAAGTTAAAAATAAATTTTTAATAAGTCACATCCATATTATAATGAAACAAGTTACTTTATCAACTAATCTAGCAGTTAGAGCATGAGCTTCCATGTGATGAATTGGTATCAATGGCTTACGTGATATTTTACTCAATTCTTTTGCAGTATTCATACCAACTAACAGTGATAAAGGTAGGCCTGGTTTCACAGTAACAGCAATGGCATCTAATTCATTTAAACTAACTTGAGCCTGTTGTAATGCTTCAGTTACAACATTGTTAATGTTTTGCTTGTGCAAATCCCTGGCTACTGGTGGAATTATGCCCCCAAAACTGCAGAAATGACTGTTACATTTTGATGTCACCTAGATTAATTGGATACGTACTCAAGGTGTATTTGTTGTTGAGATTGTAAGCATTCTCCAAGGATATTCCTGTCACTATCCACAATTGCACAGCCAGTATCATCGCAGCTAGTCTCAATGCCCAATACTTTGCTATATGCTCTAAAACCTTGCAGTGTATTCCAATAATGTATACCATAGAGACGAAGAATTTGATTGATTCTCATCACAAAATATATATCAAATTAGGTACAAATTGTATTGAAACAATGCAGATGTATATTGACAAATATTGTGAAAAATAATAAATTTAAATTAAATTATACCTAAAAATCATAATCGGACATGAATATATTATTATTACAAAAAACAAGTTGTATACATCTAGAAAGGTTGATGCAAAATAATGCAACCTAATGGGAGTAAGCTCTAGAACATATAATATTGACTAGTACTATATTATATTTACTTTATTAATTATAAATTACAAATGTATAGAGTAGAGTTAAACTAAAATACTTTATACTGTAAAATTTATATTGTATTTCCTTTTTTTTTTAATATTCATAATGCTGAGATAATTATTATTCTGTGTCGTGATAACGCACACGTGATAACAGGTAATACTCCCGATGTTATAGCTGCCTTAGCTGCCAACGTAAAAAAGTAAAAACTCTTGTAACTGATATACTTATCAACTAGCGAAGCATGTTTTAAGGAGTAATAGTTATGCATTTTATATAGCAGTTACATTTGGGATGTGTCAATGTGTGAGAAGTAAATGAATGTTAAGACGCCTGGTGCCAATGTCGTTTTACCCTAAAAAATACACTTGACGGAAATAGTGATCCTGCCCCGTAGAATCAACCAAATTTGATTTATTTTTTTTTTAATATACAAATAGAAGGAAATATTCTACAGGCCGCATTAAACTCTGTTTTTTCAATATTTATTCCCAACATTTATAACGAGTCTCTAGAAAAAGTAAAATTTAAGCTTTTTGTTTACCAATATTTTTTTCACTATTTAAAATAGGAATTAAAAAAATTGGAGTTCAGTGCGGCCTGTATAATGTTGTTGTTTATCAATTAAAAAAAAAAGTTATAAAAATATTGAATTTACAATGAATGATCACTATTTCTGTGAAGTAATATTTTCGTCCGTTAAACGGCCAACTAAATATTTTATTATTATTTCAAGTGACATGTTTATCTTCCATAGAACCCCTCACCCAACTCCATTGTTCACTTAATCATCATGAATGATATGTCGCATTCTCTGGTACCTCGTATTTCGCGTATGGATAATAACTAAAACTCGTATGAAAATAAGCAATAATTTAATATTTTATTTTCAATTATCGTTGCACGACGCGACGCATGTCGTATGTTTTTCAGGCTTTTACACGCAATACGCATGTGCATTGCATACATGCATACATTCTTCTTTTCTTTTTAAAAAGTTGTTTACCCACTTGATGGTGCTTCTTTTTATTGTGTTGA